AGTGAAACACCGCTGCAGAACTGTGCTGTTGACCTTCCTTTTCTGGCTAAATATAAACTTTAACATATCATATTAAAGTAAACTTTCTTTAAATAGGAAAATGAGTCAAAATTAAACTATAATTATGAACAATACTAAGTTATATTTTTGCCTGATTATAGGCCTACTCCTTTTTTATTAATATAAAGTAAGTTGTGTTTTCTACCTGAAAGGGACAACAGGGGATTTGAATTTGGCCTTGCTGAGCATGGTATCAAAATAAACTTCAAGAAAGAATTCCCTGAACACTTCAGCCCAGTGAAGGGTAGTGTTTATGGGGAAATGAGAGTGGAGAAGGGACTTTTTCTGATGACGCTTACTGATTGTTGTTAAAGAAACATGGGCACAAGGAAGTCAAATATAGCATACTAGAGACAAACTGTTTACTATGACTAACGGCATGAGGTCAGCAGTTGTCAAGGCAACTGGCCAGCCATGCAACCGAGGCCTCAGAGGCAAACAGGAAGTGGAGCTGAGAACCGAGTAGAGAAACTGAAACAGCAGTTAGAGCTATGGTTAGCTGAGAGAGCAGAGTGTTGATGTGTGAAACATCTGCTCTGACAGAAAGCTAAACCGCACGCGCTAAAAGACTGGTCCACTCCGCACGCTAACCCCCATGCAGCGCGACATGTGCTAACCTGCACACCTCAGCACCAGGCTGTGTTTCTTATCTCAGACCTCCGTCCCCTGTAAGGACCGGCTGCATGACCTCAACATCTTTAATGGACTCTATTTTCTTCCTTAACTGCAACAAATACAAAGTTTCTCATAAATCATAAAACTGGACTTTGATCTTCACGAGTGCGATAGAGGGAATAAAAGTCTGGACAATCAAATACATGTGCATGTTAATAAGAAAAATAAATATGTAAAGAAATGTATTCATCAACCAATGAAAAAATAAATGTAGATAATAGAGATAATAAGAGCCTGCATTTTGAATTAAATGTGTTAAGAAATAGAAAAAAAAGTTTTAGTTGAAAAATGAATTCATTTTGAAAGAAAGTATTTTATAAAAATGTTCGGTTTAGATTTATTTAAGTTTTATTTATACAATTAATTAAATACAGGTAAAGATTTCGTTTTTATTCCTGTGCTTATAGTTTTTTTTTCAAATTGACCTGCACATTTATTTGCCAAGACTTTTATTCTGCAGGTTAATTTGAAAGTGTGTGCAGAAATGAATTCATTAATTAATTTAAAAGAAAACGTTTTTAAATATTGCAGATAGAGAATAATATCCTAAATGATCAAATAAATATGAAAATAAACATGTCAATAAAAAAAAAAGATTGTATTTGAAAATGTACTTTAATTATTTCCCAATTTATATTCATTTATATAAATCTATCAAATTTCTATTTATGTTCTGCAGATTAATTGAAAAAATGTGCAGAAATGAATTAATTAATTATAATTTGTTTAAGTAATGTAGATTATACAGAGAATAAAAGCCTAAATGATCAAATAAATGTGCAGGTCAATTTGAAAATTAAAATGTCAAGAAAAAAAAAAAAAAATTAAATATTTGTATTTAAATTCATTTGTAATTAATGCATTTAAACATTACTTACCCTGTTAACATTTATTTCAGTTGTGTGTTCAACTGTATTTAAAAAATGTCTTTATTACATTTCTTGCCATTTGAGTTTTTATTAAGATGGCAGCTTTAGTCCTTCATACAATCAAGTCTATTAAACACCAAAATAAATACAAAACGATCTTTATTATCAGATTTACATGTTGATTCACATGTAGCTCAACGAGTACAGAGAATAAACAGTGGAGACATGTCGCACTTCGCTGCCTCTTAGGAGCTGAGCAATTACCTTCTTTAGTTCTCTATAAACTCAACGGTCATTTTGTGCTGAGACACTCCTCGGCTCTAAGTGGTTGTGAATCACACGAAGCAAAAGCAGGTGGGAACTACATGATGGAAAACATTATTACATCTCAATGTAATTAACTTTTGGCTGCAATTAAGTCCCTTTTTTTTTTAAAGCAAAAAAACCTCTACTTCTTTTCCTATAAGTGCACTTAAGTTATTCCTGGCTACATCTCTTCTTATAACTAGTCTGGATTTTGGTGCAATGTGAATGAAAAACGAGTTTGAATATTACATTTTTCAAGTAGAAGTTTTCAGTTTCAAGTCAACTCGTGGTTCAATATCGAGCACAAACAATTTTCACCCTCTGTCTGAAACCAGAGCCCAGTCTGCTCTGATTGGTTAGCTGGCCGGCTCAGTTGTGATCGGTCAACCGCTTAGGGATGTCCCGTACTTTAGCACGTACAATGGTTTTATGTAGTAATGTCACTACGTTACAGAAGTAAACAAAGGAGTTCAATGGAGGCGTTTCAGGCTGGGGGGGGGGGGGGACCATTTTACATGCTAAAAACCTATACAACACACTACAAGAAAGGAAACCTAAAAAAAGCATAATAGGGCCTTTAAAGTGTATTCTGCAGTGTAACCATCAAATCATGAAGGGGAGCCTCACAGAAACATAAGCCACCTGTCAGTATGCGCTGCAGAACAATAAGGAGGCGCGTTAAAGAAAACATTTGGTAAAGCCATTTCCACATTCTCACCAAACCCCCTCTGATTCTTAAATTAATTCACCATGATAATGATGTGCGTCCAGTGTAAAGTCTCTTAGTGGTTTGGTTAAAAAACCTTGGCAGATTCCTATTTGTCCGACTGTTTTGCTACTTTCAGTACTGTCCCTTGAGCTCTGCTTTAAGGCAGGCTTGGGAAAAAGAGACCGTGCTTTAGCCTGCTAGCTGCTAACACAAGTAGCTTTCAGATGCACTCTCCAACAGTGCATTGTAGAACAGTTCATCATTCTGGGTATATGTTTGGACTTACGTTGTCAAGTTAGTTATTTCATCTTATGTCAAATGAAGAGGTGGACATAATAAGCACACAAGAGGACACAGAACTCTGTGCTCTAGGGATAAGAGGACGTTTGGAGCGTAAAAACTACAGGGCTCTGCTGACGACAGTCCTCTGGGACATAGCCCTGACTTCCCTATTCCTACTCGTTATTATAGCAGTTATGTAATTGTGCAAAATCAATGCACTCACTGATTACACTGCTTAAGATCTCTCCTAATGTCTACTTCCTCTAACACAATCCCAGGGGCCTCTTTAGGGACATTTTTTACACTTTTTCAAGATTTCTTTGGCGTACATTTTGACTAGGGAGCAAGTTTCTTTCTTCTAAAAATATTTGAAGTTTGTCATCCACTCCTAAGATAAAGACACTAGGAGCCTTTAAAATAAAAGTCCCAACAAATAACTTTTTTTCAAACATATTTTTGACTCGTATATGGTAAATTAATAGGTTGCGGTTGCTGGTCTCCTCCAAAGATGGACGACTTGCCGTTGATGGCGCCACATTCCCATTCACTGACTTATCCCAGACTGAATGTTTAGAATCAACAGTGTTGTATAAACTATTAAAAGGTTAAAAATCTGCGAAAAAATATATAGTAATTATGATAAGGACAAAAGTGAGGCACGGGGGTTAAATAGTTAATCCCAACATATGAGGACGTTTGATATATTGTTACGAAATTAACTAGGTCAATGGTAGAAGGGTTAACCACTCCTCCACACTACAACTGTCAGTATCCAGAAACACACACAGAGCAGATGAAATGTCCTGAAAGCTACCTGCGCCTGTCATGGCAGACTAAAGCACGGCTAGTTTGAATCCAGCCACAGTTATTAAAAGGCACACATCTTCAAAAAGGCTACACACACACACACACTCAAACACACTAGTGCTGTCAGTAAGGTTCTGAAGCGGCTTGCAGGCATCCATACATATGAGCTATGTACATGATTAACACCAGGAGGAGAGGAGGAGGATACATAGTTCCTAGTCTGTGTGTGTGTGTGTGTTGGTGGGTAGAGTCCTGAGGTCTTCACACACACACACACAGACGGATACACACAAATCTGTTTCCACTGCGGGGCCAATCAGGGCTTCACAATGTCCGTCAGTCTTTGTCTCGATAACAATATGCCTTTGATTCTTTCTGCAGCTTTCTGTGGTAGAGCTGGTTTGCCAACTGAGAGATGAATTCCTAGGAAGTGTTCATTGCTTTGGTATGAACGCGTTTCTTACTTCAAAGTAGTGCGATCTCCCTGGAGCGGAAAGCGTTTGAGAGGGCAGGTGATTTGTTCTCTGTATTGTGAGAAGTCTTAGGAAGTGTGGCTAAATGTGAGGGAGATTTGTTAACTGTAATACATAAACAACTTCCTGTGTTCAACTATTAGCAAATGTTCTTGTACTTCAATTCTTTAACTTGCTGTTTTGAGTGCATAAATGTGTCCTAAAGCAATGTATGGAAAAATGCGAGTACCTGGACTCATAACGGTCAAAAGTTTTTTTGTGGAACGCTGGACACTTCTAACCCCTAGATTCCACCGGGTCCGTCTGCGGTGCGTTACGGGCGCGTTACGGCTGCGCCGCGGTGCTCACGGCGATCGCGGCCACTCTACTCAATGGGTGCTATTCCACCACACGCGGCGCGTTACGGCTCAGAAGCGTCCCAGAAGCGGCTCGGCGCAGGGCTCCTCTAAAATTAGGATAGAATCCTATTTTTGTCGCGGCGCAGCCGTAACGTAAGGTCGGGCAGGCAGGAAGTGGAACGTTCAGAGCATATATAGCATATATATATATATATATATAGATATATACACACACACACAAACTAATTTTGCAGACCCTATCCCTCCGTAGTCTTTCAAGTAGGAGAAATGCCAGCGTTCTCCTCCGGTTTACAGGCACTGTGTAAATTATATATATAGAATAATTATGATGATGAATGCATTTTTTTACCACTAAAATACAGCAACACATCTTTGATTCATGTCGTTTATAACTGGAATATTACAGTTATTATTAACTTTGTCTGTACAAAGTAGCCTGTCCAGGAAATATGCCCAAATCAACAAAAACTGCGAGTCGGCAGGCAAGACGCTTCGCTTCTGAAATGCTTCTGAAACGCGCCTGGTAGGGTATGACGCCGGAGGAGGCCGGACCAAAACCGCAACGCGACGCAGACGGTCCCGGTGGAATCTAGGGGTCACACTCAACGATCGCCATCTCGGCAACGTATCGGAAGCTACGCAAACCAGCAGCGATTGTTGTTGCCGCGGTAAACACAGCACTAACAATAAAAAGTGACCGTTTTTTTTAAAGGCTTTAATAAACATACGAATATATTAGTTTGGAAAATAAGCTGCCGCTAATTTGTATGTATGTATGCTAGCGCAGCGGTGTGTGATTTGTGAGACAACTCTGGTCTAAATTCACACACTGCTTAAGTGTTCATAGTGTAGGACATGGCAGTGCATCAAGGGAAGTGTCCCAATTGAGACGCATCAGTTTGAGTTGAAAATGTGTACGGCTAAAAATCATAGCAGAGTAGATGAATATGAGGTGAAGGTTTTAAACCTTAAGTAAGGAAACACTGATAAAAACGTACTCATCTACTAGGTTGTGCAATTAAAAACATTATGGCTTTCTCACAACTTTAAGTTCATTTTCTTTCATTGGATAATTACTAATAGTTACTAATTTCTTCCATTTGACATTATGTGGACTAAGGACACTTTGGGCTCACGAAGCGCGAAAGTGTGAGACTTTCTGTGCAAGTGTAAAACAAGAAGGTTTTACAGAGAATGGAGGTTTTTGTAGTGAGCATTCAACGGGATAAATGAGAGATGAATTAATCCGCACCAGATGTGTGAGAGTGTAAACCAGTGTAGTTTTGGTGTTGTTAATTCTAATTTAATTACCACTGTGAGTAATTATTATACAAATGGTAATTTTGTGGGTACTTTGTTAGCACCAGTCAGCAGTTCCTCCTCTTAAAATGAGAATTCATCGCCCAGAGAAGCTACAAAAGAATCAAAGGTTTTGAACCTCGTCCCGTTTTGGCTCGGCGCTGCTTTTCCTACTCGGTGTCATTCCTATGCCCTGGAAGCTGTGATGATGCTCCCTCATCTGGGGTCAGAGGTCAGGAGCTGTTCACGTCCGAGGTTTTCATTATGACACTGGCGCGCATCTCGTGTGTGAGGCCGGTCGCTGCCGACTCAGAGTTCTGGCCGTACGCTGCCGTCCAGTCGTCCACTTCCCCGGTGTGGTAGCTGATGAGGGGGGTGGGGTCTCGCGTGCTGGTGACCCTGAAGTTGGGCTTGGTCGCGGTGACGAAGGTGGCCATGCCGGGGAGAGAACATGAGGGAACCCTGAGAACTGATGTGTTGTAGTCCTGCCTCCAGACTACACTGAGCCCCTGGGACAAGAAAAAAAGAGAGAAGAAGAAGAGGAGCATAAGCAAAACACAAGCGGGGCACAAAGGCTGTGGCTAATTCCTGGCGCATGTTGTGGTGAGGCATACAGAAGTGAGATTTTCTCCTTTTCTTTCTGGACATCCATTGCCCAGTTCTGTGATTTATTTGTTTCCTCTCCTTTATATATGATTTCAGAAGAGGTGAAAAACGGTTTTGCTATTATAATTCTTATTTTGAAAATCCTTCAATTTCACTTTAGTAAAACAGCTGTTGTTGCAATACTCATTATGGCCACAACTTAGTTTGAACTACAAGATACATATATTGTGTGTTAGGCAGTAATGTTACATGTGTTAAAGGGGCTGGATAAATGAAACGCTGCAAATACAGAACGCTTCATGTGCATGTGTTCTGGCACATTGGTGTTGTTTTATTTGAATTGCTTTTGAAACTGCAGCTCGTTTCTCCTAACGGAAGTGTTTTGGGTACCGTAAGTCTTAAACACAGCATTCCAAAACACTATTTAAATCACATTTAGGTAATGGCTCACCAGATTTGTTTTTTTCCTCACTGCCTCTCATGGCTTCAGTTGCTTTGTATGTGTACAAATATAAACATTACATCTATTATATCAAATAGCTGCATTCATCACGGACACCTTTTATTACAGAAAATAATCTGAATGTGAGGGAAAGTTTCCTCTGTACTCTCTGTTCTCTTACCACTGATAAGAGGTAGCGTGTGTGTGTGTGTGTGTGTGTGTTACTGTGGGTACAATGTACTACAAAAGGCCAACCTCAGATCAAACTGTTAATGTTTGACAGTTCCTGACAAGGCCCTCCCTTTTCTCAGTGTCTCGCAACATTACAGGAAGGAAAAAAAACACACACACACCCTGTTTCAGCAGTAGCTATGAAACAGGTAAAAACCTGTTTATCTGCAGATCAGAGCAGTTAATCATTCATTCATCACTCTCTCCTGTGTACAGTATAATGGGAGACTCACCTCTGTGTCACTGTCCGTCTCGCTGCCTGTACAAAAAAAACAAATATACAGAAATGCAGTTAAAACATTTGTTTTAAGGTAGATCTTTGTAAAAAGTCACATAGTTACAGATACAAAATGAAGAGTTTACATACATAACATTTGCACACAATTAAATAAAAGTACATGTTAAAGAAAACTATGATTTGATATTGAACCCTGACTCTACAGGCCATGGTAGCGATGGAGAAACATAAGAAAGTGGTAGAGACAAAGAAAAACTGATGGCATGATTATAACTGTAAACTGATAGAGCTCACTCTGCCTGAATGACTGGTTGGGTAAGAAGAAAGGTGGATACACATATAACCAGATCTCAGGGTGCTAATGACTAACGATGGAGAACTGAAAGCCAATCAAGCATTGACATTAACCAACCACTTAGGGGAATCCTGAACTAACCCTTTCAAATGCCAAAAAATGGTGTGTGGTAGTTTTAAAGAGAGGGTAGAGGGGGGCTTCAGTTCCCCGTCAGAAGCTAGCTTTATTGACAAAAAGCAATGGGATTCTTCCATTGGATTTTTTTATATTGCAAGGTCTGTGACAAACACATGTTGATGATACTTGCGTACCTTTTTTCAGACGTCTAACCAAAAACACATTTAAAAAAAGCAGTGACGAGCTGAACCAGTGGTGTCTATCGTTTTTCGAAGACAGTTTATAGTCACGCCCACTTCCGCATTACGAGTTACTACAGAAGGTGCAGGTAGGTTCAGTCAGACAGTCAAACCGCCCCCCCCCCCATGAATTTGTCTCTCAGCGGCAGGAAGTGGAGGAATGTAGAGGGACCGCAGGGAGGGGTTGCTAATTCTTTGTGGTCTGATAAATAAAACTTCATTTATCAAATTTAGCAGCCAAGCTACAGTAGACATGAGATCACTTGAGCGAAGTTATCCTTATACATCCATGACGCTGGGGCTACGTCGATACGTGGTTACATCTAAACTGGGATGGTCAATTGATCGACTCAACCTGGAACTCTACTCATCCAAACCACAGAACAGGAAGTAATTAGTGCATGTCAGCCAGATTAAGCTGTGTGTTATAACACATAAACATCATTAACCATGACCTAGAAAGATTCTCTTTGTAAGATTGTAACCTCTGTGCCTTTAAATGGTAACTGTGGTCAAAACTCTGGTTATGCATCTCTTTCTACAAGCTTACTCTCATTTAACTAGCACATTTATGCTCTTTCTTATCACAAACTGTTGTTAACACTAGAACCGCCATCGGGTCAATTTGACCCACAGCTGTTTTTTTTTATTGTATGTAACTTTTTTTCAATAAAATATTAAAGTCTCCCAGTCTGTGACTTTTCCTGAAAGTGTGTTATGTAGCACACTCTGTTGTTAAAAATGGTCAATATGAAGTCAGATTGAAGAAATCGCCAAAGAAATTGCCATTTATACCTATTTCCGCCAGCGGGTCATATTGACCCCACCCCTTTTCGCGCTATTGATTTTGCACATAAACATGACGTGTTGCTATAGCAACGCCTTTTGTCTACTGCGGTTCCTTATAGATTGAGAGATAGATTGAGAGAGAGAGAGAGATAGATAGATAGATAGATAGATCAATATTGCCAGTGTGGCTGAAACTTTCTCTCCCTCTTCTTCTCATACTCCCTGTCACTCTCCTTTAACTCCTCCGGTGACTTTCTTTTATTTGACGATTGCTTTTTGCCCGGCGCTTGGCCAGTTACCGGTGGTTTTAAAAACATTTTGGCGAATGGTTAGGTGGCGCGACAGTCTATAGTGAAGGAGCGCGCTCCCGCTCACGGGAGACTGTTCGCGCTGCGCTCCGCAGCAAACAGCTGTTTGCTTTTCACCCAACAGGGTGTCTAAATAGTGCTTCCGGGCCAGCGGGCCATTTATAATGTCGAGCCCTGTATATCATATGAAAAGCTGAGAGTCCACAGATTCTATTGGTATACGTTTCATCCCTGTGCGATCAAAACTCACTGTTCAATAAAAGAACATTTTACCTTGAAAATCAATGCATTCTAATAGCGGGTCAATTTGACCCAGGTGGCGGTTTTAGGTATACAAAAACCTCTGGCGGTTCTAGTGTTAAGTGTGTGTATGTGTATGTGTATGTGTATATGTGTGTGTGTGTGTGTGTATGTGTATGTGTGCGTGTGTGTGTGTGTGTGTGTGTGTAGTCTCACCGCAGCATGAGGATACAGGAGAGATTTGCAGCGGGTACGAGTGGGAGGAGCTTACGGTCTGCTCCTCGTGCTCAGTGGTCACCTCGATGGTCTGACAGACGACCGGTAGCTGCTCGCTGGTGATCACATGGTCTCCTGTCACTGAGCATGTTAGGAAAGGCTGAAACCACTGTAGTGCTGTAAATACATTATTGATTAAAATGACTCAAGTGTGTGGAAAATCTGGTTACAAATCTTCCCAGTGATGTGAGATAAAGAGATATTCGTACGCCTTGAAAATCAAAGTGTAGTTAATACATATTCATGAAGTCATAAAACTGCTTTGATCTCCTTTAAATGTATTGCAAAAGTTACTTGAAAAAGTAACCAATTGTTATCTTTTCCATTTTTTATTTATGTTGATAGAAAAAGTTCCTTAAAAAAAGGGAAAGAGTGCTGTTATCAATTACAAGCAATAATAATGCAACAAAAAAAAAGGAAAAACGATAAATATAGTGTCCCTTTGTTCCATAGCAAATGTATCTTCTTCATGATAATAATTCTTAAATTCTTCTAACTAGTATATGAAAACAGTCAGCAGTTACTGAGCTAGATAATAAACAGATCTACTGAAAGTCTTTTTTCTTTACTTTTGAAGCTTCTATTGTGGTTTTTAAATTAAGCTTTCAATGTCTGTTGTCATATTTTATGAGCAGTCTCAACCCTGAAATAATTGATTTTGTGTTATCTTGGATAAATGAATGTAATACATGATGCTGTTAGATTGCTGCTAAGCTGCTTTTTGAATGTGTAACCATTCTGTGAGGCAAGTGGAACAGCAGAGAAAACACCAACCAATAAGGATTGAAGAATGATCCCACTGAATTTTAGAAATGATTACATTTTAGCATGGTTTGAAAATAGATTTTGGATCCATTTTGTCATTGGAAAGATCATCACTTGTTAAGAGGTACTCTTCAAATAGCACTATACATGACAGAGGACTGGTTAAGTGTTATAACTAGGAGGGTAACAGAAAGTAGGTACATTTGGTTCATTCCCAAAGTCGTGACTGACCCTGCTGCTTCTTTTTTATGTCAATGCCTGTTAATGTTCTTTGGTTTTGGCTTTGTTGGTGTTAAGTGTAGGTTTGTTATTGCATTTTTCAAAACAAAATTGTTTATAAATGGCTGCATTGTTGGCATCTACATAGAGAGGCGAAGTCCCTCCCTTTCCGGGGGAGCTCCATGGGACCTTATTTCGGAAAAATTATGTATTGAAGTCAATGGGGAGAGAAAGATTATCTTTCGATCCCGTTTGAATTGTGCCACGAATTACACATATGATGTTTGTCAATTTAAAAGATAATTTTACAAGTCAAAAAATAAAAAGGTGTCATAAAACTGTGAAGTAACACTTTTTTTGTGTGAAACCGCTCAATGAACTACATCTCCCGCCTCGCACCACACACCAAGACGGCCGTCACGTTGGCACATTTCACTTCTTTCTTTCAGAATGAGGCGAAAAGTATTAAAAGAGGTGAAAATCACTCCAAGTCTGGGCATGTTGAGAGCTGTACATACACACAAGGGGAGTTAGTCGGTTCCGTAAGAGCCAGCATGCGGGACGGGGATTCTGGGATTTGTAGTCTTTCTAGTTGCGTATTTTTCATAGTCTTATATTTCAACAGTTTTACGACAAACTGACTTTTTTGACATGGAAATTATTTTTTAAGTTTGACAAACATCATATGTGTAATTCGTGGCACAATTCAAACGGGATCGAAAGATAATCTTTCTCTCTCCATTGGCTTCAATACATCATTTTTCAGAAATAAGGTCCCATGGGTCGGAAGTAGATGGGCGGGACTTCGCCTCTCTATACAAAAAAAATCTCACATTCTCATTAGTCCATTTGTTATAACAGTTCCTCTTACTAAGTCAGTTAGTATTTTATCTTATGAGTGTTGAGAACAAAAATATTCTACATGGAAATCTACCTTTTTCTTTAAATAAATGTTGATTTTTGGGAAATGTTTGGATCACACCAATTGGTAACCATCCTAATTGGCCACCACTTAATTGTTATTCTATAATTCATATAATATTAGCGTTGCCTGATCTTTACATGAAGCTTTGCACAAATACCAGCTTTAAACACTATTGAAAGATAGTAAAACAAATTAAATTTTAAAAAAGAAGCCACAAAATATGAGTAAAGAAGACAGTAGTGTGGTACCTGAGACGCTGTCCGTCACTGTGAACTCTAGTGCTTCCTGCTTGATCACATCCTGTTTGGTGTAGTCGATAGGGCCGCTGTGATAATCAGGATCAGACCTCGATGGAGACGGAGAACCTGTCTGCTGGGGACACAGAGTGGAAGAGGAGACAGAGAAAGATTAAGAATACACCTTTAGACCTGTGTTAGATCATAGAAAGCAAAAACATGTAGTTAAAACTTTGAAAGTTCATTTTTACAAGCCCGTTGGAAGATAGTATCCTTTACAGAATAACTTCTAACCGAGAGGTTGAGAAACTTATATACGAGTGCAGGGCTGGAGTAATTGAACATTAGTCAGCTTACGCTTAAGTATTCAGCTGTAACAATATAAACAGCTTATTCCCGCTAACACCATGAAGCATTTCAGGCATGTAAACACAGAAAGTGAACTGACCAGAATGTGCTGAAGAAACTTGTCAAATATTAAATAAGCACTGTTCTGTAAATGTTGTTAAATGTTGCTTGGAATTAAGCATTTCTCACTTATATTTACAATTTGGTCTGTTCTTCGAGTAATCTTCCTTCAATTTTGACTTCAATTCAAGCATGAAGATAGTCTACAGAAAACAGAAAGTTTATTTTTCCTTTCTGTTGGAAAAAGAAAAAGTGGCCATTTCTCAAATGTTACTATTAGTTTTACATAAGCCATCGTCTGGCATATGTCTTTCACGTCGCAGTGGAGTCACAGCTGATTTGTCATGATGCATGATTGGGGGAATTTGCAATACAAAACTGAGTCAGATTTACAGAAAACGTTGCACTGCTTTGGCATGAAGGGAGCAACATTTCACTAAGTAACCAAGAGCTCAAATGAATGTGAGGACAGAGTGGGATTTAGATACGACTCTTCTTTTCAGGTGTTGTTATTTCCGGTTCTGATGCTGCCACTGAAGGCCTTTAGCAAATCAAGTCTCCCATTTATTATTATTATTTTATTACATATTATTTAGCTGACGCTTTTATCAAAAGGGGCTTACATACTCTTTAATACTGTAGACATAGAGGTCAAATGTGGCGTCTAGTATCTTGCCGAAAGTCACCGTAACAGTCTTGACTGCAGGGGTAGGGATCAAACCACTGATCTCTGATTGGCTGATCAGTGCACTAAAATGCTTGCATGTTAAAAATGAAATGCGCATCAATAATATTTACTTTTACCCTCCAAAACGTACGTCTGTCATAAAGATGTTGGAACGGGTTTGACTTTTTCCCGTTTTTTCTGCATTTGACAAAAGCCTTTTGAGAGTAGTTTGACCCCACGTACATACAAACGTCATCATCGCTACCCATTAAACCTACAAAACCTGCCAACCGTTTTGTCTCAATTTGCGCTAATTTTCACAATTGATAGCATAATAAAACATAGTGTAATGTTTTTTCCAGATTTATAAAAAATGCAAGAAGGAATCGGAGAGCAAAAGCTTTTACGGGGAGCAAAATGTGGAATATATTCACCAGGGTTATGTCATGTCTCTATGTGTTATTATTTTTACTCAATCCAGCAAATGGTGTGTTCATGTACCTCTTTACTCCTTTTTGGCTTCCCCTCCTTGTCGGTCTTCTTCTTTTCCACTTAAATATACAGAAAGAATAAAAACGTTCAGTAAATGAGCCACAATATAACTGGAAAGAGTATTGATTCAGTAAATATGGAATTATGAACAAGTATTTATAACAGAAACAGATTAGATCTAGAAAAGTGATTGTGCTCACCTTTCTTCATCATCCTCTCGGAGAAGGAGAGCATCTTGTACACTCTGAATGCGTTGGTTCCCTTCTTGATGCTTTTGTCCTTCACCTCCTCGATGTCCGGCAGACTGTTCATGGCGCAGCGGAAGTTCGCCTTCCACGTCTTCGGGTCAGGGCGGTCTATGCCGATCTGATATTTACCTGCACAAAACACAGAGAAGTCACCATCTTTTCCTAGGTATATCATTATTCATATCTCATTTTATTTAGATATTATCCAGCTTGCATTCTTCTACTGTTTTGCAAAGAAATACAGAAAATTAGAAGAATGTACTTTTTTTGTGATGGCCGATTGTGGAGGAAGACACCTCAAACAATCACCTTAAACAAACTATCACACTCTTATTTAGTTTGATAACATGGTATGACCAGAGCTTTTTTCTTTATCATTATAACCAAAAACATTATTTAAAAAAAAAACGACTTTATGTTGCTCAGTAGACTTGCTTCATTTGAATTTGTTTGAATTTATTTAAATGAATACACTTGATACAATCAGTTCACTTATTGTTCAGCAGACTAAATATGGCTAGTGAGTATAATATCACCAACAGTCTCCAGCTGATAGCTTTAAGTACTGTAGGAGATTTTAGCTTCCTTTCTGAAGTGTAGAGCTGAATATTCCCCACTGATATTTCTGCAGGGTGACGGAGCGGTTGCTGTTAGCGCTACAACACCTGAGGTAGGGCTGCCCCCAAATAGTCGACTAAAAATGAGTCTTAATCGACTCAAGGTCGACGGCTATTATTATTATTATTATTAAGACGCACAGCAAATGGCCCCTACCAACTGAGCTACACGGTGGCCCTAGCCCCAGAACATGGGTTTTCCGTTTTTTCTGTTGCTTATTTTATTGTATGCAGTCTTTTATCTTTATATTTGCCATGTCATTTGTTTGTTTTGTTAATGACGGAGATTTTAGGGCTGCACAATTGATTCAAATTTGTATCCCAGTCGCATAGTGGCGCCATACCCCAAACACACCAAGCGCAATATTTGGTAAAGGTAAAATATGTCAAACTACCCGGGTGGGTATAATGAAGCAGAAGAGGCATACAAAGAACATTCTAGAGACTTGATGTGAATTATAAAATGATCAATCCTTCTAATGTGGCGAATCACATCGCGTTCTGTGTCCCTACTGATTGAGACACATGATCATTGGGATTTCTTCCTTACTAATGTCCCGCAAATTAAAGGTTTCACTGATTTTAGACAGAACTGGTGCGGTGTCTAGCAGTATGACCATGTCAACCACTGAAAAGGAGAAGCACAGTGTGTGTGTGTGTGTGTGTGTGTGTGTGTGTTACCGGTGTGTATGGCCCATCTCATGAAGAGCGGAGCGTCTTTCTCCAGGTCCCAGCCGTGACGCGCTGCATGCATCCACGGGATCTGGAATATCCGCTTTTCCTACACACATTTACATTCTGTCAGCTATTGAACTATAATATAAAAGTGTGTGTGTTTCTTTGTGTGTGTCAAAGTGTATACTTACTTTGTTGACCCATGCGAGTCCCGGTATCTGGCAGGAGTCGATCTGTTCCTCCAGCCACGGCCGCATCCTCATTCTCTCTGCGGGCATCGTCTCCTGTGAGCACACACACATTGACACATAAACTGGTATGTTGGAGCCAGTTTTTTGTTTCTTTGTGAAAAGGTCAAATAAGATTGTCACCTCGTGGGGACTTCTGTAGTCAAGGGACTATAACAAAAAAAGATTCCCACTGCACCAGCCTTTAAGACACAGGTACGGGCAACATGTGTGGAAGACACCGTCGACACAACGTTTCTAACCCTTTTAATTACTTAAAATGTCAGCTTTGCCTCTTCTGTTTTGACTTGTTTGACTATTGTAAAGGCCTATTTGCCTTGCTGAAGAGTAGACTTTTTTTTATTAAAGCAGCAGTATTATGCTTTTTATGGTTTTCTCTTTCCTGTAGTGTGTGATATAGATTTGTGTTCATGTAAATGGTCAGAAAAGATAAAGCATTTTTCAAACTTTGTACGGACCCTAAGGAACGGCTGTTATTATTACAGCAATAGAAAACATAGTGTGTACCGCCTCTGTGAACAAAATGAAGGAGAGAGTTGAGTTCCTTTTATCTGCGGTTGTAAAGATAAGACTCCTGCCAAGTTCATGACAGTCAACTTGCTATCAAAACCACAGCCACATACTGTCTGAATAAAAGAAAACATAGTAAATAACATATTTTAGAAGATGAGACAAAAGGGACTAGAGAAAGAACTAAAAGATTAATAAATATGGTATGTTTATTTGGGAGCAAATTATGAAAAATTGGATTTAAGAGCGCAGTTATGATCTCTGCAGAGTGATATGTTCAAAGTCCGGCAGTGAGCTGACACTCCCTGGTGCACACGGTGCACTGAGCCTCCTGACGTGAGACTGAGCTCCACAACAGGTCAAACAGGGTGACATGGCACCGCGTCAAATAATACGCATTAGCCCTTTTCTAACCGCAGGGGTTTGAACATCCACCGTACAGTAGAGACAGGTTAACTGTGTTCAATCAGAGACATTCATCTGGACCACAGGGGTGTAAAATGCAGTAGTTCAAATAGTGTATGTTATGGTATTTAAATGTGTTGAATATTAAGTTCTGACAGCTGTATTTGGATTTTTTTTTGTGAATTATACTGTTAAATGCAAAGAAATAAGAAAATAATAAGGAAATACAAATAAGTCAGCATAAAATAGGAAATAGTTAGGTTGCGGAAAGATGTTTTTGAGTGCACAATTAGTGATATTTAGTACTATTTTGTTCAAGCTATGCACCAGTAGCTTGCTGTATGAATAATGAATTACATTTACAATATCTGCCATATAGCTTCATCCTGTATTTACAATTAAAACTCATAAAGCATGATGTTACATTAACATTACAAATGTAATTATTATTATTTTAAGTTCAAATATGATTTTGAAGAGTGTTCCCACATGACTTGCCCTGCTTATACATGTATAAATATACCGTATATGAATTACACATTTAATTTCCTAAATGTCAACAAAAAACACGTAAGTTGCAGTACATGACACTTTAGATGTATTCAAAGGTCGAAGAAGTACTAAAATATTGCACTTAAGTAGTAGTCCTGCCATCAAAATGTTACTCAAGTAAATATACAAAAGTATTACCATCAAAATATACTTAAAGTACTACAAGTAAAAGTACTCATTATGCAGACATTTCAGAATCATATATATTATATATTTCGGTTATAATTATTGATGTATTGATGTGTTTATCAAGCTGGTAAAGGTGGAACTAATTGTGAATTTATTCAGTGTTGAAGAGTACTAGACTCCTGGTACTAGGATGGGTTAAATGCAGAGAACAAATTTCACTGTGTGCTCTGCATGTGTGACCATTAAAGAGGGTTTCATCCCTCCCTATTCTCTCTATTCTATATTGTTTATCATTAATCTATATCTGCAAAGTAAGTAAAGGTACTACATGAATGTAGTGGAGTATAAGTACAATATTTACCTTTGATTGTAGTTGAATACAAGTAGTTGTAGTGGAATATAAATACAATATTTACCTCTGAATTGTAGCGGATTAGAACTTCAAAGAAGCATAATGGAAATACTCAAGTAAAGTACAAGTACCTCAAAATAGTGCTTAAATACAATCCTTGAGTAAAAGTACTAAGTTACTTAACAGGACTAGCTGTAGTGTAGTTTAAAAAAACATCTCTGATTTACTAACACATGCACGAAGTCCTGAATGCAACATACATTTGGTCACATAGTTTTACTCGCATAACTAAATACAAACTAAAATACGTTTAAAATGTGACATTTGCAACCAAGAGTCCTTTTGATACATGTTAGCAAGTGTTAGTAATGCCATATTCTATCCATATGATATTTGACTTTAGGTAAGTGTTAGCAGCAGGATTGTTAGGTATTAAAGTTGGATTTAGCAGTGGCGTTAAGTCAAGAGTTAACTGTGCTCTGTTGGTCTGCTATCTGCCAGCGTGCTGACCCCAAAACATGCGAGTCAAAAGTGAAAATAAATCCCATACCTCGTCAACAAACGGCAGAGAAAAACTACAGTACCACTTTCACTTACACAGCGGGCCAGCAGCCGCCATGTCGTCCTGCGGGAAGTCAGTAGCGTTAACATGCGGAAATAAGATGTTACCTGTTCAGTCTGGACGGCCTGCAGCCTCGCAGTCCTGCTGTCACAACAACACGCGCAGCTCCAATTATACAACTTCACTTATCGGTGGTTTAAAGTAGAAAAATGGAAAGAATGGCCGTCGTTTTTCTCTGTTTCTGTATTCAGACCGAAAGCAAAACAACGGCTGCTTCGGGAAGTGGGGGCTCGAGCTGGAAATCCCCCTCCTGCCTGCTCTCGTGCTCTCGCTTTGGGGCTTTCTTGGCTGCGTGGCGGAAGTTTCTTGGCTGCGTGCGCGCTCCCGAGGAAATCCCGAGCGAAGAGGGCTCACTCTGCTCAATTTTATTGGAACCACAAAAGCCTTTATAAGCCTATAACATTATGGGGCGACTGTACCTCAGCCATCATGTCGATGTGTCCTTTTGCAAAATTCAAAATGTAAAAAAAGAATGTGTGGGAATGTTAGATTCCAAAAGCACTTTGAGGGGTCTGAAATGCATTAAATGTACCATTTTCCCCTGTTTAATATATCATATTTGTATATATCCTTTATTTAACCAGGTAAAAGTCTCATTGAGATTAAAATCTAATTTTCAAGAGCGACCTGGCCAAGAGGCCAGCATGAACAATGTTACAACAAATGAACACAAAAACATACAGGCAGGCACTAGTTTTGCCACAGATCTGTTTTTCATCTGTAGTCCCCGTTCATGTATTGCACTGTGACATAAAGAATATAACATTGTATCCATCTAAACATTGCCCATTCCTAAATTTAAATTGTAAAGAAAATTAAATGTTTTATTTTATTCTATATTTGTGTTTCTTGTCTGTGTAAAACTACCATAGAAATAACCTGTATTCTGATCAAATGTAATGTACCTGTGTTCTGTTTTAGCTTATACATTGCTAAGATATATAGTAACTCTCAATACTCCTTTATGCAAATGTGAACCTGCTAATTGCCAATAGGCTACAAGATAATATATTGGTTTTATTCAATAGTATTGGAGCGCTATAAATGTATTGACTTGTATTGAAATGACAGGTTACTTTGGCATGTTTTTGTTCTCTGTTCTGAAACGTGACTTGGCTGCGGTAACAGCACACTTTATAGTGGCTAACATGTTTTTATTTATCCCCATTCACTTTATAGACTGTCCACACCCAGTGGCGTTTTTATATGTAGCCTACAAAAGTGGTGGGGCACAAAAATCTTAGATGTCTATATATAAGCTTCTGCAGTGACGTGCAGTGAGGGTCATGGCTGGTGAGGCACTGGCACTGACTCTTCAGGTTTACAAATATTATATTTTGACCTAAATCAAAATATAATATTATTTTCAAAAGCTTTTTTAGTCTGATGCGTTGATTAATTTTAAACAGACAGTTCAACAAAAGGATACCCAAAAAATGTAATTTTATCATTTAAATATTGAATTGTTCTCTTTTAGTAAGATCCCATTTTCAATAAAATGGTGGTCTTACCTTGACTTGAAGATGAAGTCCATTTGCCTATCCTTCTGGACAAAAATCTCTATTACTTTTTTGTAAAAGTCCTCCTTATCTTCTTGTAGTTTCAAAAGTCGAATCATAAATCTAATCGATAGATTTATGATTAGAAAATTATAAAAGTAGGGTAGACATGTGGATATTATCCGGCTGAACAAAACGTGCATTTATCTAACAGGTACGTTTCCCAAAGATCTTATTTCGAGCTATTTTCTAAAATCCTATTGAGAAATCTCATTGCTTTTTTGTTGAGGGAAGCCATGCGCAGCTTACTTCCGGGTTTTAGGACGCGTCACTGCACCTCTCTCGTCTCCTCTTCACATACCACACTTTTCGCGGCACACGTACTTACAGCCAATCAGCTCTGAATTATGTGAGATGACGTATGGTGGGGATGGCAGCTCAGTGCCCCTATGGTCATTATTTTTTTGCCACACACAGGGTGTTTCTCAATCGCGAGTACGCTTGCTTGGTAGCACATGTCTGCCGAGCATCTTGCTTCAGAAGCGAGTCAAGAATACTTCCTGCCATTCAGAAACAAAGAGTGGAACAGGCTAGCAAGTGTGCAGGTGTGCGTCATATGAGAGCCTTACATCTTCCGCCAGAGATTTGGGGAAATTGGTCCGTGCGCAAAGCATTGTGGGGATTTTAAGACCGCGGAGTCTACTCATGTGCAGCCTCGATATTTCTCCAAACGGAGTACGCCGGGCTCTGTAGATTTCCAAGTATGCTGGAGATTGGAACAGTACTTCGGCGGCACTCGATGACGTAGTATGCTTGAAATAGTGGCTCTGCAGCAGCTTTACTCGCGATTGAGAAACACCCACATTAAATAGGAAAATACTCTGAGCATGCGCAGTGTAGTTTTTACAGTCACCATTCACTTCTTAGACAGTGAGAGGGAGGGGCATGATCGGGTTTTGTCCCACATGGCTCAAAACAGCTCAATAGCAATAGGCACACACTGTAGACACTAATTAGAAGAACACAGACTAAAACAGCAATGTACAGACGAATCAGATGATTAAACATGATCTTAAAATATATTTTATATATTTATTTTTTTGTAATCATTATTTGTAATACTTTCTGCTGACACTAGGTGGGGCTGTGCCCCTAATGAGCAGTCGCCACACACCTCATGTTATTATTGGCAAAACATAGTAGATATTACACCTGCACATAGCTAAAATACCGAGGCCAAATACAACTAAATGCCTAACAGTAAAACATTTGGAAGGTTGAGAGAAAACAGTAAAAGTGTGAACTGCTTTGGCAATGTAATAAAAGAGAGACAGATGGAAAAATTCACGATCGTCTCAACCATAGACGATCTTTGAACTGGATTTCATTTTCACTTCCTCTATCTCTCCCCCTCCCCTCCTCCCCCCAAATACCCCTTTCTGCACTGCTGATGGTGGAAACGAAACACGAAACTTCAAGCAAGCGCGTGTGTGAGAGATTACACCCACCTGCAGTTATTTGGAAAATGTTGATATTTGCCTGCACTGACCTGATATCCCATACTAAGAGATACCAAAGAGCATTTTGCATTTGACAAATTGAGTTTCATTTTGCATGTTTTTTTACAGATCCTCTGAAACTGCACCGTTGCAGTTATGTATATATCTAGCTAATTAAACATGTACTTATTTGTAATTTACAATAATAAAGCACAAATAATGTAGTTGTATCAAGTATTAATTTGTCCAAGGCAATGTAAACATTTCTTTAAATGTCTTGTTTTTGTCGGTCCAAAACCCAAATATATTCAGAAAATAATTCATCTCTATATCTAATAAGCAAAAGACTGCATTTTCTGCAATTTTTTGCCAAAAAAAACACTTAAAGGAATAATCTGTGACTTAAATAGTTGGCGATTATTTCTCTCTCTAATAATAATAATAGATAAATATAGTAATCAGCTTTTACATGTAGGCTGTTTTGCTTTACACAGTGCCCCCCCCCCAGCTCTTTCTGTTTCCCCCGAAAAGAAACTTGCTTAGGAAAAATACAGGCACAGAAAATATGATGTTTAAAAATGACTATTTCTTACTACCTACAAACTGAATGCACGTAATGGTGTCTGTCAGAGGGCCGTTACTGTCATATATACACACACACACACACACACACACACACACACACACACACACACACACACACACACACACACACACACACACACACACACACACACACACACACACACACACACACACACACACACACACACACACACACACACACACACACACACACACACACACACACACACACACACACACACACACACACACACACACACACACACACACGGAAACACATTATCTGTGCACAAGTGTTAATGTAGGAGAAGATCTCCACTTCCTGGAATAGTGCACTTTTTTAAATTAAAGGCCCTCAGAACACATTCAATATTTCTCTTCTTCCTCTAGTGGCTGCTTGTTTCACCTGTCACCAATAACTTACATAACAATCCTAGTAAAGCGTTAATCATTCATATTACAGTATTCTGGGGCAAAGTACACAACAGGCTTAATAACAGGCGCATTGCCTTTATCAGACTTGATGAACAGATTAGAACCAGGTACACAACAAATGAAGAAAGAAAATGCAGATTGTCAGGTCCTGGCCGTTCCTCAATCAGTTTATATACTCAATTCTTTCTCACTGTAAGATGGTGTAATATTAAAGTGCCTTGCTGACACTTTAGTGCAACACCACTTTTATTATGCTGCCACCTTCTGGTGCAGAAACCCAATGGCTTAATATAAACGTAACCTTTGCGTTGTCTTTCTCTCAGCTACTTTAGTCCTGTCTATAAAGTGTATAAATCATAACCCACATCTTGGATACACCTTTTTAGCTTTTCATATTATTGTAAATAAACCTAATGTACACATAAAATTAACATTTTGGAGTTTAAAACACTCAATTTTTTTACTATAGTTATAATAAGAAATAACCCTGATGTCAAATTTTAGCCATGAAACTATTTTGATAAAATATAAATGCAATAGTCCCATCATTCAATGCAAATAGTGATAATAAATGTTGTTGCGTAGAACATTGCATGAAACTATGTGATTTTTGTGGCAATTAGATGAAATAACCACATTTTTTTACATGAAAACATTTAGAGACGGGTCATTTGACCCAAAGACAACAGAAGGGTTGTCAATAACCTGCTTAAAAAACTGAGGGTTAGGCTAGGTTCCTTCTACAGGAACAAGTCCTGTTTCTCGCTCGAGGCCAGGAAAAGGCTAGTTACTGTGACCTTTTTACCTGTGCTGGACTATGGTGATCTGATCTATATGAATGCACCTGCCAATTGCCTGGTCAAGTTAGATGCTGCGTATCACAGTGCACTGAGATTTGTGACAAACTGTAAAGCATTAACCCATCACTGTACCCTGTATGCAAGGGCTGGTCTGCCTTCACTAACTGTACGGAGGCTCAGTCACTGGTACATTTTTATATATAAAGCCATGTTAGGGAAACTTCCATCCTACATCTGCTCCCTGATCTCACGGCGAATTGTAAGTGGCTACTGCCTGAGATCGCATGCTGTGGTTTTATTAAATGTGCCAACTGCTAGGACTGTCTTAGGGAAGATAGCATTTAGATGCGCAGCTCCACTGTCTTGGAATAGTCTGCAATTGAAATGGAAACTGAGCAATCTGATGCCACTAAATGTTTTGAAAGCTCGATTGGATGCTACTCAATCGGAAGCTGTTGGTACCTGTTCATGTGGATAGTTATGTAAATTGTAATCCCTGTAATGATGCTGTATGATGTCCTTTTTGTTGTTCTGTTTATGTTTTTAATGTTTCATGTGGAACCTACTTGAGCAGGTCTCCCTTGAAAAAGAGATCAATGATCTCAATGGGATACACCTGGATAAATTAAGGTTTGAAATTAAATGAAATGAAAATAATCTAAAACTAAATAAAAACAACATGTTCTCTGAACTCACTTGGACTGAATGTTTAAAAGTCAGAATATTACTAAAGAAATCTGAAAAGGAGGCCGTTTCTGGTTACTTAATGGCTCAACAAATTTCCATTGACACATATTTAGTAAAACATTTGGTTAAGAAATGTTTGTGGAAATAGTAAATCCTGAGTTTAGTTTAGTTTTCTTTTGTTGTGTGTTTTTAACCACTATTGCCTTGCATGTCAGGAGTTTTGGTTTGCGAGGTATGGAAGCCCATTTCTGCCAATGTGATGAAAATAAACCCTGCAAGTAGGCCTGTCGCGATAATCAATAAATTGACTTATCGTACGATAAATAAAAATGGACTCGATAACTTTTCTGAGCTCGATAAATTGCCGTTTACATGCGTGTTTGTTTACATAAGGATGTGACCAGCATTTTAGCCAGACGCGCTGAGAGGGGCGGGGCTCACACACAGCCCATAACACAGCCAGGTCAGAGGCCTGTACTACGAAGCCGGTTCAACATAACCTGGATATGTTTGAGTTAGCCAGTTGGCCTAATCCAAAACATACGCGCTCTCGCTAAGCGGTCCCACGACCATAGGCGGATTTTGCGGGGGGTCAGGGGGGGCATTGCCCCCCCTAGTGGCTGAAATATGTTACAGCATTACTACAGTCGAAAACAGTTCCAATACAAATATTTCGTATATCAATATTTTAATAAGGTAGGACACTGGTTAATAATATTGTAGCGTGTTCAAGTAACCAAGGGATATAGTAGTTATCAAATAAGTATAAGATGTGCACAGTTATGATAAGTTTTACAGTTATGTAATGCACTGTTGTTGGGGGGGGAGACCGCCCCTTCCATATGAGTGTGTGTGTACGGCGGGCATGGAAAAGTCATACTCAGTGCGGTGAGCGCTGGCTTTATTGCTACTGTATCCGTAGCACCCGACACAATAGTTGGGACTGTGTACTGACGTCAGTAAAAAAGGTTTGCCCCCCCAAGCGCAAATGTCAAACTCCGCCTATGCCTACGACACGGGTTATCAAGTGGATCGCTCAAGCCAGCCGTGTCCTATCTAGTTAGGTGCGCGTTCACATGAAAGGGGTGGTATTTGGAGCATTCGACCAATCACAAACATGGACAAGCGTACTGACAGCGCAGCGCGTCATACTTCCTGAATGAAAAGTCAACTACAATATTAGACAAATATGAAGAAGTTAAACTTTAAACATCCATGACTTAAACACTTTATCCAGGATAAAAGCCACATAGCTGCACCTGCAAGGTGAATACAGCTGGTAAAAGAAAAAGTGTTTGAATGCGTACATTAACAGGTTTATGAAATCACTGCCCCGTCCAAGACACGATCTGACTTTAATTACATTTGACTCGAGTGTTTCGTCAACTTAATGTGTTGCTTAAAATAATACTTCTGCATACAGTATGTGACACTGTGAGTGTTGCACGGCCAGATACGGCTCAAGAAGCTGACTCAGATAAGGAAATATATGATACATTATGATGTGATATGATGTGATATGAATGATAATGGGACACATCGACGTCTGCACTCACAGTGCCGTGGACTGTACGTAATGTTAATATGATCCGGTTACTTGTGTTGTGGCAGATATAAGTAAGCTTTCTTAACGCTAATGTTATAATAGTCAGATTGCTCTGAAGATGGGAGGTGATATTCTATTAATTTTCACGTTCACACAGTCGGTGATTTTTGCCGGCCGTCTTTCCTGCAACGGCAGTTTAAACTGTATTTCCTTTCTCCTGTAATATGACTTAATCGCTTTAAACTCTGCACATGGAGCTCTGATTGGTCAGCAGGCAGTGCTTTCACTGAGTTGATCTCTTAGCCTGCAACCTAACCTGCTCCGGAGCAGGCTAGCCGCTCAGCATAAGTTACCATGGAGATCTAGCCCGCTAAAAAGAGAACCAGCGTCGTAGGACCGGAAACCCCGAGTTTTCCTTGAACTTAGCCCGCTAAGCGAAAATCCGGCTTCGTCGTACAGGCCTCAGGACACTCCGCGTGCAGCAGTGTAGCAGCCAAATTAATAATATAGAGACAAGCAGGAGACAACGTGTGACTTACTCGAGGGGAATTTGAAGTTAAATGGAAGTGGTTGCAAAACCTAATACCACATCTCCAGTGTGGGAATATTTTGGCCAAATCAACGAGGCGAACCTACGGACTTGAATGAGCCGGGCGGTGTGTCGCATTTGTTTAAAAAAGGTAGCAAGAAAAGCTAGCAATACGACCAACCTTAAACTGCACCTGAAACATAACCACCCCATTTCGTTTTCCCAGCTGGGAGCAAACAAGGCAGCTGGAGATGGAGAGCCCCCACCTTCCCGACAGTTTGCAATCAAAGATGCATTTGCCCGACAATGCAAACATGTTGTTGTTCCTTGCTCGAAATCTTTGAAATACAGATTTGGATATGGCCTGTAGAGGCATCTGGGTCTTTGTATGGACAGTGGACTGTACACTTGACTGTTGTTTTAAGGAGGTTTTTTTGCTTGTGAGACAATGTGTGCTCATATTTATTTATTTATATATATATATATATATATATATATATATATATATATATATATATATATATATATATATATATATATATATATATATATATATATATATATATATATATATATATATATATATATATATATGAGAGAGAGCTCTGTTTTCCAGCCTGAGTGTTTAATTGATTGTTATGGTGTGATTTTAATTAATTTGTTATAATTAAATGTATTTGTTTTATTTATTATATATAATTTATATATTTGAATATTATTTCACATTTCATTTGCAATGTTGAATGTTCAATAAAAAGTTATGTTTGAAAGGATGTACTTGAATTATTATTATATATTATCATTATGTCAGTGGTCTAAAATGGTCTTACAACGGTGCCGACAATATTATCGTTTATTGCAATAATTTCCGGGAAAATGTATCGTCCAACAAAATTAATTATCGTGACAGGCCTACCTGCAAGTCATTATAATGAGAAACTTCTCGGGTCATTATCTCAAAACGAGTTTCTTGTTATTTTTTTAGATACTGTCATTACTTTTACAAATTAAGTTATTATTTTTGACTTACAGGAATTCTTATAATCTTTTCTTTAATTTCATCATATTGTTGTTCTGCATAAAAGGTACTTTCTAGATGCTGAAAAATGTATTTCTTAAAACATATAAATAATATAAATATTATATTAATTAATATTGTTTTGTTGATGTACTAAATGTAAAACTAAGTGTTTGCTCCGTAAAATAATTCCTGTGTAATTCCTGTTTTTTTCTTTTTAATGCCATTGCCTGAAATGTTATGATGATCCATTTGTGCTTGTGTATTGATTGCATTCAAAAACTGTTAAAACGCAGACACATTGTATGTTGTAAACTCATTGTTTATCCTTAAATATACAGTTTAATGCTATTATAAAAGAAGTCCACATTTCCAGGCTTCTGTTTATGTTTTAGTGTGAAATCACTGATAATGTTCCCAACACCCTTTACTGCACCACAGGAAGTAAAAACGTTTTCTAAAACTAAACACTAAAAAAAAATCATATAAGAAAGTTAATGCTCATTATTACACAGCTCAGTTGAAGACTTGATTCTGATTGGTCAATTTGGACATTCCAGAGGTTAATCTTTCTGCTAACAGACCTTTGCTCAGGACGACGCTCTGAAGAAGGGACTACAGTGCTGTCATATCAATCTGTGGAAAGAGGTCCAGTCGTTTTAATGTTGTTAATCGAACAAGGCTCTGGCAGTGTTTTAAGACAATGGACATAGAAAATGGAAAAGAAAATACGGCATCCAAGAGATCTACTCTCTTGGATGCCGTATTTTCTTTTCGGTAAAAATAAGTAATACCTGGTTTTTAGACTCTGATTGTAGTTAAGAACGCTCTATCTTTTTAGGAAAGTAGAAGTCTTTGGTCAGCATTGAGACGATGCAGGGGATCTGCTTCTTCCCGCTGTACCCCGGCAAGTTGGAGGAGGACTCAAAGTGCAGCGCCACCTTGCGGTTGACCCGGGTCATGATCTGCATGAGCTCCAGCTCTCCGCTGAATCTCTGCAGCATCTCACACAGAGACTGCATGAACCAAGAGCCGTTGCTTTGGTTCCTCCATGAGTAGTAGCCTGAAGGACAGTGTGAACACTCTGATTACAAGGCGCACACACACTGTAGTGCCAATTCATTCTGACAGGAGACCAGCTTTATACAGGTATCAGACAGTGTGTCTTTTAATGAAAATAATGCATAAAGGCAGGAAATGATAGCAGGACAAGAAGTATTTAACTATGACGGCGTATAATGGCCATTGTAGGAAATGTTATTAATAATAATTATAGCGCCAGGTGATACAAAAATAAAAGGAGACGATTAAAGTTGTACATTCATGAGAGCAGAACTTGAATATTTTTTCACCGTGTTGCTTTCTTCTAAATAGTTAAATTCACAGCTATGTTTCTACAAAGTCCATCAAATTACGATGGTATGGAGTTTTTGTGATAAAATCTGAATTATTTCCTATGTTTTATTTTTTTACCATATCCTATATTACATCCTATGTATTTTTTAGATTTAAATCATTGAAAATCTGAGTTTTCTCTCATAATATTACCCCCCCCCCCTCCAACATATATATATTATTTGAAATAAAATGGCCCTTATAATCCATTTGACTTTTCTAACACTTCTGTTTGAAGTTACCTGGAGCAGTGGAATAAGCATACAGGAAGTCTGCCTCCACTGGAATCCTCTCAGATGATGATGATTGGGAATCCACACTGTCCGCCTCAATGCAGGATCCATCATCCAGGCCCGACCCACGGCACGCCTGCAGAGGACAGGGGTCACAGGTGCATATGTTACCATTAATAGATGTACATTAAGTGTGATGGTGTTTCATGGTGCTACAGAAGCTCTGTAAACACTGCATGTGGTTTACAGCTGCTATAACAACCAGTGTTCTTATTTACTTAGTTTTCCTTCGTCAGGTAAGACAGTGGAATACTTGACGTCAGAGAAATCAGCAGAAGACAGACAGGAACTAAAGCTCTGGCAGTGTTTCAAGACTGGTGATGGAAAATAAAATGTGAACAGACTTGGACAGTTACAGAAAACCTTGTTCAGTGCTGCTGATCATTTATTCTTATCGGAAGCAATACAGTATTTTTTATATCAATAAAATCATTAAAAAAAAATCATTATTTTGAGGCGATTTTCAAAACCCTCTGCTCCGCGTCTTGATCCTGCTCAACCGGTCAGTGTTATTTTTTTATTAATGACTGGCTCACGCACATTATCCCTTACTTAGTAGAACTTTAAAAAGGGAAAACCACATTTGGTCTGGATTTCCAAAAGTTTGAAAAACAGAACTTCCTTGTTCTCTTTGCTTGGATTGCAAACTATCTACGTTTTGAACAGCTGAATCTTGTTATATAATTGCAGAGTGCAGATATGAGAGGGATACATTTTACAGTGTTTTGGTTGACTTGGATATTTAGCCTGTTTTTATTCGGCCAATAGGGACGATCCTGATACTAAACCAAGGAGCAAATTCTGCTGTAATGAATGTTAGCAGGGGCAGTTTTTGTTGCAGGCTTTTTCCAACACAACCCCCCGAGAGAGAGCCTCGTTTGCATTACTTTGCATGAACAGCTAGTGAAGGTTCCTTCTTTGAATTCCCAAAGATAAACTGGAAAACTCTTCTGTGTTAGCCAAATAACTTTGTGAATTTAAATGTATATTTTATTGTTAAAGGTTAAAATGGAAAAAGTAAGCTGTACTGAGCTTTTATAGAGTGGTACAGGTATGATATATTTTAGGATGCCAGGAAGTTAGAATCGCACAAGTTCGCTAGACTAAAATACAATGGGATCTTCCATTCGCTTTTGAGATATTGCAGAGACTAAGCTCTGTGGCAAACTAGCTTTCATAAGACTTTTTTTAGCAGGATAATCTCCATATCTTTACCCGACCTTTATGTTTGTGAAGCCTAAATGCAATCACCAGAAGTAAAAAGTCAGACCACAGTCACATGAGGTCACGTCCACATTGCTAAGCTGAAGGCAGCTAATGTTCGGCGTGATGATGTTTCGTAGTTTCATTTAGCCAATTTTTAGCAAGTGCTTTAATAAGACATATAATATATTCACAAATGGGCTATTTGTTGATTTAAAAAAATGCATCTTGTTAGCTAAAGACGTTATTCAAGATGTTTTTGTTTATTTCTTTACCTGTGTGTAGGCATAACTTATAAATCCCGGATATAAAAATGTTTTTATGTCAAATCAGTGTCAGCCTTGGTAGCATTTCAACGACTTATGTGGCAAGAGACGGTACCGGTAAAACAGGTTTGTGTCACTTTGTTTATTTCTCACCTGTATGAAGAAGAGCTTGGGTTTCCCCACCAGATCCCTACAGCGATCTCCTTTAAAGTGCTTTGTCAGTTCCTCAAGCAGTTCACAGCCGTCGATACCGTATATCACCCCGTCATCTCCGTGACTCAGCAACACACAAGCAAATGATGCATTTTGACTGTGGTCCGCCTTGGATGCTAGAGGCACAAGCGAGAAAAAACAAGACAAGAGTAAACTTGTCAGATTTTTATTTCACACAGTGGTAGTTTGGAATGAATGAAACACTGTAGTTTCTGTTACCATTACACAACAGTGTTTTCATCTCCTTCACGGTCTGATCATTGGCAAACTGGACCTTATAACCCATCTCAGAGAAGGTCTTCATGGCAGCGGCAGCATCTAGATCCGTCCCGTTACGAGCTTTCATCCCTAGAGAGACATAAACACAAGTAGAGCAGTCCAGGGACGGGATTACTTTGATATGAAATTAACATTTTCAACTCATACTAAAAATGTGGACAGCTAAAATTAGAGTTTTACTTTGTAGACCTAAGAGAATATAGTTTATGCTGCCTACGTTTCTTTGTTCTCTGTTATAGAAGCTTTGAGATCCATGTTTTTATTATAAATTAATTGTTTTCTCTATTGTGTAAGACTTGAAACATGTGAAATATAAAAGGATTTGCTGTTTGCCAGGTGGGAGAAAAGGAACTTTGAAAAACAATTATGGGGAATATGGCGGTATATACGGTAAATATAAAGTAAAGTAATTTGGGCAAAAATGGAAACGAGTGAAGCTGGAAATACGTAGCTGGAAAAGGATGTGTAAGAACCGTAACACTAGAAATGATTGTTCTCAGGGACATTTTAGCTTCCATTTTGTTTTGTTTTACTGGTTTGAGTCTTTTGTGTTCCCATATGATGCAAATAAAATAATCAAATGTGAGAAAGTACGGTATGTTCCTTTTAAACATTTCTTATGTATTCTGTTATGTACCATTTCTGTGATATATAATTACATATAACATGATAGAAGGAAAATGCTTTTTTCCACATTTGTTTAATGCTGCGTTCACACCGGACGCGATGCGAATATTCGCATCGCTCCAATCGCTCAAGTTTCACCGCGGCTTGCAGTTTGTTTTATCGTGTCATTCAAAACAGACATACCGTTGACGCGCCGCGCCGTTGACGCGCCGCGCCGTTGACGGACAGTTGAGGTTGTTTACACTTCCATGCAAGATCGTTTTGGTTATTTCTGTCCTTGACTGTGGAGGATATAACAACTATTGCTGCTTTGTACCTTCTGTGGAAGTCCTACAAACAGTAGTAGCAACAAACGCCGTCGTGTCTGGGTTCTTATTCTCCTCCAAGCCAGATCCTTTTTGTTGCGGTCCCGGTAGATATACGACATTGTATCGTAAATCTCCGGGAACCCACTCACAGCCACAACGATTATCTCTTCCATCTTTATAACTGATCAACAGCAGGACGTCAGAGGGACGTCAGAGGGACGTCAGAGGGAATCCCAACGCTGATTGGCTTTCGCGAGAACGCGTCACGTGAATTTGACGCTCGAGTTGAAAAAATTGAACTCTCGCGTTTGACGCGATCCCCTTCAATCGTGTGATTCGCGCCACGCCCACCGCTTCATGCGCGCCGTCGGAGCGAATTCGCGTCTGTCCGCATCTCTGCATTGACTTTACATGTAATCACGCCGCCCCCAAAAATCGCATCGCGTCCGGTGTGAACGCAGCATTAGTCACAAACAAATGTAATGTAAATTAGAAAATGGTTCACCTGATTTTTTCTTTGTCTTTCTTGCCTCGAAGGGCTTCCGTAGACTTTTGTCTAATTGTGTGTAATGTAACAGAAAATGGCGAAACACTAACTAATTTGACATTTTAGTAAATTACTAAAGGTGAAGATGTGACAGGGTGGAGGCTTTCAATCGTTTCTTTTTTTTATATAAATCTACGGAGGGGGAGATTTGGTACAAGTCCATCAGAGAAGACCTTTTTTATACTTATTTTACGTTTGTTGTGTACATTATTAAAAATGCAGAACATTGAGTGCAAGTGACTATGAAATGAAAAAGAAAGGGTTTGTAGAAAGGGTGTATCTACCTGTGCATGGGTGGAAGTTCTTGTTGTTGATGATCAGACAGGTTCCGATGCAGGGATAGTCCATCTTGTAGCGGTAAGGGTCACTATGGCTGCGGGGGGCAGAGTCAGTTTCCTCAGGAGTCTCACTGCTGCCTGCAGGCTTTGCACCCAACCTAAAAATACACACACACACACACACACACACACACACACACACACACACACACACACACACACACACACACACACACACACACACACACACACACACACACACACACACACACACACACACACACACACACACACACACACACACACACACACACACACACACACACACACACACACACACACACACACACACTTACTTCTTGGCCTTCACGAACAGAATGAAACTAAAAGAGCTACGTACAGAAAAAGACTCAAAATAATCACAAAGCAACTACAGAGAGACAAAGAAATACTACAAAGACGACTTTAAAGAGTTAAAAAGACGTCAAAGAGACTCAAAACGATTTTAAACAGACAAAGAATACTTCAGAGACACAAAATAATTTTAACGAGTTACAAAGACTTCGAAGAGACACAAACATATTTTAAAGAGACAAAAAAGACTTCAAAGAGACACCAAAACACATTTAAAGAGTTACAAAGACTTCACAGAGAAACAACAGATTTCAAAGAGACAAAAAAATACTACAAAGAGACACAAAACGACATCAGAGAGTTACAAATACGTTACAGAGACACAGAAAGACCTCAAAGAGACAAAAAATACTTCACAGAGAAACAAAATCACTTTAAAGAGACTTCAAGGAGAGATAATACAGCTGCAAAGAGACATGAAGGGATTCAAATGTTATTAAAAGGGGAATACAAAAAGGAAAATAAGTCACAAAACGGGAACAAAGAGGCACAATTTTACTATATAGTAACATCAGTGTACAAATATTACCTTTTTCCAAACAATTTTATGGCGTCCACATTGTCCTCAGCACTCTGCATGTCTCCGTCAGCCATGCTCCTACAGGCACAAATTCAGAGGCAGAGGTCAGAAAATAAATACAATGGAAACATACCATTATTAAACAATTAGTATTTTTCTAGCAAATAAGAATGACTACCACACCCCGAAGGAAACTGGATAGATAACATCATTTAGAAATAAAAACTGATAATGACATTTTGAACATTGTAATTTATTAGAAAAATAAGTGTTTAAAGCAATACAGGTTTTCCCTCCAGGAAATAGTTTAGCCAAGGTAGTAATGCCCCTTTCACACCGGCGCTTTTCCAGCTCCTGCTGGGAGCTAGAGCCTGAAAAGCGCCGGTTTTTCCTGTTCACACCGCAGCGGCGGCGCGTCATACCTCCGGAATGCGGTTCACTTCCAGCTCCAAAAAATTGTCGGTCCAGAGGCAAGAGCTTTGGAGCTATGACGCGGCGTCTCTTACGTCGAGGCGTGCAGGAAACCTTACTTTGACCATCCGTTCGCTGTTATTGATCATTGTGGAGAGCAGGCAGACGTTTTGTTTGTTATTATAGCAGCTATCGGATGGAATTAATACATGGGCTGTACAGGTTGTCATGTCCGACTATCACAAGTAGAATCATAATGAAAAATACGCCGGTAAAAAGTGCCTGGAGAAAACGGCTTAGCAAATAGTCAGTTTAGCTTCGGTTGCTATGCTAACATCACCCATGTTATACCAGAGAAACTTTCATAACAGCGTTGTGATGCCAAACAGCGTAAATTCAGACTGACACACATTCACTTAAGGGGAACTGGGGATATGTATCAGCTGCTTGTGTGACAGTCAGACAGTGAATACTTTAGAGCCGTGTGAGCTAACCCGGAGCTAACGGGAGAATAAACTCCTGTGGAAGAGCAGCCAGCACTGCAGCGGTCGGTAAATGCCGCTGAAACACATTAATAAACAATGAACCACGGCACTCTGGAGAAAAGTATAAGGTTGGAGAAGTCGTTATTTAATTTAATCTGGCTTCGTATGATTAAAAGCAACACGATCATCGACCCGACGCAGTCCCCGGCCCGTTGTTGTTGTGGGAGAAAATCTCTCGGCAGCTCTGGGCGGTGTGAACAGAGCGGGAGCTGAAAAGGGAAACCGGAGCTGAACCAGAAAAGCTCTCGCTAGGAGCTAGAAAGGGAAAAGCGCTGGTGTGAAAGCCGCATAAGTCACCCCATATCGAGGCAGAATTAGCTAAATCTTTCATAAATATTTGGCCTTTTCCGTATGAAATAGCCTCTGCTCGTGTCCCATCCATAAAACAAAAAAGTACATGTTTGATGTAAAGACATCTCCACCCTTCTATAATACACAACAGGAAATCCTGCATACAGGGCCGGTACCGAAGTGGGCCGGTCGGACAAGTCACTAGCACCCCCCCACCCCCCCAAATGTGTCCAACTTATTATGATCAGAGGTGGAAGAAGTACTCATATCAAGTAAAAGTCCTGCATTGCAAATGTTACTCAACTAAAAGTACTTAAGTATAAGCATAAAAAAATACTTAAAGTACCGAAAGTAAAAGTACTCATTATGGAGATTGGCCCATTTTCTTATAATATATATTATATGTGATTTAAGTAGGTAAAGGTGCAGCTAGTTTAAATTAGCTTGTGAATTTATTCCAGGTGTAACTAAAGTTTTGTTTAAGTGTTGATTATATTTCACATCATTAAACAAAATCTGTAAAGTAACTAAAGGTAATAAATAAATGTAGAGGAATAAAAGTACACGATTTACATCTGACTTGTAGTGAAAGAAGCAAAACATTGAGTCCCTCAAAATTGTATTTAAGTACAGTACTTGAGTACATCTACTTAGTTAGTTACTCTACACCACTGGAGCTGATGCATCCTGTAATATATGATATGAATATCGCAATATAATACTGTTAAAGGTGGGGTATGTAATTTATTTCAGAAACACTTTTTGTTATTTTCCATGGAATGCTGTTAACATCCCGATAGCCATGAATATTTTTAAATGCTTTGACAATAAATACATTAAAACATTTCATCTGTGGAAGCCGTGGCGCTGTAAAAAGCACGACCAATCATCTGAACCGGCCCGTCTAAAATAACTGGATGGCCGACCTGCCTGTCAGCCTTCCATCTGTGCACAAACTTATCTCGTGCCCTCATTGGTCATGTGCACGATCGTGTGTGTTGGAGGAGGGGCTCTGTAAGGAAGTGGCAGATTTTTTCCGGTTGTGTATTTTCAAATTCTAGCGCACTCGAGCTGGTTTCTCCAAAATTACCTAATGCTGCGTTCACACCGGACGCGATGCGACTATTCGCTTCGCTCTAATCGCTCCTATCGCATCGCTCTAAACGCTGGAGTTTCACCGCGGCTGCCAGCTGTGTTTACTCGCATCATTCAAACAAGACGCGCTGGCTCGGGAGCTACGACTACAACAAATGAACATATTTTACCGTGATTAAATTGTAATACACGTTTCTAAATGATGCCGAAGTAACAACATACTGATACCGGTTAGTAACAACCATGAATTAATGCTTTGACAAGTCTGCAGACAAGACGGCAGGAGAAAAACCTTTTAAAATGCTTGTTTTCTGAATGAAGATCGGGTCGACCAGGCTAAGCTAACGTTGTATATGCTCATTCCACACTCATAACAACGGCCTACAGACATAAATAAACCAGCGACTGCATTCGCCATGACACAGACAGTCTGTGGTTTGTACTTGTTTAACTTTTGTCCAGTTTCTGAACAGATATGAGGAGCTGTGAGCTCTGTGTGCTAACTGCTAACAGCTAACGGCTGATGTTTTCTGGTTGCACGTCAGTGACGGCAGGCTGAGATCCTCACCGCTGATTGGCTTCCGCGAGAACGCGTCACGTGAATTTGACGCTCGAGTTGAAAAAATTGAACTCTCGCGTTTAACGCGGCACCGTTCAATCGCCTCAATCGCGTGATTCGCGCCGCGTCCACCGCTTCATGCGAGCCGTCGGAGCGAATTCGCGTCTGTCCGCGTCTCTGCATTGACTTTACATGTAATCGCGCCGCCCCCAAACATCGCATCGCGTCCGGTGTGAACGCAGCATACCTACCCCACCTTTAACGTCAGGAGGTAGCTCATAGCGAAACTGCATTGACCAAACAGAGCCAGTAAAAAGCGGGAATGATTAACTGAGTGTTGTAATTTAAACCCACTTGAGTCACTGATAAATCATACCGCAGAAAAAGCACCTGTAAGGGAATATTCATTAAAAAGTTAATGTTATATAAACGCTTTATTTCGACTGAGGAGTGTTGTGTACGCTGAAGAAGTGACAGTACATTACATGACAACGGTAAACGTGTTATAGAGCATGTTTGCTGTAACTAGCTAACGAGCAAGTATACTGGATTAAAAGCACCAGTGAAACCAAACTTTGAATATCTGTCATAACAGAGGCTACTATGGTTTAACGCACTTGCATTTATTTTTAAAACACCAAATGAATTCACAACTGCCTGCTACTTCAGAATGAACATTAACCTACCGACAAAGAGTTGTTTATGTCAGGTAGTACCCGAAGTAAGTTAAGTTTCCCGTAAACAAAAACGTATACTACAGCCGGGTTTACAAGCCCTGTTAACCACAGCAGACTCGACAAAAGTCAAGCTTCGTCAAAATGTGAATTAAAACTAATGATATATCTATATATTGTATTGTTTTTTTTTTTTTAAATAAACCTACCTTTTTGTGTAAGTCGTTAGTCCCCAGCCGTCTCTACTATTATTAGAGTATAAGGAAATGTCAAACAGTTCTTCAACTTTCAGCCCATCAGGAACGCCCCTCCCTATGTGGGCAGGAGAAACTACGCGCACCTTGACCATAGGGAGCAGTTCATTGGCTTAGAAATCTGTCCGGTACCGTGACGACCAATCTCTTGTCGTGTCAGAACATGTTTAAAGAATGGAGAAACTGAAACTACAGTATTTTATGAGCATGCACATTTAATGCACCTTTTCAAATAAAAAATATATAATTTACATCGTATTTAAAACAATTCATCTCCAGAAATACAACCTACTATATAACTTTGTGAAGAAAAACGCACAAATTAAAAAGTTTAATTAGTCTGTCAAATCAGGTTGTCAGTGCGTGCGTGCGTGCGTGTGTGTCCGACACCTAACTGTAGTTATTTGGAAGCTGTTTTCACTATATCAGCCTGCGCTGAACTGTTGTTTTGTAGATGTGCGTTGGAACCACAAGACCAAAGTGCATTTTATTTATTTATTTTACATGTTTCAGTTGGCAATTTTTTGGTAGCCTCTTTACAAAACTGCACCATTGCAGTTTGTGATTCAAATATGTTCCTAATTAAACATGCAGTTGTAATAATTTCACTTCCTGAAATAGTGTACATTTTTCAGGTCTTTTGATTCATTAAAGGACTTCTTAACTACATTTGATATTTTCCTCTGGCTTCATCTAGGCTGCATGCTCAACATGTCACCACCGATTTACAACAACCATCCTGATGAACTGTTAATCATTCCTATTTTTATAGTATACCAAACCCAGTAGAAAACAGGTTCAAAGCCTTTCATCGGTCTTAATGCACAATTATTTTAGACCAGTTAGAAATAAATACAGAGAGTTCAACCTTAAAACAAAATTATTTTCCAGGAAAAGCAGCCCTGTGAGATGTAACTATAGACTGTACGTGACATCAAATAAACTTGCTGGGACTATGCTGTCACCTTCTGGTGCAGAAGTCAAATGGCTCAAAAATAAACTCATGAGTTGCTTCTCAATACTCTCTCTGTACACACTTGGACTCACATGTTGTTACAGTTATGAACCTGAAAAGAAGGCAGTTTCTGTTTACCTAGCTTCAACTAATGTGGTTTGTAGATTTCAAACTTTTGGATTCAGGATTTCAAGGGACATAACTTTCGCATTTTGGTTTAAGAAATTATTGTTAAATTGCATGTGATTAATTATATTGTCTTCTGTTGTGTGTACCCATTCTTGCCTTGCTTGTGTGTAGGCAAGAATGGGTGTATCTACACCAATGTGATGAAAGGAAAATATCTTGTCGATATAATGAGACGCTTTCTCGGAATACTGTGTTAGTATTTTAAGAAATGAAATCATTACTTTTGAGTTTTCCCATAATATTGCAATATGTATGTAAAATGGGAAGGGGTGTGTCACTTGTAAAAAGAATTGTAAAATATTTGCCACTAGGTTTTGGATGCATTGGTTCTGTTGCAGCTTGATTATTGTTTGGTTATTTGGTCTAGTGCTGCAGAAAAAGACTTATACAAATTACAAGTAGCACAACAATAAGGCAGCACGATGTGCACTGCAGTGCTCCTACAGAACCAGAGTAACTGAAATGCTGGAGACACTGAAATGGTTAAGTGTCAGACAGAGGTCCACTTATATTTTGTTACATTTTGTCCGAAATATTACAGTGACGCACTTACCACATACTCTATATTATCACAGAGGTTTATAGCGCAGTATGCTCAACATAACTATCAAACACGACATGCAATAGAAGGAAGGTTCGTATTACCCAAAATCTAAATCCAGTATGAAACAGTATTTTTTCTCAATTTTGAATTTTCTATTGAAGTAGGCATTCAGCTCTAAGAAAGAGAAGTTAGGACATCTGGAGAAACACCTGTTTTTTTATTTTGGATGGAGTAACACTTTAAATGTAGGGTACTGTAACATTTACATTTAAAGATGATTTAGAAGAATTAAAACATGACTTTGAACACAAAACCAGTAAACCACATAACCAAAACCAAAACTTCCTGCAAGTGGTTCAAGGTATTTTAATGTGGTTAGTAAGGTTACCGAACAAGATTATATTTCGATCTGGGGATCCTCTACGTTTCCTTCCTTCTTTCTCCCACCGTTACATTTATCTCCACCAGTGGCCAAACTAAATAATCGCATAAACACAAAAATAAATGATGTCGCTTTTCCATTTACTGGTTTAAGAAATGTCTGTGTGTGGGGTATAGTGCATTATTTCTGAGTTTTGTTCTTATTCATTGTTTCCTTTTGGCTGAAGTTCTTCTGCCTGAATACTCTTGGCCTCCAATAGCAGAGCTGGCAAGCTGGAGGCACCATACTGCAGGAGAGGGGGAAGAAGGAAAGGAGTGTCAGTCACAGTTATATTAAAGGGGCCCTATTATGCTCACATTTGTATGTTGAGCCTCTACTGTGACATGTCTCCATGCTTTAATGTTCAAAAAGCTCTTTATTTTTCTCGTACTGCATGTGCTGCAGCACCTCTTTTCACCCTCTGTCTGAAACCAGAGCCCAGTCTGCTCTGATTGGTTAGCTGACTGGCTCTGTTGTGATTGATCAACCGCTTAGAGATGTCCTACCACTTAGGCCACGTTTACACGGAGACGAAACGGGTTGTATCCGCTACAGTTCTCTATCGTATGGACGGTTCGTTCACACGAGGCCGTAACGGAACCGCGGAAACGGAGGCCTCAAACGATAACAGCTCCCAAGGTGGGTAAATCTGCGGACGAAACGCTCTGGGGGGCCAAACGGCTCTGTGTGTACGTCCTATACGATCATTTCCTGATAACGATGACACCATAGCCCCACCTCTCCCCACCTCTGCTGCTCACCCCCGCGTCACCCACGTCATTGATGATGTGTTTCGCCAACAACAATGGCGGATCACAGGGTTGCTTTCATGCTCCAGATGCTACTGACCATGCTACAGATGTTAGTGCAAAATCTACAGCTCCTCTACCACAACCATCAGCAACAAGTGGACATGGAGAACTACATGAACTACATGTTGCTAAATCCACCGCGGAAAATAATCAGAAGGGCAACCAGGCAACCATGGCAACCATGCTCGGGGGGTCTTCTTCGCTGCTTTTGGTGTATTTTGTGGCGGAAGTACAGCGCCACTTACAGGCATATGTACTACAGCGTCTCCAGCGAGTTGAGCGGTCTCGTGTGGACGGACACGTTTCTTGAGCCGATTCCGTGTGGACGGAAGAGTTTTTTGATATCGACATCGGTTCGTTTTCGTCTCCGTGTAAATGTGGCCTTAGCCTATCACATACAATGTGTTGGTGCGCTAGCCAATAGAAGTGGAAGTGTTACGTAGTGATGTCACTATCTTAAAGAAGTAAGAAAGAAGTCTAATGGAGGCGTTTCATGCAGGGGGGGGGCGGAAGAGAAAAGTTAACATTTTAGCCTTTGCAGACCATTTATGGCGCGTTTCCACTACAGCCCGCAGCCCGGTTTAAGAGGGCTGTGATGTCAGCGGCCCGTCTTTGGTTGCGTTTCCACTTGGCCTAGTACCGGCCGGCGGGTCCTAATTCACAGTTTTTCTGGCCTCATAAAATCGTGGGGCCAGGGCCAGAGACAACGAGGCTGAGTCGGGCTGAGTATGCTAAACTAGAGAGAGCATCGCTGGTAAGGGGGCAACAACTACAACAAGATGGACATATTTGACCGTGATTTAATTGTAATACACGTTTCAAAATGATGCCGAAGTAACAACATACTGATACCGGTTAGTAAAAACCATGAATTAATGCTTTGACAAGTCTGCAGACAGACGGCAGGCGAAAAACCTTTTAAAATGCTTGTTTTCTAAATGGAGATTGGCTAAGCTAACGCAGTATATGCTCCAACCGTCCACACTCACAACAACGGCCTATACAGACATAAATAAAGCAGCGACTGTATTCGCCATGACACAGGCAGTCTGTGGTTTGTACTTGTTTAACTTTTGTCTAGTTTCTGAACATATATGAGGAGCTGTGAGCTCTGAGTGCTAACAGCTAACGGCTGTGTTGTTTTTCTGGGGTTCTCATTGAAGATGACGTCACGGCTCCGCCTACACTGCGTTACTATAGATACTGCCCCAGTTCCTAAACTGTAATGGAAATGCGCCATAAAGTGAGCCAGTCCTAACGAGGCCCAGCCATACCGAGCGGGGCCGAGCGAGGCCGTGTAGTGGAAACGCGGCATTACATGCAGAGAAATCGATATAACACACTACAGGAAAGAGAAACATCCAAAAGGCATTATAGGGCCCCTCTAAAAGGCTTTAAAAAACATCAATTACAAATAAATGTAGGTTGATTTGCTAAAGTTGTGTGTATACCATCTCTTTTTCTTTGGGGTGTTTGCGTCGGTAGTCCAGGTATTGTGTGTTGAGCTCTCTGATGTCGTGCAGGAAGGCTTGGCCTCGTCTCAGATCAGCTAGTCGTGCTTTAAGTTCAGATTTCTCCTTTTGCAGCAAACACACCTGCCTCTCCCCCCTGACCAATCAAAAGAGGAGTCATTGTGAGTTAAGGATGGAAGTAACCTTAACAGGAAGTAAAGGTAGTTTAAAGAACATAGGTTTCACCCTGTTTCAGTTTTTTTATTTACAAATGTATTCTTATTTTTCTGTATTTTATTTCCCCTGTTATATCCATTTATACAGGATTATTTTTATGTTGAAATATTTAAATTAATAATACGCATTAAAATTACTATTCGTATCTTTATTTTCTATACCGTGACCATGTCTTTTTGTCGTCGTAGGGTAAGTGGGATCCGTTTGATTCCACAAAAAAATTGAAAAATACTTGTAATTCTATGTTTGTTTTTTCAGTATTTGAAATGAACAAAAAACAGACTTGGATAAGAATTAAAAAAAGAGCTGACTGAAAATATCACTGAAAATACATTTATGTGCAAATGATGGACCTCACTGTTGAAATCATAACGGTTTTTATTACTAGATTCTTTCAAAGGGAATATTTTTAATCTTTTAGACTATAACATTTAACAGGAATCAGAATGAAAACTGATGTGTTGGTGCATCTGAACCGCCTCTCACCTCATCAGCTCATTTTTGGCTTCCAACAGTCTCTGTGTCTTTGTACGGATCGAGGAAGCCACCTGACCACAAAAAGCATAATGGGACGCTTTAAGAGATTTGCTCTTTGCTCACTGCAAGGTAGGGCGCCGGGCCTTGGGAGAAAAACAACAAGTTAGTTTTGTTTAAATGGTTACCTCCCCTGCTTGCCTGTGCTACTATAACAATCTGTTATCTGATTGGTTTCTGTTACATCCCAGCTCGTTAAGGGAAGGGGAAGCAACACAACACCAGATGTTCTTTGGTTAAATAAAGATATTTTCAAAAAATATAGTCTCTGTCTCAAGGGCCAAGTGGTGTTATCGGTGGGCCATGCCCGGTACCGCACCAATCCGGATCCTCCACTCGCCAGGTGGGAGGGACCTGGGCGACACGTCACTGAAGGCCAACAACCAATGACCTCTTGTGCAAAATGTAATCGTACTTCTTCCCGTGGTTGTCATCATATTTCAGTCTGGACTAAAGTGATAGGTCAACTTCGCAAAAGCCATTCTGTTAGCATTGCTTAAAGCTGGTTGCCATAGTTACCTTTATGTTTTCTCTTTTTAAAACCTTTAGCTCCTTGGAAGCAGAGATCTGGGGGAAAAACACACAAAGAATGTCTTGATTAAAATCCTGATATCAATTCATTTTTTTCACCTCTGTTTTGATGTTTAATGCTTATTTTATGAGGTGGAATTAATGCATATTTGCCTAAAGATAATAATTATGCAAAAGCTGTAAAAAACAGAGCACTGTCTTCCTGTTTTACAACAGTTTTGTCATTTCTTATGTGAATGAAAAATGCCTCAACAGTTAGAAATATGGTTGTAACTCTGCACTACATTCTGTTATCTGACCTTTTCTAAGAGCTGATTTTCCACATTGGAGGAGAAAGAATCAACACACTGTTTCAAAGTGTTGGACTCCAAAGACTCCCTGAAACACAAACAGAAAAGGTTCACTTCTTCAACTGCAAAACTTGCAATAAAAAGTATTAAACTGTAAGGAGTGTTGGTGGTGACATGATTTGACTGGAGTTTACCTGTACTGGTCACAGAAGTCCAGGAAGGCTTCCAGCACCACCTCCAACTGTGTCCCCCCCTGGCCCCCCCTCTGCCTCTTCCTCTGTTTATCAGTGCTGGCCGTCTCTGGTTCAGGAGATGCACTGCCTAAAAATGATCCGGGGCATTAGCGTTGATCTCGTGCACAATATATGTTGTGATGTATAATCAAATATCAGAAACACAACATCCTCAAAAGTCCACTTGATGCCAAGAAGCTATGAATACAAATATACTCTTAAGAACTTAAAAGAAAAGTTGAATTTGTAATAACAGCTTTTCAGTTTGCTGTACATACTGATTGAGGATGCAGAATGCAGCAAATATTGAATATGGATCACCATAAAAGATTTCTGTTTTATATTTAATATTATTATATTATTCGTATCCATCTCTTGACAGCAGAGCACATAAGTATAACTCCCAAAATGTCAAACCATTATTTTTAACAGGGTTGAAACGTAACACTTTTTTCTCTTACCTGATGAAGACTTCTTAGCTTTCGACTTCTTCGTTGAAGACTTTCTGCCGAAACGATAAAACCTGGCCGTCTTTGTACTTGGGCACTGAGTCAATAATATGAGAAAAAGTCACAATTTAATTTGACATTCCTGGCTGCTGATGCAAGTATCTGACTCCAGGAGTTAGTCCGTACCCAGCTCCTCTCCTCTCCCACATCCTCTTCCTCAGAGGACAGCACCCTCTTACGTCTCTGCTGAGCGCCACCAGAGTCAGACTGCTCCTAAGGAGGAAAAAACAACAAACAGTTCATCGTCATACCTTTTCAACTCGACTACTCATACAAAAAGGTTCCCTTCCTAATTATCTAATGCTACTTTCACAACGACATTATCACAATTATTGTAAACTACAGACACTACCCTTGGTATTGGAGACACTGACACTGACGTACATTTGAGTATGTAATACACTCTGAATGTATGTGGATTTTGCATCCACGAGGAAAGCATGGATGTATAATACATTAGCAAAAATGTCTGCGTATGAGACATAAGCTTACTGGACTCAACCAGCCCAGAATGCATTGCGTGTTTTCAGACTGTCCCATGGCGGACAGGTATAATAATTCAAAGTTGGCAAGTGAGGTTAAAGAGCTGTTAAGGACAGGAGCTTGTATATATAATCTACCGTAGAAAACATATTTAACACTACAATATGTAATACAATTAATTCGCCTTAGAATAATACTGGTAATATTGATTTACATTTGTAAAACATTTTTTTTTACCAGCACTAGCTCAGCAACAATGCAGTACATACCGATTGAGGATGTTGTAGGCAGTAATTGAGTGAGTGCTGCTACCAAGAAGCCATTACTAGACTGTGGATACAACCAGGAAAAGCTACCGTGGGTGAGTGGATTCATTGCTGATCATATTTTTAAGATGGTTAAGGTATGTCACACCAGTACAATCATCATTCGTCTAAAGTGGATTTTTGTGTCTATTATTATTCTTTTTTTTCTATGCCCCCCTTGTTTGAGTATCATTGAGGTACACCCCCATAACCTTGTTCTTGTTCATCATTTATTTCATAGCATGTTTAAAGGTCAATGCCTCTGTATTGTCCACAAAAACTGTAATTCATTGATGTGTGCTTTCATTGTACTACAGAAGGCGTAAAGAGAATATTGACATTTATTGACAATGATTGTATAGACTTGAAAAACTGAATAAAAATAGAGAAAGTCTTTATGGTTCACATCCTTACCTGTGGCTCGGGGTCACATGACATCCCGCTCTTTCTCTTCTTGCCTTTCTTCACCAGCTGATTCTTCTCCGGCCTTGTCGACACAGAGACAGATAAATACTTTGATGGGAGAACAGGACATTCATCATGATCTCTGTGAGTGGGATGTAACTTCTGTGTGAGCTCACCTCGCTGCAGACGTCCTTACAGCACTCCTCCTCTTCTTCTTCTCCTCTTCCTCCTTCCTCTTCTCCTCTGCTCCACGCTGTTTACCAGCAGCCTTCGACGTCTGAGGAATTTCCTTTCTCCCAGCCTTTCCTCCGTTCACCTGTTCCTCGTCTAAGACGTTTAAATCTTCTTCCAAGGCAGTGCTGTGAAGAGGGTTGCCTAGGAAACACAAGAGTTAGTCTATTGTTCTTAGGTGTGATTAGGTTTTTCCAACTTTGGAAAGGCAAGTGATGTATGTTTACAAGTTTTTGTCTCGTAAATGATTGCTTTTTTTTCTCTGGAATTGACCACTTTAGTTTGAGATAATATCCTGTTTTTGTCTTTTTTGAAAGTTTAATCTCCAATTTATAATGCAGCAACCATATGAAAGTGCTGTGTTGGGCTTTCAAAAATCCTTGGAATTAAAAAGTTGTTAAATTCAAATGGTTTATTCCTTTTATCTTTACTAACAGAGACCATTTTATTTACTGCACTATGATACTTTTATTGCATTTTTATTTTCAAATCATAATGTGTTAAGTTTGCTTTTCTTTGAATTTTTAGGTATTTCTCAGATTTGTTACTGTTGCTAGTTATACTCCACATGCCAACCTATTAACCCCTCGAAGACAAATAGTATGTTTTAAATGAAATAGTGACACACACTTTATAATGATATAGCTGACTTACCATAGTTTAGCTGCAGTCCCTCCAGGAAGCTAGCTCTGTCTATAGCTGACAGGTTGGGAGAATCTGTGTTCTCATTAGACGAACCTTTCTGGATTTCAACAAAACAGAGGATAAGAAAACTTTCATCATTCAAACATTTTATCACATTAGGCGCTTTCACACCGCAGTACTTTTCCCACTTTAGTTCCGATATAGTTCCGAAATGTTGCGTTCACACCAAAAAAATCCGGAACTAAAATGAGTTAATCAGAACCTTTTTACCCCCTTTTCTGTCCCTGCTAGAGAGCAGGGACTTTCGTGGGAGAAAAAGGTTCCTATTTCTGATTGGCTGGGCGGATTGCAAACCACGCCCCGTAAAACTCCCAAAAAGCTTTGTGAAGCCGCCATTTTATTATCGCATTAGCATTATTAGCATTAGCCCAGGGAGTCCCAGCAGCTTCTACTGAAGCCAGTCCCCAACTCCGGGGACTTCCGGCCGGGGACTTCGGGTGGCAGTATACGCCGTGAAGTTGTTTGCGGCCTGCCAGTAAACCCAAAGCAGAAGAAGAAGAAGTGACGTCAGCGGCTTCATTTGACTAATCCTCACTCATGGACTTATTCCGGTGTGAACGAGATCTGCTCTTTAGTTCATGAGAACTAAAGAGTTCTCATGAACTAAGTACAGATGAACCTTTGTGGGAAAAGTACTGCGGTGTGAAAGCGCCTAAATTGGTAATACCATTTTTCTTCAAATCAGTAGGGCAAATTATACAGTGGCCATCGACCAACTCACTTTGCTCTCATGTTGTTTTACTGTGCGCACTTTGGCTCCTCTGCCTTTTATGGCACTGTGGAAACAAAGGAGACAACACTAAAGACCTAAATACACATATTTTTCAAGCTTATAGTTAGGCTTGAAGTGTCAAGTTAACACAATATTATTTTTTGTGTTTATAATAATTTAACATTTGTATATCCTTTCCTTTTTATTGTAATACCTTATCTTATATGTTTACATGAAATACCATCTTATCACACCTATTTTTATATATCATATCCCCCCTTTAAGTTTTTATATACAGTACCAGTCAAAGGTTTGGACACACCTTCAAATTCTAAGTGTTTTATGTATTGAAATGTTTTCTACATTGTAGATTTATACTGAAGACATCAAAACTATAAAAGAACACATATGGAATTGTCTAGTAAACAGAAAAGTGTTAACACATCCAGAATATGATTGATATTTAGCTGGCTACTGCAGAAGGCTGTGGTAGCCATGCTGGTTAAGTGTGCCTTGAATTCTGAATAAATCACCAACAGTGACACCAGCAAAGCCCCCCCACACCATCACACCTCGTCCTCCATGCTTCACGGTGGGAACCACACATGCAGAAACCATCCGCTCACCTTCTCTGCGTCTCACAAGGACACAGAGGTTGGAACCAAACCAATCAAATGTGGACTCATCAGACTAAAGTACAGATTTCCACTTTCTAATGTCCAATCCTTGTGTTTCTTGGCCCAAACAATTCTCTTCTTCTTGTTGTTCATCCTCAGTAGTGGATCTTTGCAGCGATTGGACCATGAAGGCCTGATTCACGCAGTCTCCTCTGAACAGTGGATGTTGAGATTGTCTGCTCCTTGAGCTCTTTGATCATTGATGTGGGCTCTAATCTGAGGTGCTTTAATTTGTGTTTTCTGAGGCTGGTAACTGATGTATTTATCCTCTGCAGCAGAGGTAACTCTTGCTCTTCCTTTGCCGGGGGGGTCCTCGTGAGAGCCAGTTTCATCATAGCGTTCGATAGTTTTTGCGACTGCATTTGAGGATAAATTCAAAGTTCTTGACATTTTCCGGATCGACTGGCCTTCATTTCTTAAAGTGATGATGGACGGTTGTTTCCCTTTACTGAGTTGAGTGGTTCTTGCCATAATATGGATTAGAAATCACTAGCCTCAACAACTACCGCCCAGTAGCACTCACCTCCATCATAATGAAGTGCTTTGAGCCCCCATCGCCATCAATGGGACTACGTGGAGAGAGTCAGCAGCTTCAGGTTCCTTGGGGTCCACATCACTGAGGACCTGACATGGTCTCTTCACACCACCACCATCACCAAGAAAGCTCGACAGCGGCTCTTCTTCCTCCGCAGGCTGAGGAGGTTCAATATGGACTCCAGGATACTCTGCAACTTCTACAGGTGCACGATAGAGAGTATCCTGACTGGCTGCTTCACGGCCTGGTACGGCAGCTGCACCGCCCTCAACCGTAAGGCTTTACAGAGGGTGGTGAAAACTGCACAGCACATCACCAGGACGGAGCTGCCATCCATGGAGGACCTTTACTCCCAGCGCCTCAGGAAGAAAGCCCTCAGGATTATAAAAGACCCCCATCACCCCAGCCACAAACTGTTCAGTCTGCTGCCGTCTGGCAGGCGTTACCGCAGCATCCGGACTAAAACCACCAGACTCAGGGACAGTTTCATCCCACAGGCAATAAGACTGTTAAACACCTGAACTGTTGAAACAACATCCACAATATTCATCTGGCTGCTACTTAAAAAATTATTGATCTTACCTAATATATCATATTTCAATGACTTGCATATAGACTCTTATTGCACTATTTCACTTTTTTAAACTATTTTTCTTCTTGTATTTACTATTTACTTGCACTATATTTTTCTGTTTATCTGTGTTTTGTGTTGCACTGTTGGAGAAGCCTGTGACACAAGATTTTCATCGACATAACTACACTGTGGCTATGTTTGTTTGACAAATAAAGAACCTTGAACCTTGAACCTAGAACAGTAGTCAAATAGGGCTTTCCACTGTGCACTAACCCTACCTCTGCACAACACAACTGATGGTCTCAAACACATTCAGAAGGCAAGTCATTCCACAAATGGACTCTTGACAAGGCACACGTGTTCATTGAAAACCATTCCAGGTGACGACCTCATGAAGCTGACTGAGAGAAGCCAAGAGTGTGCAAAGCTGTCATCAAGGCAAAAGGGGGCTACTTTGAGGAATATAAAATACAAATCATACTCTGGATTTAACACTTTTTTGTTAACTAGTTTAGTTAACAAAAAAGTCAAAACTATGAAAGAACACATTCCATATGTGTTCTTTCATAGTTTTGATGTCTTCAGTATTAATCTACAAAGTAGAAACAATTAAAATAAACAAAAAACTTCAAATTTGAAGGTGTGTCCAAACTTTTGACTGGTAGTGTATGCAATACCCTTTTGCAGTAGGCTTATCTGATTTATACATTTAATACCCATTTATATTATGTGTTTTTATATGTGTAATCTTCTTAGCCTATTTTTTTAAATATTTGTAATACCTTTTTAACATGGTTTTTGTATGAATGTAATACCCTCTTATCATATATTTTATATATGCAAAACCCTCTTATATTATGTTTGTATATATTAAATGTCATATAGTATTTTTTTTAGAAATGTAATACCTTCTTATCATATGTCTTTATGTATTTAATACCCTCTAATATTATATGTTTTTATGTATTTAACTCCCTTCTATATTGTATGTATATGTAATACCTTCTTATCTAATATGTTTTTGTCACGTATGATCAATTACCTATTATTTTTAATAGTACTTCAGTCTGCTGATGTAAATACACTTCACTTGAGCATCCTACTGCTCGTGTCATGACTCCACTCCTGGCTGCTGTGTGATAATGCGGACCCAAATCACCCAGGACCGGTTTATCATTATGTTTAGCTGCTATGTGGCTAGCCTTAAACAACACTCTATTCAGTCAGGAAGCACCTTCATGTTATACGTTAAATGCAACGCCAAATGTCGTACAAATGCTACAAAAATGAATGCTTTTCTAATAAATTGTAATAGCTTAGCTCTTCTGAACTTCCTAACGAAACTGACAACAGACAAAGCTTTTATTAGCCTCTTCTTTCACGTGCATTTGTATCGAAATTACATTAACGTTACTCTCACCGCGAAAGCATTTAACAATTATTTAATGTGTTATTAGCTTACGGCTATGCCGATACCAGCAACACAAAATGAGGCTGATTATAACTTATAACTAATTTATAATGTGTCTTACCTCATTGAGACGACTGTAGTAGACTGTAATGTAGTTTAGTAACAACAAGTTTGTTTTGTAAACACTTCGTAGCTCGAGTTGCTTCCTCTTATGCCGCTTTCACACCAGCGCCATGTTGAGGTTGCTTCCCGCAAAATGCTTGAATTGTTGGACTGTACCATTCCAAATACTTGGGGTTTGAAGGGTGGTCATAATTTATTAAATTTAAAGTTATATCTCAAAACTTCAGTTTTCCTTTTACAAAATAATAGTTTACACTTAATTATACGGTGGTCAAATATTGGTTGTATTGCTCTTAAAAGAAACAATTGTACTGAAAATGTGTAAAAACAAACTACCCCGAGAAGACTTAAATGTCGGTCCTACGGAGAGCAAAATGGTTCAATATATGCTCAAGATGTTTCAATAACGTAGCTATCTACGCCAAGTAGTTTAAAGCCATAAGCAAGAACAATTTTTTTAAAGATAATATATATAGCTCAGTCTAGTGCATGCAACAATAAAATCCATACCAAAAAAATAACAATAATAATGATACAAATGCAGATTATGAGTCAAATATATGCAAATATCTTTGGGTCAAAATAATTTGATTCACTATTCAAATTGTTTTTCATGATCACACAGCCCTGATAAAGCAAAACACATGGGACTCGCACTGTTTCTCTTCCGATACATTTTAATTACATTTTTTACAAAACAAATTTGAAGACAGATTAAAACGATTAAAACATACATATTTCACTATAAACATTTCAAAGGACTTTAATCAAGTTGTTAACAATTTTATTTGGAGATGTTTATTCTCCCCCTACAGCATTAAATTATAATAATTTAAGAAAACCAATTTATTCAACAAATCATCATCCCTTTATAAATAAATCAAAACATTGACAGTGTCCGTTACTGTTCTGTAGTACCCGGATTCCAGCTAGTTTTGTTCAGATTATTTTAATATGGCTCACGCTGAATGTTCCCGGGGTCCTTATTGGATCCGAGCTTATTCACTGAAAACAATCTCGTTACACATTGTGGAATTCAACTTCAAAACAAACTCAAGAAACATATTAAAATAAAATCTTGACATCTGACAAAAAATCATATCAAAGACCTGAGATGTATGGTTTGTGAAGCTGCAAAACCTTCAGTGAACCTGTTTTGGCATTCATCTGTGTTTTGGAGGTACTGTGTGTGAAATCCTGAGTTGTCTGACGCTACAAAGCTGCACTTTCCCTTTTAAAAAACACCCCGAATGAGATGATATCACAAAACAGCTGATTAGAATCAACACTTTATCACAGAAATCGTACTGCACATGGCTTAGGCAAAACGATTTCATCAATAGACAAACAATCATAATCTTTTAAATCTACTCTTGTATTCTGTGCTATAGATCCTCATAGATTTTGTTCTAAATGCTCTGAATCAAGTTCCATTTTAAAGCTACATCACTTCCTGTTGCTGTTGTTCCCAGGGTAACTAAACATGTTGTTTTTGGTCTGAGAGGATCTCTTCATTTGCTTCCCTTTGTGTTTTAACTTCCCTTCATCTTAAAAACCACTTTGGTAGAGCTTGTGTCCACTTTGTCTTTGTTTTACATTTTGATCCCGGAGTACAGCTCGTCTATCTGGGATCTGAAGTACTGTCGCTGCTCGTTCCTCTTCGCCTTCAGTGTGGGAGTGAGCAGGCCGTTCTCGATGGAGAACAGCTCAGTATGGACGTAGATGGACTTCACCTTAAAAGGACACACAAACAAATATTGGCAGGTTTGGTTAAACGGGATAATTGTTAAGACAAAAGTAAACATTTTAAAAAAATACGTGAATAAATGCATGAATAAATAAATAGATTGTTAAGAGTGATGATTACGGCAATTGACAATGAAACATTGTTGGTATCTACATGGCGATAAGGCCCGCCTCCTTGCCAGCGTGTGTAGTTTCAGTGACGCGAGGAAACACAATGATGTCGAAATAAATAAATAATTTAATAGATAGTAAATAATCATTTTAAAAGTATTTTAGATTCATAAAAGTGGCGATTTTGGACTTAAGCCCGCCTTCTTGCCAGCACATCTAGTTTGAGTGACGCAAGTAAACACCAATAATGCCTCCGTCAATCTTGTGCGAGGTGAATCTTCGCCACCTTCAGTTGTTTTTAAACAATAAGCATCAGAGGAACTAAATCGGAATTCCTGTTTGTTTTGTAATGTCAATAACAAATGAAGTTAAGTGAGGCAAAGATGCGGCTTCCGGCACATCCAGATTAAAAAAACATAACACATAAAAAGAAAAGTAATAATAACTTTATTCTAAAGGAAACGTACAAGTTAGTTTATATAAAAATCGGTTTTTAAATGTGCTAATGATTATTTCCAAAATTATTAAATGGTTTATTTTGATTATTTTGTGAAAAATCCTTTAAAAAAAAAAATGCAATTAAGTATGAAAATGTTGAAAATTGTTTTGCTGAGGCTAACAAGTTAATTCAAACGTCCATTTAGGTCAATAACCATTTAAAAATACTGAAATGAAGAAAAGAAGATTTAAATTAAGTTGTGCGATCCATCCTTTGTTTTCTTACAACCTTTCACGTTCAGGCAGACATTGAGAGACAAAAAAACTAAAATAACCTAAACATAATGTTTCAGAAAAGTTTAGAAGAACACTACAAGTCAGTATCGCTACGTAGTGGAACAGTAAGGATATTAAAAGGTGAGTGTTTTACCTGCTCAAAGGACTTGAGGCCTCCTTCCTTCCCAAGTCTCACCATGTCCTCAAAGATGGCTGCCTTTACTTCCTGGACAGACAAGAAAAAAAGAGGCACATTTTATGTCACAAGCTCTTTAAATTAACTCGTTTTCACAAACACTGAATTGCACAAATGTTTAATTGGAGTAGTCTTGTGCTGGTATCTGGATTTCTAAAAATGTATTTTGACCAACACATTATGATTAGCCTTGCTCATCTTTCGAGACCTCTATCTTACAAATATGTCAAATAGAGAAAAAATGAAATACAATTAGAAGACTTTATATTATTTTAAACAGATAAAGATTAAAATATGTTTTCTTTTTTTAAATAAGCCCAAGTAACTGCAATTGTATCTCCTGGTGTTGGCTCTGTTAGGAGAGAAACTCTGGAGGGAACACAGGTAATGTAGCCTTTGCAGACCATTTACATGCACACAAACCTATATAACACACTACAGGAAAGGGGAACCCCAAAAAGCAAAATAGGGCCCCTTTAAAGAGCAACTTGCAGGTTAGAGACCCCAGTGAATAAATGTGTAGGAAAATGATATATACACTAGATTTTCCCAAAAAGATACATAAATATACACTACAGTGACATCTGGCGTTGTTTTTGTAAGACATTTTTACTTCCGCATAAAAAAAGACCACCCGCGTGTGACGTCACATCAGGGAGAGCGGCCGGTCTAACGTATGAATAAACATGGATCACAATGCTACTTTTGACACAGAAGAGGTTGAAAATGTATATTCGTATGCATATGACGGACCACAACCTTATAATTATGAGCCTGCTAGGCGTACAAGAGACCAGGAGCAGCCAAGGATTAGAAGAAATAACGGCCATCGGAGAGAAATGGAGCTGTGGTGTGAGAATCAGTGGAGAACTGGGCAGCTGTCTTGGTGAGTGACCGGCGTTAGCTACAGTTAATGTTAGCTAACGTCGGTCACATCACAACATTGTAAAGTTAGCTATCATATCTCAGGCTATAACTAAAGTAGAATTGATCATATAGTAACGTTACTGGCAGGACTGTTGATACTGATCCATAACAGAAACTAATGCGCAAGTATCAGCCGTATCTCGCGTTACCTAATGCAACTCCACACTACGTCTTACGGTGCCTGTGTACCGGAGGGGAGAGAGAGGAGCGAAGGGGGGGAGGGAGAGAGAGAGAGAGAGGAGCGAAGGGGGGGGAGAGAGATGTAATACGGTTTCCTGATAAAAGTTTTGTTTGATACAGTAGGTGCTTGTGTGGGAAATGCCAGCCCCTCTGGAGAGAGTATGTACTGCAGGGAGGTGGATGCACCTAACACAACGCACCCAGGAACGAAAGCTAGCTCCGGTCCTTTTCCTGTTAGGGAAACTGTGGACTCGATGTCCTGACAGGCTGGAGTTTGTGCAACCTGCACAAACTCCAGCTCACCATGATTAAAAATGATAAATCACAACCGCTCAAACCAACTACCAACTACTACCGTGAATTGGGCAGAGAATGAGTCCGAGAAAGTTGCTCCCCCATGTGACGTAATATGACGCGTTTGACGTATGAAGTAAAAAAAAAAGCAGTTTTTAGTAGCAGAGCTCAAAACGGCTACTTTCCCCTTTGAATTCCTGCCCTTATGTCTCGTAAAACATATGAAATCCTGCATTCACTTTTTTAATTGTAATTTTCAGGCAAGGTTAAGCATAAATGTAGTAAAAAAAAAAAAACTTGCAAGTTGCTCTTTAAGTCTTCATGAATTCCATCTGTATGATTCTGAGCCATATCCAGAGAGGAAAGAATGGGCATGTACTGCCTTGGTCAGGGATCATTGAATTTGTCACACATCTTTGTAGATTGTTTGCGGCTGATTCCTAAGTTTACGAACGGACAAAGTGAGTTGTCAGCAATGCGGTCCACTTTATTCATTGTATTTGTGTAAAGTTATTTGAACTCTTTAGTGTTCTTGTTGTCAATTTATTATAGTCCAGATGGTCTTTCTCCTTTTCTTCCATGTTCAGACGCCCCCTTACCCCCACCCATCACTTTTGTACACACTGTGATCAAAAGTCTTACCGCTCTGCCACAGAGCTCCTGGAAGCTGCCCTCCAGCCCCAGAGTTCTCTTGGTCCAGCCAGACAGGAAGTCAGGGTCAGGAACCACCACAGCTACCAGACACGCCTTCAAAAGAAACACAATGCATAGCAGTTAAAAGCAGCAGAGACCTTTGGGACTTCATAATGCACTCATCCCGCTGAAGCGGACTCATGTCAGAAGGAATCAGGAGACAATCTGTGTTGGGGAGGCAGACACCCTCTTCACTTTTAAGAGCAGGCTTAAGACTTATTGACAAAGCTTTTAGGGTTGGCTCAGGCTTACCTTGATGTGTCCTCTAGTTATGCTGTTATAGGCTTAAGCTGCGTTCACATAACAGGCGGTAAAACAGCTCTGGGCTGACATTGCCGTTTGGTTTCTATGGGGAGATGGAGGGGCCATCGACTAGGCGAAAGTGCTACCCTCGCACACCGCCCAAAATTGTCTCTCAACGCTCGCTTCAAGTTCAAATGACTTCTACTTTGACCTCGATTGTCGCTGACACCCGCTGCGCAACCAATTAAATGACAGCTGTGCTAAGCTAGCAGGGGGAGGTAACCATAGAAGGAAAACTAGGGCTGGCTCAGCAAACCATGAACAAGCCCCTAGCTATGCTGCTATCGGCTAAGATGTTTCTCTTTCTCTGTATGTACATAACTGCATGTTATTAACTCAGAATCCAGGGGCATTATCCCCTACGGATTTGGATTCATTTTTTTCCACATTATCGTTTTTGTCAATCTGTCTTTGTTATCATTTTGTCATGTTTTTAAATCCATACAGACGACATATATTCCAACTATTTCCCTTTTGGGAGAGGGATCCCTCCTATGTTGCTCTTCCTGAGGTTTTTCCATTTTGAGATGTCTTTCCAGGGTGTGATGCTGTGTAAACACTGTAACGCCCCCAGAGAGAAATGTGTATTTTGTGATATTGGGATGTAAAAATAACATTTGATTGATTGAGCCGAGGATTTTGCTAATGGCAGTATAACAGGTAATAACACTGCAGCATGTCCTCCACCTACCTGCAGACTGTCTCCGTGCACGAACACCTGTGCCACTGCATCGCTCCTCATGTACACATTCTCTATCTTCTCAGGAGCGATGTACTCCCCCTGGGCCAGCTTAAAGATGTGCTTCTTCCTGTCCACGATCTTCAGCGTGCCATTCTGTCAACACACACAAGGACATCTGATCAAACGTCTGCAGGCTGTTAGAGACACAGAAGTTTGAGGTTGAATTCAAACTGTGTTACTGAACCTACAGGAAGCCATTTTCCAACGTCTCCGGTGTGCAGCCATCCATCTGCATCGATAGCCTCTGCCGTCTTCTCTGGGTCCTTCAGGTAGCCCTGGAACACGTTAGGGCCCTTCACACACACCTAGAAACAAGCACAAACTTATACATTAACTACTTTATCATAAAATATAATAAAAGACAGAGTTGTTGTCTTTTTGTTTCACCTCTCCCTCCCCGTTTACAGCCAAGTAGTTCATCTCAGACACATCCACCAGTTTGAGGGAGTTACAGGGCAGAGGAGCTCCAACGTGACCTGCAGGGCAATGTTACATAGTTATGTATTAAGGTTAAGGTTAAGTTATTGATAACTCAGATATCAATTCATCTTTTACAGTGCTACGTCATACACACAAAGGCAAGTAAAGCAGCCCTCTTATTCATGGTGTTGGTTTCAATAACATCAACTATGACTGAAAATGTTATTCAACCACTTTTCTTCCACCACTAAAACAGAAAAAATGTATTACTTTAAAATAAAAGCAGTATTTCTCTTTTGTTAACAGAAAAGAAGGAGTTTAATATGATTGACAATTGGTGAAGTCCTAATCAGAACAAGCTAAGATGAGAACAAAGAAACATATTTAGGCAAGACTAGCTTGAATAAGAATGTGAAAAATAGTTTGTTGACTAAAACTGTTTTCATTGACTAAAACTAAAATATTCACGCTTTTCTTTGACTAAGATAATAACAAAATACCCAGACTTTGAGTCAAATAAAACTTGATAACAGTTTGACATAATAGGATCAAAATAATGACATTTAAAACTGGACTGAGACTTAATAAAAACAGCTAACTAAATGTACACGTGTTATTCATTACCTGCATTGTACTCCCCGGGCATGGTCAAGGTGCATCCAGCAGTACACTCTGTCTGTCCATAGCCTTCATAGAGCTGAGACAGACAGGAACAAAACATGATTATTACATTGAAAAAATCTAATTAAAATAATAACAATAATAATGTTTTTGTATTATTATTATTTAAAAAAATTATACAAAATTAATTATGTAATGAATACTATACAAAACACAATTATGTTATTATTGTTAATATCATTATTTTTTTTATCATTACTGCTTATGCTGTACAAACACATGATTATGTTTTTATCATTATCATGTTACTACTACTACTACACACATGATTATGTTATTATTATTATTATTATTATTACTACGACTGTTATACACACACATGATTATTACTACTATTCCTACTGTGGCAGCTGCTACACAAACACATGATTATGTTATGTCAAACAGACTGGAATATAGAAAAGGAAATGTCATGAAACGTAATGATTTAATAGTTAACTTCAGATTGTTTTATATTACCTGGGTATTCTACAGAATTCCAGGACATGTGATGTGATATAAAGAGACGGAACTATGTAGAACACAGTGAGCTGGTGTTTATTACCTGGCAGCCTATAGCAGCTCTGAGGAAGGTGAGGACCGTGGGGGAGATGGGAGCAGCTCCTGTCAGCATGAGACGCACACGGCCTCCGAGGCTGGCCTGTAGGGGGCAGCACAACACAAAAGACAACATCAACAACCGCACATCATGTCTACCCCCCTCACTGCTTAAAATCTCTGATTTACTTTCGTTAACGTATATAGATCACTTTGAAATTAATGCAATGCCTTATAATACCTGACTGTCTTTTGGGGAGAAACTTTTATTTGGTTGTTTGGGTTATTGTCACCCCCAAATTGTTTGTGTAACCATTTACTGACAAACATTTTAATAGAAGATGTTGCTAAAACATATGGCCAAAAACAAAATCATTGGGGGTCTTTCAAGCTTTAGGTCAAATAAAAGTTACTACTTTACTTCAAAAGGCAAAAAGACAGCTGGAGTTGTCTGAGCCTTTTTATGCACATTAAAATAACTGTTCCACGGAAATAAAGGAATTTTGCCTGTCAACGAACCCTAGTGAAACACATTACTGGACACATAGCACTGAGCTCTACAGGGAGGTTCAGAGTTGTGCCTGGGCTGCTCTGTACCTGAACCTTCCCAAAGATGAGTCGATCCCAGATGCTGTCTCTCCTCACGATGCCTCTCTTGATCTCAGACTCCTTCCTCCTGTAGGCGAACCCCAGCAGCCAGCGCTTCAGGGAGGTGTTAGCCTGCCCGAAGATCTACACACAAACACACACAACATTACTATTATCATCTTTAATGTTTGGCAGCATTTAACTATAAAGCAAATAATCTGTGTGTGTGTGTGTCCTCCAGCTATTTAAATAACTGTTCATCTGATCTATGGGTGTATTACGGTAGACACCCATTGATTCTATACACAACTCTATATTTTTCACAAATAAACACCTCCATAACTCTGTAGCTGTTATGCGGCCCCTGAGAGTTGCTTTCCTCACATTTTATTTCCAGTGAATGTATTTCACCAATTTTGCTGTAACTTTGGTGTGTTATTCAACCATGTCATGACAGGACATGAGTAGGACTTTTCCCTTCCCTGTAGTGTATTCTACAGGTTTTTGTGCATTTAAAGGGTCTGCAAAATCCCTGTGTTCCCTCCAGATGGAGTTTCTCTCCGTCACACATAAGAAACAGCTCCATTGGATTCCTTTGTTTACTCCTGCGACAGAGTGACATCACTATATAACACTCGCACTTCTTTTGGATAGCGCTCCGACACATTGTACGTGATAGTCTAAAGGGCGGGACATCTCTAAGCGGTTGACCAATCACAACAGAGCCGGCCTGCTAACCAATCAGAGCAGACTGGGCTCTGGTTTCAGACAGAGGGTGAAAAGAGGTGCTGCAGCACAGACAGTATGAGAAAAATAAAGAGCTTTTTGAACATTAAAGCATGGAGACATGTCACAGTAGAGACACTACATACTGATATACACCTGAACATGAGAATAATAGGGCCCCTTTAATATGAGCAGGATCAGGAGAAACTGCAGTGCCTCAACTCCTTTTAAGACCCCATTTACACGGGAACGTTTGCGTTTACGCACCGAATTCGTTTTCAAAAAAGTCTTCCGTTCACACGCATTCGGCTCATTTAACGTGTCCATTCACACGAGACCACTGGAGACGCTGTAGTACATATGCTGGGCCTGTAAGTGGCACTGTACTTTCGCCACAAAATACACCAAAAGCAGCGAAGAAGACCCCCGAGCATGGTTGCCATGGTTGCCCTTCTGTTTATGCCCCGCGGTGGATTTAGCAACATGTAGTTCATGTAATTCTCCATGTCCACTTGTTGCTGATGGTTGTGGTAGAGGAGCTGTAGATTGTGCAGTAACATCTGTAGCATGGTCAGTAGCAGTAGCAGTAGCCACTGACAGTAGCTACTGACATTAGCTACTGCTACTGCTACAGCAGTGAGCAGCAGAGGTGGGGAGAGGCGGGGCTATGGCTCATCGTTATCAGGAAAATGATCGTATAGGACGTACACACGGAGCCGTTTGCCCCCCCAGAGCGTTCCGGTTGCAGATCTATCCACCTTGGGACCCGTTATCGTTTGCGGGGTCCGTTTCCGCGTTTCCGTTACGGCCTCGTGTGAACGAACGGGCTAAACGAAAGAGAAAAGTTGAGGATACAACCGTTTGCGTTATCGTGTAAACAGCACATAAGTGGCTATTCATCACCGTTTTGCCCACCTACCTTATCATACATTCTGTTGAGGAGTCGGGGCACCACAGGGAACACAGTGGGCTTCAGTGTGTTCAGGTCATCTGACAGCAGACGGATATCTCCCTGGAAAAAGCCGATCCTGGCTCCGTGCACTATCATCACTCCCTGCCAGCAATTTATTAAAGATACAGAAGGGAAAAGTTAAAAGTCACCATAAAGTAAAAGAAAAAAGAAAGGGACACAAACACAGAAATATTTAACAAAGGGTGACTATAGGAACTAAGGGAAAATACAATACCTGGACTACTCTCTCGAACATATGAGCCAGGGGCAGGAAGGAAATATGGACATCACTGCGAGAAAACGGAGCACACACCTAAACACACACACAGGAATACAGACACACACACACAGCAGGGGATGGGACAGACGGACAGGGAAACACACCAACACACAGACAGGAAGGAGAGCAGTCAGTGTTCATGTTTGTACCTCCACCACTCTCTCAAACATGTGGGCCAGAGGCAGAAAAGACAGCAGGACATCCTCTGAGGTGGTCTGAGCGTTAGACTGGAGAAAAGAGGGAAGAGGTTATAGCGGTCCTCGCTCTGCAAACTAAGACTTATAACCTTTATCATTAGTTCTTCCTTTTGAATCTGATGGTGGCACTGCTGGATCCTGAATCTACTGAGGGTTGAAAAGGGTTGATACAACGGGCGGGACAAAGACATCAGGCCTCAGTTAAATCTGCCAATGAACAACATTTTACACGGACCATTATCTCCAAAATATAACTTCATGTTTTAAATTGTAGATTTGATATACTGTTTTCTCCTTTGCTTTACTCCTCAGTAACTCTGTTGTAGTACAGGAGAAAGATCAGCATTGTTAGTTATTAGGTTAGTTAGTTATAATAAGGCAGAAAATAAATGGGAAGGAGGATGTACAAGAGAAAACAGTCAGAGAAGGACATAATGAGATATGGGATTAAAGAACACACGGCAGAGGTATACGAGTAATGGACGAGGTAGAGGAGAAGCTATGGAGAAAATAGGAGGTTCATGAGAAATACAGTCAAAGTAGAGAAGAACAGAATGAAGTAGGAGAGGAAAGGAGGTATACAAAGAAATTAAGTAAGGGGGGAAAGGAGGATGTAAAAAAAGAAAAGGGAGGTAGAGGAGAAAAGGAGGAGGTAGAGAAGGAATGGAGGAGGAAGGAGAAGAAAAAACTAAGTAGAGAAGGAAAGAAGGAGGTAGGGTAGGAAAGGAGGTACATGAGAAAATAATGCAGAGAAGCTACAAATTAGGTAGAGAAGGAATGCAGGAACTAGGGGAGGGAAAGAGGAGGGAGAGAAGGATAACAGAATAGTAATGGATGATATCACATCAGCGCCTCACCTCTGTCGTTTTGATGAAGGCCGAGCAGTTGGACACGACATTCCTGTGAGTCAACATTGCTCCCTTTGGGTTTCCTGGAGACACACACACACACACACACACACACACACACACACACACACACACACACACACACACACACACACACACACACACACACACACACACACACACACACACACACACACACACACACACACACACACACACACACACACACACACACACACACACACACACACACACACACACACACACACACACACACACACACACACACACACACACACACACACACACACTTTAGAGATCACTGTCAGTGTATGTGGACAGTAGGATTTCAGGCAGTCATGGATATTACATTGGGTGTGTGTGTGTGTGTGTGTGTGTGTCACCTGTTGTTCCACTGGTGAAGCAGATGAGAGCCATGTCCTCAGGTCGTGGAGGCTGCAGGGAGAGCACACACAGTGGGTCAAACAGGGCCCCATGATAACACACAACATCATCGTCATCATAAGTATTCACTGCTGATTGGTCATCTACAGGACAGTGTACTCACCATTGGTTGGCGATGGTTAGCCTTTCCAGTAACCTGAGCAACAGGAGAAAAAACCCATCAATGAAGCAATTGTTGAAGGAATAAAGTGACAGAAAGAAACGAGTGAAAAAAAACCACTACAATAATAATGAAAATCTAAATCTAACTAAAATAGGGACAACAGAACAAGAAAACAAGCAAGAATACAATGAATTAAGTTCATTTAAATGAGAAATTGTATTACACAAAAGGAAGTTAGCACGTAACAAGACCAAAAGGACCAAAAAAGATAAAACTACAATGACACAGAAAAAAGGCAGAAACCAAAAATATCTAGAAAAAAAGACAGACAGGGGAAGTAAACTAAAATAATGTCCAAACAACAACATAAAAGAGAACATTTTTCATAAATCAATAATTGAATACTTAGAAGGAATAAAGAGTGAGCTGTCTGCTGACCTCCATCTCCTGCAGGCTGATGATGTGGACCCCCGCCTGCTGGCCCCTGCTGACCAGATCAGCGCTGGGGGCCCCCATCAGGACGATGGTCTTCACTGAGTGGGTCCTGTCCTTCACACAGTCCAGCACCAGCTCCACTTTCTCTGCCACGTCACACACTACGGTCGAGATGGAAGCTACCACACACACACACACACACACACACACCCACACACACACCCACACACACACACACACACACACACACACACACACACACACACACACACACACACACACCACACACACACCACACACACACACACACACACACACACACACACACACACACACACACACACACACACACACACACACACACACACACACACACACTACTTCTTGGCCTTCACGAACAGAATGAAACTAAAAGAGCTACGTACAGAAAAAGACTCAAAATAATCACAAAGCAACTACAGAGAGACGAAGAAATACTACAAAGACGACTTTAAAGAGTTAAAAAGACAAAATTGAATTAAAAATATTCATGACGACATCAGAAGTTATGGTAAGAATGTGAAATAATAAATAAAGATGTATACTAACATTATATTTTTAAATTGTATTTATAAAAACATAACAAGTTAAAGTAAGTATGTGCAATAAATAGATCAAATACAAATACATTTATTTAAAAAGAAGCCAGGACAAATATTTATACAGTATAAGACACAGTAAGTTAAAGTAAAATGTCCAATAAAAGACCAAATGAAGTATAATACAAATATATTTATAACCGTTAAAGTTAGAATAAGAATGTGCAATAAAAAGATAAAAGAAAAAATGAAGATATTTATATAAACATAAGAAGAGAAAAGCCAAATAAAATATAACATAAAATAGAAAAATAATATTTGTATAAACATAAGAAATTAGGGTAAAATGTGCACATTGGACTACAATATATAAAAGGCACTTTAGATTACAAACAGTGGTCTAATAGCAATAAAGTGTATGTATGTATCTTACCTTTGTCTATGATGTAGAGGATGGCTTCTGTGCCCAGTGTGTCGTACAGAGGGACCGACACCAGAGAATAGGTGTAACACGCCAGCTCACTGATGGTCCACTACAACATAAGACATAGACTGTATGCACTGAGTGGTGAATGCAGTAATTATCAGATGTTTGATATCATAAATACTTTACTATGTTAGACTACAGGATACATGTTGTGCTTGATTCTAACAGCCAGACATCACAAAATGTCAATGTGTGTCTGATTGCGAGTTCTACCATACGTCTTCATGAAAAGGTAATGAATGCATAGAGAAAAGAGTTCAAGCATATAAGAACCATAGTTATTTAAAAGTTAATATTAATAATGTTGTCATCCTATTGTACTTCTAGAGTGGTGCAGGGATTACGTGTTTTGTAGGCCGACCTGGAGGTTAGCATCGCAAGGGCTCCCTCGACAAAAAGCTATGGTATTTCCCCACATGTTTTGATAAGCTGACATTTAGACGAGGGAAGTTGTAAAGTGCTAACTCCATTGCGGGGTTTTAGGACTCATTCCTGCACCACTCTATTTGGAGGATAACCAAGCTTTAAAGTGGACCTATCATGCTATATTTAAATGATATATTGTAGGGCCATACATATATAAGGTATATTTATACGTTTCTGTTTTCAAAATACCAAACAGATCATGCATTTTAGCCATGCCTCATTTCGCTCTATGTGCTGTTTGCTGTCTACGGGTCTGATTCTGCTGACCACGCCCCCCTGCAGGAGAGGGGAGACGTGCTCTGATCAGCTGCTGGGCTGTCAGAAGAGGGGGAGAAAAAGAGATCTCCGTCCTCCGTGTTTTATTATATAGAGTCATTTGTTTTAAAGCTCAATAAATAACAAAGAAGACCTTTGACCGGCACTTTTCTAATTTTGTCCGGAAGATTTAAACTTTAACGGACATCTTGACCGGCGAAACAAACTGAAACTGAAACTCTGCCGCACGGTCCCCTCGTTCTTTGGAAGAGGCGGAGAGGTGGGTGTTTGTCATCTGCTGGTGGACTAACCGGAGAGAATTACAGTGCTTGCCTCGACGGGGAGGGATTGCATTGAATTAAAGCAGCGGGAGCAAACGCTTGCCTCGGGGAGGGAGAAAAAAAGCCACAGCGGAGAATAAACAGAAGGGTAACCATGGTAACTATGGGCGGGAAGTCTTCTTCGCTGCTTTTGTGGCAGACTACAGCGCCACTTACAGGTACTACAGCGTCTCCAGCGCTTTCGAACGGCAATGGCCGTGGCTGTCTCCTCCTGATTGGTGGAGTTGGCCCAATAGCCGTAGCGCCACCGTCCTGACGTCAGGACAGTGTTCAAATCTGGATCAGTTTTTATCAGATCCGTTGCAGCCCCTTTTTTAGAGATTTGGGTATGGAGAAAAATAGAGAGGGTTGTGTTTTCTGACACTTGGTGAGTTCCCTGGAACACCGGGGACACATATTCATGTAGAAAAGACGTACAAAAGTGCATTTTGCATGATAGGTCCCCTTTAAGTTCTGGAACCACAGTTCCCCTAATGCTTTGAAAGATGTACCCAGGATATAAAACGATACTATGGGTTCAGTGACTTACGCTGTGGCCTAGAAATATTTGTTTGCTTCTAATTTTAATATCTTGGCAAAATAGCACTGAAAAGTATGCTAAATGAGTGTTCAGCAGTTCTTGTTTGTTGACTTCCTTTGAGACTATTGAAAAAGAAAATAGTTTTCTGATGTCTTAAAGGACATTTTGAAGATTATTCGCAATAGAGTGGTACGTTTACTGGTCTCATTAAGTCACTCTTTAGTAACTGATGTTTTTTAGGACACAGAGAAGCTTCAGACATGCATCAGTGGGGACTTTACAGACACATTGTTTGTAGAACAAAATGTGAAAATTCCTTTAGCTTGTGTTAACCACAGACCTTGATAAGACATCTATCCAAAAACACTTTCAAAAAACATTTGAGGTGAGACGAGGGAACCAGGAGTGCTAGAAGGCTACTGTAACTCACTTCCGGGTTTTAACATTCCTGCAGCAATCTTATAGACATCTGGAATAATGATGACCTGGGAAAACGTAAGTCACACTGAAACTAAAAATATACACGAGTGTCTATGTGTCGGACCATGTTACCGAGGTTACTGAGTCATGACTCAGAGAAGGAGTGTGCTTTTGATGCAAATGAGCTGCCCTTTAAACAGGCCCTTAGGGTACAGTCTGTACCTCGGGTCTGTTCTGAGAGAAGATGCCAATGTGGGGGTCTGTCGTCTTGGAGTGTCCTTTGTGAAGAAACGCGGATCCCAAATTCTCTGATCGCTCCATTACCTAAAACAAGGAAACACACACACACACACACGTCAAATTGAATTGGCTGCCGGTTTTACAACAGTTGTTCACTCAGGTGGTGCTGGAATGTTCCATTAATATTTTACAATGTTAATGAGTCAAGTAAAATGTATGTTTGACCAGAAATAACAGAAAACAAGCTCCTTACTGTTCAACAAATTATGATAGCAATCTAGTACTGTCAAAGGAAACACATTTTAAATATGTTAAAGTCACTTTAAAGTCACCATCACCTCATAGAAATACTACAAATATTAAGATGTTAATTAGATGTATTAACAACACGAAATAAAAAAAAACATTTATATAAACAAAGATTTAAGTAAAAATGTTTAATAAAACAAATAATAAAGAATAAAATAGGATACGCATTTTAAATGTTATAGTCATTTTTAGGTCACCAAAAGCTCATAGAAATAGATGATGTATTGCATATTATAATGACCTTTTCTATTATAGTGTTCCATTAAATCAATGGAGAGTTGGTTATGAGGTGACATGTAACTGACTATAGAGTTGAATATGGAGCCTACAAAAATTCACTGGGAAAAATATAGATGTTTTTCTTTTGAAATAAACTAAATCTATGAAGTATTAAAAACCCTGCCTTGTGAGGGTCAAACAAAAAACCCACTAGATCCTACATATACAATAATGCCATTCAATAGCATTTACCACACAACTCTTAAGAAACTAAATATAAATACCTGCAGGTTATATTTGCACACCTAGCCACTAGCTTTAACCCCCCCCCCCCCCCCCCGACTGTGTGTCATCACTGTTTGTTAGCCTGCACCCTTTACAGCTTTAATGTTTTACGAGCTGAGCTGCTCACGGTGACTCTGACCTCTCTGTAGGAGATCCACTCATACGGCTGTTTGGGTTTCCTGGAGCCCAGGAATGGGCCGTTATCTGGAGAGACAGAGGGGGGGGGGGGTTTGTATATATTAAAACACCCTCTTATCACACATGCATGCTGTACTCTCCTGCTGCTGACACAAACGGAAAAACATGCGACACTACAATGTTGATAGTGGTGGCACTGTAAGGTCAACATAGAACAACAGCATCATCAAACGCAATCCAACTCTCTCATTTCAGGGGAGAGAGTTGGAAAACCTCTAAATAACCATTTATTTCGGATGAAGATATCCCGGACCTTGCATCTCTTGTGCAAGCAATTACTGAACTCTTTATTAAGTGTTTATTACTTGTCGAATAGAACCGAAAGTCTCAACTTTATTATTTGTGTCATTTGGATTGTCTATGTTGTGATTTTATTGTCAATTTTGTTGTATCTATTAGTGATGTTACGTATTGCGCCGAGGCTTCGGAGCGTGTGTCGAGTAATCCCCGAAGCTTTGTGTGAAGCTTGTATCGAGGCTTGTATAGTTTTGGGCCAGTGACGTCACCGATGACAAACGAAGCCTCGCTGCCCCTCAATACCACGTGACTGCTTCAGAAAGTGCTTTAGATCGGTTGAACCACAACGCTCATATTACCCATGGATGTATAAGAACGATGTTACCCCTCCTGTACCCGGGCCCGGCGGTGACACTATGGAATTAAGAGAGCTCAGACCCTCACTTATATAGAGGTCGGAACATGTCATAAGTATAAATAAATAAAAGCATAAATAAATGAATAAATACAGGAATAAGTAGTATACAGTGTTTCCAGTCAGAATCAGTGTGTGTGCTGCGGCTCAGCTGGAAAGCAGTTGACTCACAACCGCAGGGTCATGATATATACACGCTCAAACATATTATTTGCACACTGATTAATCTCAACCGCTGTCACCAGCATAAACCCTTTCGGCGCCCTCGCTAACCCCCCTATCTTTTCAGGTGGAGCCGAGGACCCGACCAGCATCTGCCAGACGACATTCCAATTAATACGGTTTAATCATTTAATAAATACTACCTCAATAATTAGTATAAATTGTGCAAATATGCAATGCCAAACTGTACTGTGCAATCACGCTAATAAAGTGCAAACTGTTCACTACTAAAGTGCTGAGTGACATTATTTCTGTGCAAAGGGAAGTTGTTATATAAAGTGCAAACCCACATGTGCAATATTACAAGGCCCGAAGCCGTCAGTCCATAGTAACAAAGTTACCTTCGTTACAGTACGTCTGCTGATCTTTACGGTGGCCTACAGGGGCAAGCGCGTTACAATGGCCCATAACACTTCATTAGGAGAAATGCGCTGCAGTTTCAAAAACAATGCAAATATAAAAGCACAAATGTGCCAAATCACATGCAAATGAGGAAACAATCTTCACCAACCTGACAAAACATGTGCAGCGTTTTGTCAGTATATTTGCAATGACTAGGTTAGCGTGCTAGATGACAGCAGATATGCAATAATATCGGAAGAAATCTTGTGATCACATTGTTCAAATAAGCTAATAAAACGTACATTTGAAGTTTTCAGTGACAGTTGGCCAACATTATTATCCCTGTAAACAAGCGCTCCGGTCCCAGCTGTGTGCGTCACTTTTTAGAGTCCCCGTTTCCATTGAGTTTTGAGCTTCCTGCAGCGTTACGTTTATGCAGCACTTTTAGTCAATCCTGCCCATGTGTTGTCAAGTTGGTGAAGTTCTCCATTTGCATATTTTGGCACAATTGTGTTTTTACATTTTTTTTAAATGTGTAAGTGCAGCACGTGTTTTGGGCCGGTGTAGCGTGTTGGCACATGTCGGCTACCGTAGAACCTACTCCCCTTGCTCTCCCCAAGAGCAACATTTATTCCCCATTATAGCAAGGCAGACAGATTGTCAAACTATCAAAAATGAATTAATATATTTATGTGTTTGTGACTTACTGGAGACTCTGACGCCTCTGAGGAAGCACTCGTACATTGTTGTGGCGTCGTCGTAGAAGTGTGTGATGTTAGCGTCTCCTTTCAGCAGCACTGATCGGCGTGCCAACTCTCCGCCCTGATCAAATCAAATCAAATCAAGTTTTATTTATAAAGCACATTTAAAAGCGATTTTTGGTCGAGCCAAAGTGCTGTACATGTAATATTAAATAAACAATAAATTACAACAGATATATATAAAAAAAAAAAATTTTAAAACACAAGGAAAAGTCAGGAGTCGTGCTCCGCTCTAACTAGAAAGCCAGAGAGAAGAAGTGTGTTTTTAGAGTAGATTTAAAAACCCCTAGGGTCTGGGCCGACCTCACATGGAGGGGCAGAGTGTTCCAGAGCCTAGGGCCAGCTGCTGCGAAGGCTCGGTGCTCTCGGGTTTTAAGCCTGGTCTTGGGCACTACCAGCAGCAGCTGGTCAGCAGACCTTAAAGCTCTTGTTGGGGTGTAGCGCTGGAGGAGTTCAGCTATATAGGCCGGAGCCAGCCCATTTAGGGCTTTAAAAACAAATAAAAGGATTTTAAAATCAATTCTGAACCGAACTGGAAGCCAGTGTAGTGAGGCCAGAATTGGGGTGATGTGGTCACGCTTTTTGTGGCCAGTCAGCCAACGTGCAGCTGCGTTTTGGACTAGCTGCAGGCGTTTAATTGAGGCCTGGTCCATACCCACATACAGAGCGTTACAATAGTCCAGTCTTGAGGTTACAAAGGCGTTAATAACCCTTTCTAAGTCTTTAAAAGATAAATACGACTTGGTTTTGGCCAATAGTCTTATTTTAAAAAAGCAGGATTTGACTACGGTGCTGATCTGCTTGTCGAATTTAAAAGTGCTGGTGAAGGTCACTCCAAGGTTCATGACCGAGGGGAGGATGTTTTTATTGAGAGAGCCCAGAATATCAACCGGAGAGGCTGGAGGTTGGGGTCCAAAAAAGATGACCTCAGTCTTGCTCTCGTTGAGGTTGAGAAAGTTTTTGCTCAGCCAGGATTTTATCTCTGCTAAGCAGTCCATCAACTGCTGTAGTGAGTGTTTGACATTTGCTTTGAGAGGCAGATATATCTGATAAAACAAATCAATATAATCTAAGATTGATCCAACAGATATTTATTTAATCATTCATTCAAACATCAGTTATAGTCTCTTAATTATCGCTTGGAAATATCATTCACATAAAGTTTCAATTCTTTTAGTGTTGTTATTACAGTTTAGTGCAGTGTCAGATTGTTTCCCAATAGAGTGGTGCAGGAATGAGTCCTAAAACCAGGACATTAGTTATTTGTTTCGCACTTCTGCTTTCCTCGTCTAAAAGTCAAGGTTTTGTTCAGATTCCTGAAATAAGGTCTGCACAAGAAAATAAATGTTCACCTTTTGTTCTACGACATAAAATACGTCAGTAAACACCCTACTGGTGAATGTCTGAGCTTCTATGTGTCATAAAAGCAGTGGTTGTTTGCTAGTGACTAAATGGCTAGTTGGGGGGGGGTCTCTGTCACTGTCGAAGCTTCTATCGCTGTCGCCTGACCTGATGTGTTGCACCAGATGCTTCTTTGGGAGTAAAATATAGGTTACAACAAAACTTGACTTCCTCTGTGATCTGCCGACGGACCAATCATTGTGAAACAATGGCAGCTTGTCCTGCCTTTGCACTTACATTAATAATTAACACCTGGTCCAGTTGGTTTTGAACCAGTTTTTTTATACTGGTTTTCTTGGGGCTTTTGTCTGTTCAAAGCGAGAGCACTTATATAAGTATATGTACAGTGTACAATCCAAACACTTCAGTCAGGGTTGTTCCTGTGTTTGAATGTTGCTACATTTAGAGCAACAGTCCTTTACTGAACCACCGGATGTACAGCGTAATACCTTCGTCAATCTTCATACATTTGATTTCAACAGTATTTTTCAGTGGTTTCATTAGCTGTCACAGTATGTATACATCACTGTCCTACATCTGCACTTATAGGAAAGCTTGCTCTTTTATTTAAAGTAGTACGTTAGTCAGAAGGAGTCTGACATTTTTCTTGCATCAATGCAGCTCCATATGAAACATAAACAATGGTAAATATATAAAGAGTACATATTAACCTCATTTTGAGGTTCATATTTGTATTTTGTGCCTCTACTGTGACATGTTTACATACTTTAAGGATCAAAAAGAAACTCCCCCAGAGGGAACTTTGGGATTTTAGCCTTTGCAGACCATTAACATGCACAAAAACCTACAAGCACACTGCAAGAAAGGGAAAACCTCAAATGCATAATAGGGCCTTTTTAAGACAAGAAACAATGGAACAGAAATTGAACATAACATTTGAATTGCTGAAGACAAGATCTTTAATCTGGGATTAACCTCAGTTTTACATTTTTGGATTGGCTGGTGCACGAAAGAGTGCTCAACTCTAACCTTATTAAATGGTGGGACCCTGTGTCTTTGGTGGACCCTGTGATTTAATGGTAACAATTCATATTCACTTTTCAGGTCGTGGTTGGGGGCAGAAACAGAGGGTTGACCTACAAACTGAGCAGATTGATGCAATTTGGACCTAAAAGAAGTGGCCAGAGATTTGTGTTTCTTCTATATATTTGAACCTACAACCCGATCTGAAACCCACCTGAACCTCCACGGACTGCATGCGGAGGTCGCACACTGGCGGGAGGGCTTTGGGCCGGGTTGCCAGGTAGTATGTTGTCGCGGCAGCCACCGCCCCCACGCTGACCAGCACGGGGGCGGAGACGCTCTGGATGTACTGGCTGACATCATCCAGATCTGGTATCTTCAGCTTCCGCAGGAACTCCTGTCCCAGCATGGTGAGGTAAAAGTGTGTGTGTGGAGTGGTAGTGATAACACAGAGCTCTGGTTGAGGTGAGGTAAAGAGTGTGTGTGGTGGGCAGCAGGCCAGGAGGGGACCTGAGGAGAGGGAGAGAAGGCCGGTCATTCATTTGTTTAAATTAAATCTAGGATCTAGGATATTTGGACTTATTGCACCATCAGCAGCTAAAAGCCCCCCAAACTGTGAATTCAGAATTCATATATTTGTTAATGCTGATACACCACTGCAAATATTGTGATAAACACATCTTTACATATTTATTGTTGTTAGATATTGAACAGTGTGCATATTTTATCTTCAACTGCTTATGTATATCTAAATAGTGGTATTCCATTTTTACCCTTTTTAACTTTAACTTCTTATGTTTATATAAATAATAATAACAATAATAATACTAAATAATAAAAGTAATAAAATTACAAAATTACAAAATTACATTTATAAAGCGCTTTTCCTGGTGCTCAAAGCGCTTACAAGCAAGTAAAACTAAAATAAATAAATACTTACTTATCAAAATGTTAAATATTTTATTGCACTTTTTCCTTTAATGTCTTAAATATTGTTATGTTATTGTATTCTGAAAAGGAGCAACTGTCACAATATTTCCCCCGGGATACATTAAGTATTCTGATTTGATCTATACATTTTTAGGTGTGTTACTTTTAACCACCAAGCGAGCACAGCCCTAATTCAATTATTAAGCATACGTGCAGTGGTTTCCTCAGTGTTAAGAAATAAGATATACAGTGGCACCTCCGTTGATATTACTTCAAAATGAAAATGGAACATTTCTATGATTTTTGAAATGACCTTGCTAACGTGCTCATTGGAACAATGCTAACACAATGTTATTTAGCAAGTCATATCCAACAGGTACATCTGCTTATTTCAAGCTGCTAGCTGCATGCTAATTTGTGATAATCAGCTGTAATCACAGAGAACAGCTAAGGTTTAAGGGAACCTCATTATTTTGGAGGTATTACGTCACATTTTGATCTTGTTCACTTCGCTATTGGAATGGCTATTCAAATCATTTCAGGTTTAGCTGCAGATGTTTAACGATATCCTTTTTGATAAAACTGTCGCCAACCCAACACAATGGATACAGTTTACATTGGAATTACCCTCTTCGGAATAGAGTGGTCAAATTATCATTTAAAGTCAATGAAAAGTTGGTTTGAAGTTAAAGTAAAAAAAAAAACATGCTTTTGGAATTATTGTATTGGTATTATTATAAACAATTAAAGACTCAAGCTGATTCGCTCCATCAGGAGTGTGTGGTTTGATTTCAAATCTTGTGACAATAAGTATGGAACATCTTCTTTTCATTTGTTTTATTGAGCACCCTGTCCCTTTCCAAACCATTGGGAAAAAACTGAAATCGGTCCTATGGAGAAATAGCCAAAACTAGACAGCTGCATTCTTTACATTATAGAATAATTGGCTAATTTGTTTTCCTTTGTTTGGTTAATCGTAAAATGTCTGAAAATACCACCAAAGGCGTGTGTTTGCAGCGTCCTCTCAAGTACGAGTACTTTGTCCTGCAGCTACTACTGTAGAATAATGACGGATGCTCACATTGCAGTAAAATGATATCATATAATTAACACATTCTCTGGGGACGAGTCACGTTCCCAGGGTGTGCGTTGTTTGTTGAACAGGTTGTTCTCCGTGTTGTGACAAAAACACACAGTTGAGATGCGAGAGCTGTTTAAGAATAAACAGATTAGAAACACAGTCTGAACACAGTGTCCATGTGAACCTTGAGGGTGAGGACGACCTTAGGCCCAGATTCCATGGCAACAATACAAACTGAGAGACATCAGTTATCACAGAGGACAGCCTTGATATGACACCAACGTTTGGGAAATCAAATGAATCCAATCAGTTCAGCTTACAAGGGAGCACTCGTCTGGTACTGTCCTCACTCTGATGGGAGGAATGTTCACTGATGGGAAATGTGTACAAAAAGCATTCAGAGACCACTTACATGATCAGAAATGTCTCAGTTGGCAATAGTAATGATGAAGCCTTCTAAAACAGGTCTGGGTGCGTCTCGTCTCATTTGTGTAATTGTTACATAATGTACTAGCAACCGTAAAGTGGTTCACTTATATGAAATCAATTGTCACTATGATAGTAAAGGCTCAAATGTAGAGTAACTGCAGCACATGATTTATATCGTTTGTTTTAAGGCCCATGCTAAAATGAGCTACCAAAAGCTATTGGCCATACCAACACCAGACCAAGTACGAGTGTACGGAACTAAAAAAAGGTGTTTTTTTGCAAATGATTCAAACGTTTCACTTGTAATGGGAAGATAATCTTAAAACTTTTATTGATTTTTCAAGTTTTTCAAACTGATATTGCGCTTTTTGTGATCATTAAATATGAAGAGTCTGGACCGCCAGATAGCTCAGCGGTTAGAGCTGGCGGTCCATATTCAGTGCCTGCTGCTATGTTAGCGGGTTCGCGCCTACCAAACATTTCAGGCAATGTCATCTCATCTGTATCTTAAATAAAAAAGGCACTCAAATAAAAAAAGGCTCTTGATTACATTCTTAAGCCTAGAGTGTTGGGATTGCTTCTAAATCATTTTAAACTATAAGAGAAAGCGACCTCCGCCAAGGCTGCTTCCATAAGGTAAAATAATGCATGTATCTGTCTTGTGCATAAATATATGCTTTAACAAGTTACTGACAAGTAACTTGGCAAGACTTGCCTGGTATGGTATGCATCTATAGGCATAAATAACTGCATACAGACTGTTGACAAGACGACCACATTGTTTCCATCCTCTATGAGTACAATGCAGAGCTATATTCCAGCTCTACTCCTATAGCATTTGGTCCTCACTCACCTGGACAGAAAGCAGCAGGGACGTTGCTGTTGTTTCTGCTGCCAAAGCAACCGGCTCACTCTGCTTTCACGAGGCGGAAGCACGGATACATTCCAGGCACACAACACTCTCAAAGATCTGCTACACGCTGATGTGTAAACTCAGCTAATCTACCAATCAAAGGTCACACCAGCTCCAGGGAGGGCTCTGATTGGCTGGTCGGGACAAGACATGTGGTCTGATTGACTCAATACTATCAATGAACATATCCATTGACAAGATCAATAAGATTAGTAAAAGTGTGAGGACCAATCATTGTGAGATTTGGATATGTTTTATAATTGCTGTTATGTTATACCACAATACAGCATTGTGCCCACCCTGTCCATTCCGCTCTACTGTCTTATTGTAGTTTCTATTCATAGAAATCTTTGACTTAGTGCCTTGATTGAAGTAGTGTCCTTCTCTCTTCACCTTTCCCCCAGTGAGCTGAGGTGGCTGCTGAGATGATTAGAGAGTGAGATTAAAGCTGATCCACTTATCTAGTTCTGCCATTGTTTATTCTCTTATTGTAATGGCTCTGGGTTAAGAGTCCACGAAATGATATCTTGATCCATAAAATGGGCTTTACAATCCTCTTTAAAGTGCATGTTTTGTCTGACCAACTATCCAACACTTTGATTTTGAGTTCATTGTAACAAAAAACAAAGAAGTTTGTTCGATTTCATATTGATATTGTGCTAAACATTTACAATTTCAGAAGTCTTTATTTCACTTTTTGGAATTGCTTGTTTTGTCTAGCTAACTGTCCAAAACTGAAGATAGTCAGTACATTTTAAACAGAAAAAACTGCACATTTATATAAAAAATGCCATACAGAGATACGGACATACTATTAACAAAGTGTGCCATACAGACATACTATTAACAAATATGCCATACGGACTTACTATTAGCCAAATAAAGGCATTATTAATAAGTATTTATATTAGGCAAACACTTTTTGCAATTTCATTCGAAAGGGGGCTCCTTCAAATAGCTTGTTTTGTCTAACTAACCGTCCAAAACTGAAGATATTCAGTCAATTGTAACTTAATGAAAAGTGTTAAACTTATCTTAACTTGATAAACTCAGTGATTAGGTGATAAAGGAAAATATAAGATGAGTTGTCCTGTTGCATTTACTCAAGAGTGCAAGAATGGATTACCAAGCAGGCAAATGATATGCGCCGTATAGCTACCGCCTTTTGAATGGCTTCATATTCAGGGCCTGCGATGTAGAGGGGCTGTGTGTTCAAATGAAGGGTATTTCTTCTTAAGAAATGTGTGGAAATGATCATAAAGTTACTGTGATACTGCAAACCTGAGGTAGGACACTGAATCACTTCACTTATATCTTGATTGTTCAATATTTGTATGTGTCAATTGAATAATGCTCTGAATACATTTTCATGCTAATGTCAATATTTGTTCAGTGGTTTGGCATAACTGTATCTCGATATGGTAAAACCAATAAAGAGTTTGAACTTTGACCAATGAGTCTGGCTGATTACAGTTCATAATTCCTAAAGAAGGTGCAACTCCGTGTAACATGTATCTATCTACCATGACGTGAAATGGAGAAGGTGCAAGATCAATATGTTCCATACTGTATTAATGTATGCACTTCTTTCTGCAATGCATGCCTGAGGTTTTAGTGAAGCACTTGATCCGCTTTCTTCTAGCAGCCTGAGCACCCCGGTGTTTATAACAAGCGCCGCAAGCGATGAAGAGAGGCAGAGAGGCAGAGAGAGAAGGGGCGGGGGCGGGGGGATGGATAACAAGGAACCAATGAAATTAGGGTGGGTTCATGACGGCCAGCCAATCAGAGACCAGTCACCTTTCACCTCAAAACCTGCAATGTGCCACTAAAACCCTGTAGTGATATGTACAGTCTCTCTCTGTCCACCTGCCTAACGTTAATACACAATACTGTTTCTACACAATATTCTTTTACCTTAATACTGCCATACAGGCCACACATGAGAACATATTCAAACTATCCACCAGAATGTAAGTGAACAGTGTCGTTTATGTGCGATAATCTCTCCCGTCGGACTTTAAACTTCAATGAAACATTAAACTTCCCTGTACATTTAACACTCTTGTGCTAACTTTCGGAACACACAACGTTCACTTCTTCCTGCCAAAGTCTACTCCAGCGTAACCTTCTGACAGTAGTGACAGAACTGAAAGGTCATTGTGGCACCGTTACAATGGCAAGTAAAGTCAACCAGGGAGACAACTTGTACAGAGTCCTTAAAAAGTATCTTGAGTACATAGTGAAGTAAATTCAGGGGTCGCGAGCAGCACTTAAAGTTTAAGTTAAACCCTCTTTTCATTGACAACAAACTGACATTACTCTGAGCAGAAGACCCAACCTGACTTTCAATAACATTCAACGCATGTTTCTTATGTTACACGTGTACATTTCTGTAAAACATGTGGTATACACAATTATAAACACATTTTAATTAATAGTATGAATACACTAACATGAAGTAGCTTATTGAGGGACTTCCCACCTGTTAGCAGCTCATCTCCCCGGCTTCTTCTTGTTCCATTCTGACCACGCGCACCTAGACGGTTTAAAAAATATACAATTTCCGGGCCGAATGTTTCAAAATAAAATAAATCCATAACTTTCTCAACAGTAAACTATGAAAGGGCAAAGGGCTACAGTAAACGAGTGTATTTTTAAATAATATTTAATTAGAAATATTCTGAAGTCTACTTAGATACAACTGTTGTCTTCCTAGATTGTCTTTTCATATTGTAGCGATTGTAGTTTGTTTTTAGAACTCTTAATTTTGAAGGGAAAATTGCCTTATTTCCGGTCATAATAAATGTAAAGTAGAGTCGAGCATAGTATAATGTTTAAGAAGGTATCTTTAAAAATACGTATTATATATTTAAAATATAGATTAACTTGTGTTGTGTAATAACGGTAATAACCAGTAATTGAAGGTCATAGTGTTTCCTGTTGACTCTGAGACAGGAAGTCACACTCTGATTTAGAGTGGCTGAGAAGTCATATTTAACCTGGAGGAAACTAACCTTTACACTTTGAAAAGTACATTAATTGCTTATTACACATTTGAAGTGTAGAGCAGTAGAAGCTGTTACCATGGATACTGGTAGTGCATTCAACTGAATGGAACATAAAAAAGGACATTTCATTATTTGTAATTTTAAGAAAATCAGTGAATAATCATTAACATGCAAATTGACCACTCAATTATTCATTAACACCATATGTATATTTTAATAATAACAAGGTGTAAAAACAAAACAATAAATTAAGACTGATAATAACAGAACATTTTGTATAAAAAAGAACTATATGTGAACATTTACAGTGACATTGACATTTAGATTGTTTTTAATATGTACAGTTTCTTTTTTTTCATTAACTGTTCCAGATTTGAGCTATATGAGATGTGTCTATTCAATATGTAAATGAAGACATACGAAATGACAAGGTCTTTCAAAATGAGACAAAGTAAGAACAGAATAGTGACAACATAAATGAAAGGAATGTTTACAGTGCACACATAAGTAGAATACAATTTAAATGCAGGTGTGAAACATTTCAACTCCTAAATAAAACCACAGACAGAACCAACAAAGGAATTGTATAGTTGCTAATTTACAGTGGAATGTTGTCGATGTGCTGATAAATATAGTTAATTCACATTTTTTCAAACCCTTCAAAAAGTAAACTGTAACTATGAATACAGATCTATGTGTTAAAGTGTTACCATTAATACATAATAAGCTTTACCTCCTTAAAATGCAATGTACCACTAACTCTGTGGAAGATGCTTTGATAGCATCATTTGACCTCAGAGTACTTAGGGAACTATTATGACAAAAATAAGACAGTAGTAATACATATTGAAACCTTCTTAATTTCAAATGTGCATGAGTTGTCTATGCATTAACAGTATCATAACAACATGACTGATGTTTTCAGAAGGCTCTCATTTACAGTGACTTATATTTTGTTCAACAAATTCCCTAATTATTTTTTTAAGAAAGAGTTTTTTAGCCATACCTTTTTTCTTCAGGTTATCAAGTCATAAACACAATTAAGATCGGACAGAGAAAATGTGTAACTACATTTGTTTTATTATTTGCCTCTCAGGGCTTCTGTATAAAGCACTTAATGACAAATTCACATATATAGGACTAGATTTATTCCCATCTTTCAAGTTTTTCTCACCTAAATGTTATTTTCTTCCTGGCTTCTCACACGTTTCTAGGTGAAAAGTGTTCAGCTGGGGCAGAAGGAGCAGTGTACCCCCCCCGTCAGGTCGGTGACGGCCCCCTCCCTGACGAGCTTCTGAAGGAGCTGGGTCTCCCGGTCCACGTTGTGAGTGGTCTGCCGCAGCATGGCGCTCATGGGCAGCTGGTCGAAGTAGTGCAGCGGCGCCCCCTGCTGGGAGAGGTTGTAGCCGAAGCCTGCCAGGCTCACCTCGTCACACAGCAGGCTGGCCAAGTTCAGTGCAGAGACCCCCATGGTGGGCACATTCTGCAGCAAGAAAAAAGATTCAAAATGAATAAGGAATTAACAATATTGTCATGACAGAAAACCACAATGTTATTTTTCACGCGTTTCTATGAGTGTATATCTGCAGGGCTACACAATGAATCAACATTTTATAAACATCCCAATAGATTAGAGCAGGAATGAGTCCTAAACCAGGAAATGAGTAAGCATCTCAGCTTACTTTATGATCATTTTAGTATATTTCTTAATGATAATGTGGATAGTGTTTAAAGAATATACATTCCCTCATCATACCGATATCGTTTTTTCATTCCATTTTTATTAACTTCTTATGTTTGTATAAATATTTGTTACTTTATTTTATCTTGTAATCGCAAATTATTAGTTTCTTTTTAATATTTTATTTCTATTTCTTTTAGCGTTTATTGGACATTTGATTTACTTCTTACGGTGACAAAAATATCTTTATTTTTTCACATGTTATTTATTTTACTTCTTATGTTTATATAAATTATTTTATTTGATCACACATTGTTTCTTTCATTTCTTATGTTTATATAATTATCTTTTAATTTATTTCATTCTTCATTCAAACCCAATTTCTGATTGTTTCTGATATGTGCAACTGCAATATTAGTCAAAATAATTGCAATTAGTTATTTTTTCCAAATGGTTCACCCCTATATATCTGTGTGTCTGGCTATAGCTATTCTCGCATACTACTGGATCAATAAACCAATATTTTGTGAGCTTATACCACCATTGACTGCTGAACTCTATCTTCTTTTAGCCAACCAGTAGGGGGCGCATGAGATCCACAACCATTTCAGTAACAGAAAAGGCATTTCTAGCAACAAGCTAAGCTAAAAGAAAAAGCCACCTTTTTCAGACCACATTTTTATGTCTAAAAAAGTGAAATGTGTAGAACAGTTTGGTCTCATTTTGAAATGGAGTATCTTTAGGGTACTTTAGGGTACTAAACCACAATAGTGGCGATTACAGAGGGTGGACCTGGTTGAATCAGTGTTAGATTAGTGATGCATCATCCAAGACCAAACACAGACTGTGGGAACAGGTTCAATGCAGAGGAAGTTAGAGGACGTAATGTTTCATCTGCAGGAACATCAAAAACTACTCCTCGTTTAAAAGTGTGTAGACGAATTGGTTTGACTGTTAAAGGGGCCCTATTATGCTTTTTGGTCTTCCCTTTCTTGTAGTGTGTTATACAAGTTTTAGTACATGTAAATGGTCTGCAAAGGCTAAATTCCCAAATCTCTCTTCAGAGGGAGTTTCTCTCTCTCACTAAATATATATATATATATATATATATATATATATATATATATATCTTTTTGTAGTACAATTTGTACATATCCTATTTACACTCCAGTCGATTGCATTTACATTTAATAAACTGCAACTACTTTGCAGCCTTGTATAACATATTCATTTTATCATTTATTTATTTTATTTTTGCATGAGCAGGTTGGTCCATTAGAGTAATTTATAAATGATTATGTGTATTTCATTTTGTGAATTCTAGAGACACGAGATACATCTTTCTACTGTTGATATATTTATTTGAAATTGTTCTGTTTATTTTCGTTTTATTATATTTTTAACTCAATGCCTTGTCCACACGCTGCTATAACAAAAAACTAAAACATTTGGGATGAATAAAGTATATCTAATCTAATCTGAAGTAACAATAGCCGTTTGTAGCTGCAAATGATACAGTCAGGTGGGTGTTGTAAGTGATAAATGTGTTTAGTGATAATATGTAGCTACAACCAAGCTATAAAAACACTGTTTTATTCAGCTTGCATTGTGTTGACTCTATAGTCACAGACAGATAAAATCCGTAGTCTGGGATGAGTCTATTACCTGGTCCTTTCCCCACAGGCGGGGTTTGGGTGGAGGGTACTTCAGGAGGTCCAGAGCCGTCTCCCTGATGACGAGAGGGTTCAGGAGTCTGAATCTGTGCCGCTCCAGAGGGATATGATCCGGAACCTTCTGCCAGAAGAAGAGCCAGTCCCACAGAGACTGAAACACAAAGAACAGAAATACATATTTACCTGCAACAGAATAGGAATCTTTACACACTATATTTATACAAACATAAGAAGTTAAAGGGGCCCTATTCTGCTCATTTTCAGGTTCATATCAGTATGTAGTGCCTCTAATGCAGTGGTTCTCAAAGTGGGGGGCACAGAGGCATGACAGGGGGGGCGCGAGAGACCAGGAGGAAAAATGGTTATTACAAAAAAAAAAAAAAAGATAAAAAAAATAAAAAAATCATAATTTGAAAAATTATTGATTCGAAAATAATATGATACAGTACTATTACGTCTGGGTCTCTGTGTTTCATTATAGCTCGGCTCTGTGTGTGTGTGGAACGAGCCATTTTGTGTGCGTGCGCGAGCGAGAGAGAGAGAGAGCGCACCAGTACCGGAGATCGTTGTTGTTAGCTTCTGGTGCTAGCGAGCTACGCTAACGGATATAAGGAGTTTTTTCAACAACAAAGTGGAGGAGAGTCCTCTCCTGTCGGACTGAGAGGCTCAGTGAGCTAAAGGACTCTCTCAGTGTTTAGATAGTTAACTTTAGTCTAAGTTATCTCAGTGGGTCTCAAACGTTTTGGTCACCATTAATGTAAACAATTATTTCCGAGGCACACGTTTATATGATCATTATAGTTATAAAAAAATAAGAGAATAAATGAAAAACAGGTATGAAATACTATATGACAGTAAAAAAAGAATAAAGTTTAAAAGGGTGATTTGTAAAATATCCATAAAGAAAAAGTAAATCTGTTTACAGTTCTGTTTCATATGGGTGTTGAGAGAGGTATCCATAGATCTCTTCATGTTGCTCTCAAAGTGCACCAGATTGATGCTTTTAACTTCAATATTTAAAAATAAATCTTCCCAGGGGAGCTTGCCCCCAGACCCCCCTATGTGAGGTCCACACACCACCTATACAAATAGCACTTTACCCCTGTTTACACCTATATGCCGTGAGCTGATTATCGAGCCTTCATTGTAACAGTCACAGGTACACTGTGTATATGCGTGGGGATTGTTGCAGTAGAACATTCCACTGTAGCGCCCGGTACATTAATGGGAAACCCTAAATGTTTGAGCACCCTCTATGAAACGTCAAGCTACCCCACAGCACCCCCAAAATAAATCTCTGGCACCGCCACCGAGCCTGACTATTTGTGTTGGGGGGGCCCGACTTTTTTTTTTCTGCAAAGGGGGGGCCTGACAGAAAAAATGTGAGAACCACTGCTCTACTGTGACATGTCTCCATGCTTCAATGTTCAAAAAGCTCTTTATTTTTCTCATACTGCCTGTGCTGCAGCACCTCTTTTCACCCTCTGTCTGAAACCAGAGCCCAGTCTGCTCTGATTGGTTAGCTGGCCGGCTCTGCTGTGATTGGTCAACCACTAAGAGATGTCCCGCCCCTTAGCCTATCACGTACAATGTGTTGGAGCGCTAGCCAATAGAAGCGTGACTGTTACACAGTGATGATATTTTACAGGAGTAAACAAAGGAGTCCAAAAAGAACAAAAATACAATTAAAAAATAAATTAAATAAAGATTTGACTTTGGGTTATGATTATGTTTCTGGAAAGTCAACCTTAGTTATTTGTTAAATAAATACTTGTTTTCATTTAAAGGGGACCTATTATGCAAAATGCACTTTTTGATGTCTTTTATACATAAATATGTGTCCCCGGTGTGTAAGGGAACTCACAAAGTGTCAGAAAACAAAACCCTCTCTCTTTTCCTCCGTACCCACATCTCAAAAAGAAAAAGAAAAAGGGGGGTGCTAACAAGCAGATCCAGAATGTTTGCTCATATAACGTCATTGGCGACATCCGGCCGACGTGACAGTCACTACCCGATCCGCTTCCCTACCTGATCCGCATTGCGCATGAGCGAGATGGGCCGCCATATTTGACAACTACATACGGCAACTCAAATAGGACACTTGACACAGTGGCGTTTGGCAAAGCAGAAAAAAAACGACAATATTAATCTGAACGAGAGAGATGAGTTATTGTTATTACAACGTGACTTCACTATTATTTAACAACTCCTTTTATTGGGTCCTTTTATTGGGTTAAGTACATTGTCAGAATAAGTGAGAAATGGATTTAACTTCGGTTAGACAGCTATCATACTGAAGAAATATTGACTGTGAATGAATGCAATATGTATGGCATTCATAATTTATATCTAATTACATTAACTGTGAATGTCCTTAATTTTATTTCAAATTAAATAAAATAACATAAAAGATGTTTGTATAGATATTTGAGACGTTTATGACTCTCGCATGCACAATGCAAATCGGGCAGCCGCCTAGACGCCAAATGTCCTATTTGAGTTGCCGTATGGAGTTGTCCAATATGGCGGACCATCTCGCACATGCGCAATGCAGGTCGGGTAGGGATGCGGATCGGGTAGTGACAGTGACATGTCCCAACCTATCGTCTCCAGCACACGTGACACGTCCCAACCTATCGTCTCCGTATACAGTCGCAGCTGTGTCAAGAACATGTCAAGCTATGTGCTGTATCAGAAACAATGCGCGGGGTGTTTTGGGAGTAATATGCTGTGTGTTTACATTAGCAAGCATGCTAACACTCAGAGCTAACCATGGAGCTAACGCTGTAGGCTACTGGAGAGAATATGTCTAACGTAATGTCCTTGTGGTAAACCCTGCGAGAGAGAAAGGTTTGAGCTCCATACTGTTTCAGAAATAAAGCTTGAAGTGGTTAGGAGCATAATATGGCATTGAGGCCCAATCCCAAACCGCCCCCTACACCCTACCACTACACACTACACACTACACACTACACACTACACACTACACACTACACACTACACACTACACACTACACACTACCCCTCCGTTTGTGCGTTCGCGCGGAGGGTCCGCCACATTAAGTGCTGTTCCAAACCAACGAGTGTGGAGTGGTGTGGAGGGGGAGTGGGCTATCAAGCCATCAAACAGCGAGGCTGCATCGGTGCTGACTGGAGACCGGTCTCTACCTGACCGGTCTCAACGCTGTGTGTGTCCGTCAGGAAACACGCTGTTTACAAGTAGTTCCAGCAAACATCCACTGATAAATTGCGATGTTAACAACCGCATGATAACCTCATGTTTTTTAAACTTAGGATCGTATACCTGTGTTTGGTCTAGAAAAAGGTAAATGTGTGCATTTTATTATAAAGTGGTGTATATTTACTGACTGTTGCAAGAATTAAGAAGCTTATAAACATCAGGTTTAAAACTAAAAGAGCTTTACAAAAAAGTAACACAATTAAAGGTGGGGTAGGTAAGTTTGAGAAACCGGCTCGAGATCGCTAGAATTTGAAAATACACAACCGGAGAAAATCTGCCACTTCCTTACAGAGCCCCTCCTCCAACACACACGAACGCACACATGACCAATGAGGGCACGAGATAAGTTTGTGCACAGATGGAAGGCTGACAGGCAGGTAGGCCATCCAGTTATTTTAGCCGGGCCGGCTAAAATGATTGGTCGTGCTTTTTACAGTATTACGGCTTCCACAGATCCATCTGACAGGAGGAAGCCTCATTGAGCTGCGAGTGTCACTCCACGGAGTTCACTCCGTCACAGAGGGGGAGTGCATAGGGGAAGGGTGTAGGGCGTGGTTTGGGATTGGGCCTGAATCACCGCAGCGTTTAGCTGAGATCTCCCGGTAGAAATCTCTCTCTAGCAGGGGAAAGCTGCGTGACGCTACAAAGGGGCGTGGCTAGCAGCAGACGTTCCATTTAAAGCAGAATCAGCCTGTTTGCAACAGGGCTGCAAAAAAGGGGTATGAGCAGTATGAGGCATGGCTACAATGGGTGATCTGTTTGGTATTTTAAGCAAAAAACTTCACAGACATGTTTTGTATAGGTATGGCCCTAAAATATATTTTTCCAATATAGCACAATAGGTCCACTTTAAACTAAACAGCATCTCCCTGTGGGCTTTTCTGTAATAAGTGTTGGACACCCACACCATCATTTATGTGGCTTCAGAAAACTGAAAGACGAGGATTAGCCACTTTGCTAATTTCTTTTGTTTAAAAAAAAAAAAAACATCAGTAGTGTGGATAATAAACACAGCACTCACTCGGGCAGTACTCACCACGGAGAGCTTGCTGATCATAGCAGAGATCCAGCTGACGTCCACACCTTTATACACCACCGCTACAAACAGAGTGTGTGGGTCTGTGTCTATCCAGTGGAGCGGGGTGCCTTCTGGGTAACTCATCCTGATGCTGGTCCGATTCCCCACGTCAATACTGAACTCTCCCAGAGGGCCGCTGTTCAACCTGAGACACACAGCCATCGTCTTAACATCAAAACAACAAAACAACAACCGGCTCTGTTGGTGATCAGCGATGGAATTTAACACAGTAGTATTGTACTTAAGTACTATTTAAATATACTTGTACTGTACTTGAGTATTGTTATTTTACGCTATGTGTACTCCACTACATTTTAGATCACTAATTATTTTCGACAGGCATTGTTATAAGCTACTATGTATATATATATATAAAAAACAGCATAAGATGCAACAAGAGGTGGAATAAGTACTCAAACATTTTACTTAATTAAAAAGTAGCAATACTAAATTGTAAAGATACTCTGTTACAGTCCTTTATTCAAACTCTTACTTAAGTAAAGCTACAATGTACAATGCTACAAGTATACTCAAATGTATTGGCATAACAACATACTTAAAGTATGCAAAGTAAAAGTATTTATTGGAATCATAAATATTAAATTACTGATGATTTAATATGTCCACCTGGTAAAGGTGGAGCCAAGTTACTTTGTATGCTGCTGTTTCATACATCTACTTATAATTATGTCAATTTATATTTACATTTTGTATTAGCTTATAATCTAGTATGTAAAGTAACTCAGAGTAGAAGTATAAAGTAGCACAAAATGAATGAAGGTAAAGTACCTCATAATTGTACTTAACTACATTCCACCACTGGATGCAGTACTTTAATTTAAAATATACGTAATATTTTACTTTTTACTCAAATTTGCTCCATGATGACAAACTACATATAGTGATTAAAACGAAGTAATAATATTCTAAAATACTGTATAAAAGAATACTGTTACTCTTGATACATGAGGTACATTTTACTGATAATAAAATCTGTATCGAAGTAACATTTGAAATTCATGACTTCTGATTGATTGATTGATTGATTGATTGATTGATTGATTGAAAAGTTTATTAACAGCTTGTATATTGGGTACAGTACAGTACAGCTCAAAACATACAATTGTTAAGGGGATGCAGACCAGAGAAAGACTTTCGTCTTGTTTACATCAGGGTCCCCCATTTCCAATTCATCATATCATTTAAGACATATAAGACATATTTGACAGACAGATGACTTATTTACAATTTACATACAGGTGGTTTTTTACATACAGATGGCTTATTTACAATTTTCATTTTAGATTTCGTTCTAATACATCCTAACCGGACATTTAAGACATACCAAGTCTACAGATATACAGTTAGTAACAGAGTCTAAAATGCGAGTATATACATAGATGGGGGGGGGGGGGAAGCTGTCCATTGTACGACAGGTTGAGATTTGTACCATTACCGGGGCCAGTTTTGCAATGCTCTCCCCCGAAGGTGCTCTTTAAGAGAGGTTTTGAAGGTAAGTATAGTTTTACTTTCCTTTACAGTTGTGGGAAGAGCGTTCCACCTTGATCTGGCATAATTGCAAAACGTGTATTCCCCCTTTTTTGTGCCAAATCTGGGTTTTACATGATTTGTGGAGCTCCCTCTGGTGTTATGATCATGGTATTCCTTGACCTTTGGGAAGAATTTTGACATGTACATGGGTACCATAGAGGTGTAGTGGATCTTGTAGACCAGGCCCATTGCAAGTAGCTGTACTCTGTCGTCTACTCTAAGCCATCCTAGGTTGTCAAAGTGGGCAGAGGTGAGGTGGGTTCTAGATGAAAGGTCAAGCAGTAGTCTGACCAGTTTATTTTGCGATGTTTGAAGTTTTATTTTTAGCGCCTTGGAGGTGCTATGGTACCATGACGTGCAAGCATAGTCATAGTACCCTTGAATGAGTGCTCCTGCCAGAGTTTTCAGGGTGTTTTTGTTTACCAGAGAGGAGATCCTGTATAGGAATCTAGTTCTTTGATTGACTTTTTTTATTACATTGGATGCCATTTTGTCACAGGAGAGGTTTGCCTCAAGAATAGATCCTAGGTATGTAATTTCCTTCTTACTTGTGACAATAATGTCACCCACTGCAACTGAGAAGTCGTCGGATTTGCTGAGATTATGTTTCGAACCGAAGAGAATGGACTCTGTTTTACCCAGGTGTAATGATAATTTATTATCGGCGAGCCAGGTGCAGATTCTGCTGAGCTCGGAGCTGAGGGTTTTTTCAACCTGCAATCTGCTCCTGTCAGAGACCAGCAGGGCTGAGTCGTCCGCGAACAGGAACAAGTTGCAGTCACATGCTGATGACATGTCAATTGCATAAATTAGGAACAGTAACGGACCTAATATGCTTCCTTGTGGAACACCACAGCTCACTGGGAGGGGGGGGGACAGAGTACCGTTTACCTCCACCATCTGTTCTCTCCCCTCCAGGTAGGATTGCATCCAGCTCACCGATAGTTTATCAAAACCAATTGCTTTTAGCTTGTCAATCAGAATGGGGTGATTGACAGTGTCGAAAGCCTTTTGTAGGTCCAGCATCACCATGCCGCAGTATTTACCCTCGTCCACCTCTTGTTTGATGTGGTCGTTCAAATAAAGAAGGCATGTGTCAGTGGAGTGGGATGTTCTCAAGCCAGATTGAAAATCATAGATTAGTTTCTTTTCCGCGAGGTACTTTTCGACCTGTTCATATACTATTTTTTCCATGACTTTCGAGATGGAGGTAAGTATAGAAACAGGGCGGTAGTTGCCTGGGTCCAATTTGCTGCCCTTTTTGTGCAGGGGGGTTACTCTTGCAATTTTGAAGTCTTTGGGTACTTTTCCCTGTTTTATGGAGAGGTTAATTATGTGAGCTATGACTGGTGAGATGGCGGTTGCTGTGTCTCTGAGGAATTTGGAGGGGATATTGTCGTGGCCAGTGGCCTTGTTAGGTTTGAGGGCGCTCAGTTTAATGAGTACCTCTGCTGTTGTTACCCTTGCTAGACTGAAATCATCTTTGCGTACCCCTAGGTTTTTGTAGTAGGTCATGATGTGATCTACTCCAAAAAGCCCTGAGTGGGAGGGTAATTTATTTACAAGAGTTGTGGCTATGTTTGTGAAAAAAATGTTCAAGTACTTGGCCACATCCAGTTTGTCTGTGATGAGCCTGTTATCTGTCTTTATGTTTAAGTTTGAAAATCTCGTTTTGAGTTTTTTACTGCAGCCAAGCTGGTTATTGAGTAATTTCCAAAGTTCACGGGGTTTATTTTTGTTTTCCTCAGTTTTGACATTGATGAAATTCTTTTTGGCAGTTTTGATCATGGAGCTTACGTCATTTCTTAGTCTGTTTCTTTCAATTTTTAGTTCAGTCACGTGGGCCTGGAGTTCACTGCTCGTGCTTTTGGAAAGCATTGACTGACTTTTATGAAACTCAGAGCATTTTTTGTCTCTGGTTTTCATGGCAGTCAGTATGCCGGAGTGCATCCACGGCTCTACTTGTATGGAGTATATTTAGACCATATTAAAGAAGAGGTGTCATGCTTTTCCGGTTATTACCCGTCCCCTTGTGTGTTATGAAGGTTTGTATGCATGTAAACGGTGTGCAGAGTCAAAACCCTCAAAGTACACCCTGTAGGGAGTAAAACTCTAACACAGAAAATACCTCCCCAAAACGCCTCGTTGGAGATACGTCATTGTCCATTTGATTCTTCCGGGACGGCATGATGTCAAGCCGTACCCGGAACGAAATGGACCAATCCGTGGAGCCGTTACGTTAAGCCCCCGCTGATTGGTCCAAATTGACCAATCCACGGACTTCCTCACACACAGGCAGCTTGGCCATGACACCTCTCCTTTAATACTACTTTTGTGAAGGCTCTGAGTATTTCTTCCACCACTGTTGGTTATTCACAGTGGTTATCTGTAATGGTATAAGACAATATGTGGGGAAATTCTAAATTGTTTTAATAAAGAAACATTATGGTGTTTTTGTTCCGAACCTGATAATGGTGTCAAAGCGGTCGATGAGTGTCCCCAGCTCCAGGCCTCTGAGAATGCCTCCATTTCCCATGACCACACAGCGCCGACATTTCTCTGAGGTGTTTTTCGGCAGGGGAAAAGACTCCGAGTCCGGCAGCTTTAAAGGAAAATTCACAAATACAATCATTTTGTTTATTCTCTGATATAGGGCTCTCACCATTTTGTATTGCGTTAGTGTGAAACCTATGCTTTTTATTATATTGTACTTCTTAAATAAATATGTAAACATATAGTACACACTAATATTCATGTGTTAATAAGCCCACTTTTCAAATAAATTCAGTCAATTAAAGTAAAAAAATGTTGTAAAAAATCTTAGTTGATTAAAAAAGCCAAATAACTTATTTACATAACAAGCTTGAAATAGACCCTTCATAGTTCCCCTTACTATGAGCAACCTGAGGCTTCTGCTTTAAGGGGTGAGCTGCCAACACTTTTTGTAACAAAATACAGAGAGCTGTGAAGGCTGTTTTTCTTCTTAAAGCATATTCAATAATCAAGCATTCTTTACCTACATTTCACTGATTTTTCTAACTTATAACTGAACTTATGAGGCAGTATTCCTCACCTCTAGTGAGGGGCCCAGCCCTTCGTATGTTTTTCTGTATGTGGCCCTCAGTGAAAAAAGTTTGGACACCCCTCTAGACAAAGCAATTACGAAAGAATACAGAAATGATTTAAGCGGCGTTGGATTATTACTGTAATATTGTAAGTGAATTATTAATATCCTTTCAATTGAATAGGGTCCAATTTTTATTTTATTTAACCAGATAAAAACATTGAGATAAAATCTCATTTTCAATGCTGACCTGGCCAAGAAGGCAGCAACGTTACACATAACACATAACACAAACATATAAAATACAGAGAACATAACTAAGAAAACAAAAGACGAAAAAGCAGTCACTACATTGTGCACATTAGGACAGTAAGAAAGGTAGACTACTTATTACTGCAAGAGCAGCTGGTGGTGAGGACTTCAGACAACTTCAATTTAAAGCATGCTATAGGGACAAGTGCCCTCAGTTTGAGGCTTGATTGAAGGTCATTCCAAGACCAAGGACCATAATAAAAAAGACTCCTTTTTCCAGCCTCAGTCCGCACAGCAGGAACCTGGAACCGTATCCAGGCACTGGATCTGAGGTTGTAAGAGTCACAAACTGGAGCAAATCTGGCACATATGAAGAGTGGAAGCTTACCTAAAATGGCTTTATACATTAATAAAAACCAATGCTGCATCCTACGCATAGTAAGTGAGGACCATCCAGTTAGGCTATACAGTGTGCAATGATGAGTCCTATTAGGGTGCATTTGATATACAACGCAGTGCAGCATGGTAGAGTGGGTCAAGTTTGGCCAAAACAGTGGGACAGGCAAATCTATAAATTTGAATACTTTAGAGCGGTTTCACTTTGCTTAGGATCTGTCATCAACTGTGTTTGCATTCACCTGTAAACTGACACATTTATAAAGCATTACATTATTACCAAATGTTTTTAATCTTGGCAGAATGGAGTTTAGAGGGGAACCCACTAAGCTCCATTCTGCCGATTTTTCACCCTAGACAAATCCATTTATTCTTTTCTATATGTAGATTTCTTAAAGCACTATCAGGGTTCATATATAAGACAACAAACTTGTGGTTAAAAATGTTAAAAGTTTTGCCTGCTGGGCGCTGCGGTGAGAGCTGGTGCTTTGCATTCAGGCGCACATGTTTATCTGCTCGGTGAAGAGGGTTATCAGATGAACAAAGCACTGTAAACAAGGCTCCTTTGTTTGGATTTCACATCATGGAATAATGTGGAGTATGTTCTTTTTTATAGGGGCCAGGCGCACAGGGACATCAAAAACAGGTGAAGACACATGAGCGCGACTCAAAAAGGTGCAGCTTTGTATGCCCGGTGTCTATCAGATTATACCATGCTTGTTATACCTGTTTTTTTATTACAGGAGACACATTGCATTTAAAACATTCTATAGGTTTGCAACAATACATTGTGTGCATTATGACTGATATAAAACACCAATAAAGATGTGAAGAAATACCAGAGATGATAATACTAGTAAATGATTTGAAGATATCTTGAATTTAGGGTGAAGATAAACTTACTCTTAATTTAAGCTGAGAGGCTGTTTCTGGGAAAGACTCTGTTTTTATGTTTTGGTATTTCCTGGTTTCTTTTGTTTTGAGTGGATCCGCGGGAAAACCCGCAATGGACTTTTTTGAGTTGCCTTTGTGGGCCTATGGACTGGATTTAATTTATGTTGGGGTTGTAACCAACCTGCTAAAGCAGATTGAACTGGATATATTGACTCTGTCACCACACACTGATCATATTGTGTTACTTTCCCCATGAAATATATCTGACTAAAATAGAAATTGATGTGCGATTTATTTTGTATTGCATTCCTTTGAGAGGAAATTTCCTGAATTAATTCATTTGTGTATGGTTTGACTGAACAATTCTTCTTGACTATTTTAGATTATTATTTGTCAGACCTGATTCTGACTGGCACCCCACTTAAAAATGTAAAATAGGTCAACGCTACAAAGTTTAAGGTATTCCATATAGTTTGTTCAATGTTATCTGACTCTGCAGATATGAAAGGCAGAATTGTGTTTTTAGAGTTGTTCACACCGGCCTGACTTATATTTGGTTACACTGCCGTTTTGTTTGTTTACTGTAGGGTATTTGTATTAATTGTACAGCACTTTGGCTCGACCAAAAATCGTTTATAAATGTGCTATATAAATAAAACTGGATTTGATTTGATTTGTTTATGCAGCGCTTTGACTAACCCTAGCGCATGTTTGGTCCAGTTGGTGAATGTTTTCTAAATGCCGTGCATATGCTGTCAAGTTGGTGAAGATGTTTCTGCATTTGCATGTGTTCTGGCACATTTGTGTTTTTATATTTGAATTGAATTTGAAACTGCAGAAGGTAAGTGCCGTTTTAACGCGTTTGCAACTGTTGGCCACCGTAGGTAATGTTCCTTATGGCAAATGCTTTGTTTTTGGCGTGTTTTGGCACCACTATTTTTGGAAGAACAGAAGGTGCCAATAAATGGAAATCTGGCTACAGAATAAATGATGCTGAAAGTAGAGGACAGAGAGAAAGAAGGAGCATTCACCATCTTCAGCAGCTCCTCTGCTTTGTGCTGAAGCCCTCTGAAGCCAAAGGGAGGCGGGTACTGGAAGATGTCGTCGGGGAGCGGCAGGTCCTTCCACAGAAAGGCCTGGGTCATGCGACTTGAGGCGGGGAGTCGAGCTAACAAGCTGTGCCTGGTGCTGCTGGGCCGACACTGACCCTCCAGAACTCTGCGCACGTGCTCATGCACTTGCTGCAAGGAAATAGGTTGTAAAAAAAGGGTAAGAACCGTTAGAATAACAAAAAGCAGACTGTTTCACTGCAGAACCTTTACTGACATTATCTCTGTTCAATCTTTTCTGTTTACTCCACAGTTTTCCATCTGGTTGTATCAGCAGCCAAACATGTATGGTGTAAATACATGTCATGAATGGCTGCTTGTGTCACACAGGAAATGAGACTGAATCATTTTCATTCATGCAGTTACAGGCCTCGTCTTTAAATAAGATGTTTTGTCTGTCCAAAACCAAAAGATATTCACTTTCATTTAAAACTGATAAAAGCAGGACATTTTGACATTTGAAGAGCTAAAATAAGTGCCTTTTTTGCTGCCATTTTGTAGGAAAATTACTAAAGCAGATCATTGGTTTAAAAAAACAGGTAGAAACTTTATTATGTAAATGTGTCAATATCATATTAAAAAATATGTAAGTAGAAGATGGGCTCTAAGCATTCATTCACTCGAATACATCTTGAATTCTTAAATACATAAGACTTTATCTTGCTTAACTTTATATAATTAAATGTTTCCCTCAAATTAATAATTTATACTCTGAGAATATTTATGTATTGTCAAGCACTTGACACTTAAAGCTGAGTTTGAGTAGAGCTCATTATATCTATCCATCTATCTATCTATCTATCTATTACATGGACAATACCATTAGAGTTGTAAAAAGAACAATCTTCTTTAAAATATGTTTTAATCCAATTGAAATCCAAGAGTTATCCATTTTGCATTTTTTGTTATTGTTAATAAAACTGTTAATTCTATTTGTGGATCTGTTGAAACAAATGAGATCTTCCTTCAGCCTTGCCTAATGTTAGGAGAACACACTCCAAGTGTCTCGGCAGTCAGATAGCTGTGGGACCTTTGGTGCGTCTCTCCTGGTTTACTTATGATTTGACAATTGTATATTTTGTTTCAGTCCGTGGTAAAGTCTCTCACCTTTTTATGCGCATGGTTGACATGCCAGTCCACAGGCGCGCTCGTCTCCGTCTCTCTCAGAGGCAGAGACAGAATCGCCACACACAGCAAACCTAAAACCACAGCCAGTGCCAACCACCGCCTGCACACATACAGAAAAACACACACACACACACGGTTTGTCATTTGAAGCGTGGTATCTAAATGAAGGGGAGTTGACAAGCTGAGAAGTACATTTGTTAAAGGTTTGCATGGTAGGTGCAGGGAGATATTATGTAAAAGATGTTGAGGTGACCAGTTAACCGCTGATGTCTCTCATACGTAGAAAAGAATGCTTATCGATGCTGTCCAGTATATCCAGTCTCTGATTGTGTTACGTTAATATGAGAGTGCTCTCATACTTGTTTGATTCTGAAATTGTATATAATGCGTGTGTGTGTGTGTGTGTGTGTGTGTGTGTGTGTGTGTGTGTGTGTGTGTGTGTGTGTGTGTGTGTGTGTGTGTGTGTGTGTGTGTGTGTGTGTATATGTCTGCATCTGTAGCCTGTTATTGTCTCATTATACCGCACTGTCAATTAATTAAAGTAAATATATAAGTCATCATGAACACAGTTCTGTGTGAGAAACTCACTCTGGAGGGAACACAGGGATGTTAGCCTTTGTAGACCATTTACATGCACATAAACCTATATCACACTACAGAGTAAAGAGAAAACCGCAAAAACCTAACAGAGGCTAACAGGATTTTCACATTTGTCCTACCTACGGCATCTAATACGACAGTAAATACCCAACTGGGGAACATCTGAAGCTATTACATGTAACGAAGACCTCCAAAAATACTCACTCCAAACATTAGCCGCCTTTAGCTTAGCGGCGGGGACATGAAGTCATGCAGCCGCGATGGAGCTTGTTTTTAGCATTACGTTAGCTTTTTGCTCTTGGAGATTACATTTACGCTTAAACTTTTATAAAAGTGGTGTTAATATGTGGAGATTATCCTGCTGAGCTAAACGTGTAAGTATCAATAACGTGTGTTTTCCATATAGCTTATTTCCTACAATGTTCTGAAATCCAATACAAAACATCCCACTACTTTTTGTCAATGGAGTCCTTCTCTGTAGGCCTCACAAATGAGTCATCCTTGCACCACTATGTTAGATTGATTTAGATTTTGGCTTCGTCTTTTCTCCCTGTGCCCCAACTTCCTGTGCCCTTGCCGACACCACACCTATTTCCCAACAATGCTTCCTATCTCAACTGTACCGCAGACGCCTGTTAGGCTCTGTGCCAACATCCTGTGTGTTGTCATGTTTTTATGTTGACATAATATAAACAACTGGTAATGTCGACAAAACAGCTATTGTGGTATTTCCTTTTTGCATTGATGACAAAAAAAACGTTTTTATCTGTTTTATCCACACATCCGCTGTAGCTTCTGAGACTAATGTATAGAATAAATGCCACACATGATGATGATGTGGTTTGTAATTATGAAGGGAAGGCCTTGTGAACACACTAACCTTTAACCCTGCCAAATCTTGCCGAACGCTGTCTCACAAAAGGAAACTGGTTACGGTATAATGCGTTGGTGATTTTGTGTCCTGGTGTAATCCCTGGAAACAGATCAAAACCAATAAAGTATTCCTGGTAAGGCGAGGGAGGAGCAGGTCTTTGTGTGAGAGCTTCACTCAGTAACATTTGAAAAGACAGCCCTAAATGAATAGGGTCAAACTCGAGCTGCTCGGTTTTAGTGGGAAGCTCTTCTTTTATGCTTGTGGTAAAAAACTAGATTGTTTACTTAATGCTTCCACATCACCATGCAACCACCTGCACTCAGCTTTCTGTCTTTCCTGCCCACAGTTTGAAGAGTATGGCCCAATCCCAAACCACGCCCTACACCCTACCCCTACACACTACCCCTCCGTTTGCGCGTTCGCGCCGAGGGTCCGCCACATTAAGTGCTGTTCCAAACCAACGAGTGTGGAGAGGGAGTGGGCTATCAAGCCCTCAAACAGCGAGTCTGCATCGGTGCTGGCTGGAGACCGGTCTCTACCTGACCGGAGTCACGCTGTGTGTGTCCGTCAGGAAACACGCTGTTTACAAGTAGTTCCAGCAAACATCCACTGATAAACTGCGATGTTAACAACCTCATGATAACCTCATATTTTTTTAACTTAGGATCGTACCTGTGGTTAGTCTAGAAAAAGGTAAATGTGTGCATTGTATTATAAAGTTGTGTATATTTACAGACTGTTGCAAAAACTAAGAAGCTTATAAACATCAGGTTTAAAACTAAAAGAGCTTTACAAAAAAGTAACACAATGAAAGATGTTTGGAGTTTTATTTGAGTTATTAATTTACATTTTTGGTCTAAGAGATGTTGATTTGAAACCGTTGTTACATACAGTTACGGCATTTCCTGTTTCTGCCGGAGAGAGGGGAGTTTGTCCCAAAGCTTGCCGCTGTATTTACTCCCTCCATCTGACAGGAGGGAGCCTCGTTGAGCTGCGAGTGTGGCTACAGACGGAGTTCACTCCGCCACGGAGGGGTAGGGTCGAGGGAGTGGTTTGGGATTGGGCCTAAAACATTTAGATTCGGATATGCTGCTCATATTTGATTTTTCTCATTAAATTGCCATATTGGTCTTCTGAACGTTTTCTTTATCAAATGTTAAATATCTTTCCAATGTTTAAAATGATAATAATTCATGTTTCTATAACCCAATTTCTCTTAGTGTGTTTACTGTGTTTTTTGCATCTTATAATAACTGTAATAACTTGTAAATAATTGTTGTACATATTGTGCAATATATACACACTTCTTACTATTCACTGCTGTTATTACTGGCAGCTACTTCATTCCTTTTTTTTGTATGTTTACTTGCTCTTATAATACTGCTTTGTATCTTGTACAATTACCTTGTGTTTGCCTCTTTATTTAATATGTTAGTTCCCTCTTTAGTTTCTCTTATCTGCACTGTCCCCTTTGCAATAACTGTTTACATTTCCGAGCTGGGGGATAAATAATATGTATGTAAAGATGGTATGGAGGTAGATTTGTCTCAATATGATTTGTGTAAACAGATCAATATGTCATATGTAAAAAGCCGATCTACAACCAGAAATGTGAGATTCACAACATCCACAACAAATGCCTGATGGAATGTTGTAAATGTAGAAAGATAATCACAAACGCTGAATAATATTGAGATAAATGTACCTCCATAAGATGGTAATGGTTTAGCCCGACTTGTTACTTAAAGAGGCCCAATGATGCTTTTTGGGGTTTTCTTTTTCCTGTAGTGTGCTATAGGTTAGGGGTATATGCAGGAATCCTGAAGTCAAATGTAATACCTTTTAAGACCTTTTTTAAGACCCTTTCCATACATTTTAAGACCTCATCGCCACTTTGAGTTTGAACCGGTTACATTGGCGACACACTTTACCTCACATTGACTATATACAGTATTGATTGTCCTTCCTCCTTATCTTCCAACCATTTGGACGCAGACTTGCATTTCCCCATAACGATGTTGTTTAACAACCGGCGTAAACGGACCTTCGCGCACTATCAAGCAGTGAGCGTGCGATGTCCTGTTCAGATGACGTCAAATCCAACGGGATGCCATAAATAAACTACACAGAATCACACTACACGCCTTGACACGATATTTTTCATACTGCACATTTAGAGCAGATGTTATAGTTGTAGGTGGTAAAAAGTGCCACACCTTTGACTGACAATGCAGATTGTTTACTTGTTTAGGGTGTGTTTTTAAATGGCTTTAAAAAGCAACATGAAGCTTCCAGCACTGATAAGTAGAAATACACAAGAGGCTGCGCTGGGATCATAAAGGAAATCAGAGTTCTTCTTTAAGACATTAAAGGGGTAGTTTGGATCTTTTGAAGTGGGGTGTTAAGATGTTCTTCTTCATAGTATTTATCCATAATATCACAGAAGCTAAGCAATGCTGTACTCAACAAAGAAAAATCTAAATCAGTTTAACTGTATGCTATATTTAGAATGTTTACGGCTTTACCTGGCTGTCAGAAATCAATGTCTCTGTTCCTGACAAGTAACTCAATCCATTGTCTGTGCTTTCATCAAAGCCAACAACTCCCTTGACAGAAAAAGTTGTTTCACCACGCAGAACACATGGGTTGCTGCTCTGCTACTGCCTATATTGGCAAGTTTGTTAGTGTAATAGCGTGACTTTATTTGGTTTGGATTCACCAAAGTCACGCAAAAACCCTTGCATGCTTAGCATTTGAGGCAGCGGTGCACCAGCTTCCTTTTTGTTACTTTCAATGTTTGTTAGCTTCGAAGAAAGCAATGAAATAGGCCTTAGTTACCCGTGGAAAAGCACGGTCTCACAGAAAAAGCAAAGAGGCGAACATTTTCTAAATATAGCTTACACTGCACAACATAACCTAACTTCCACTTCTAAACACCTGAACTATCTCGTTAAGATCATTGGATAGCAGGTGGCTCGTATCTATCCGAGAGCGTGGTTGACAGAAAACAGTAGGGGTCTTTGTGCTGTGTAATGTGACCATCACCTGTGTGCTGGCAAGCGTTTCAGAAGCCTCATCTTGTTCTCGGTCACATGGGAACCTGGGAACTCCTCTGGGATGTGTGGTGAAGCCTGAGGTCCCCTGGCTCTCAGGGCTCTGCTCCTGCACACACAGTCAGACACAATGCATTATGGGACAACAGCAAGAAGAATACATTCCTTTATGATACGCTGAGTACACAAAAAGTGGCCACCAAAAATAGCCAGAGGTGTAAGAAGTATTCTGATTATTTACGAAGTAAAAGTAGTTATACTAAAGTATAAAAATACTTTGTTATAAGTAAAAGTCCTGCATCCAAAATTGTACTTAAGTAAAAGTAAAACAAGTATTTTCATAATAATATACTTCAGGTACTCAATATGCAGGATTGACCATTTAAACATATATATATATATATATATATAAAATAATTGTATTGAACTAATATTTGAAAATACCTAATTTTAATTATTGATTAATTAATGTATTCGTCACTTCAATGTTGCAATTGGTAAAAGTTGAGTAAATAAATAGCCTACTCTATTTACTGTAGCCTACTACTGAGCAGTTTAACATAATAATAATAATAATAATGTTCTATTTGATTTCTATGTTGCGTTAATAACCAAAATCGGCAAGTTATTAAAGCTGTCAGATAAATGCAGTGAAGTAAAAGTAGACTATTTGCCTACAAAATGTTGTGGAGTAAAAGTATAAAGTAGCATAATGTGAAAATACTAACTAGTATTAACTAAATACATTTACTAAGTTACATTCCACCACTTACAATAGCCCTTTAACTAGCCAAGCTAACGTTATACAGATAAAATGCTAAAATATAGTAAAAATAGACCTAACAAAAAATGTCTTAAGTGACATTTTCTAAGTAAACTAACTATCGTCCGATGAAAACCATTCATCTGAGGCTCTGAGTCTTGAATTTACACGTGACAGTAAAAATGTGTGGTGAAATAGCCCATAGCTAGTTAAAGTAAATGTTTTATTGAAAAAGTATTATTCACGTTTTATCGATCAAATGTTCGTTAAGGTCCTCGTTTAAGTATCATTCCTATAGGAAATGTCCCTGCTTTTTAATTTACATTTAAAACTACAAAACTTTTAAGGATACTCGTAATTCGCGTGAAACTGCTGCTTAACCGGCCTAATGGGTAAACATACTGCATTCCCGTCATGTTTGTAGATTACTTGATTAGAAAGGTGTAATTTAAGAGCCTATGTTCCATAATACGGCCTGTCTATAGATATGAAAGAACGTCTTGTATCGGGTCTTCCACCCCATGACAGTAAACAAGACCCTTTAGCAGCAGCAAGCATGAAGAGCAAGATGTAGCTATAGTAACGCTATACTAAAGGATTGCACAACGCTATGGAAACCACAACACACGCCTCATTGCACCTTGATTCCATCCTTTAAACCGCAGTTCCGTCAACATTAATTGGCTTTTTGGCTCACCTTTCCATGGACTCCACTGCCTCGCCATGACGAATACCTTTGTACAGATCAATGATCAGCTATTTATCCCGAGGAAACATATACAAGCGGTGCTTTTTCAGCCACCTCCTTTCCTAGACCGCGAGCCAATCAGCGGTCGGAAAACTCGCCTCCACTTCCGCCCTTTCGTAATAAGAGTCCCCTGCAGCAGCCGCATGATCACATTACCACTAAAGTTTTTTTTAAATTATTGACAAAGACACGCTTAACATTCTGGACAATAAACATAACGGCAAAGAAAATAACAAGACACATTGTTTTAAACATATTTTCATTTTTTTAATTAAATACAAGAGAAAGGTTTTAGGCACCAAGTAAGGGCACAAGTGTGAACATGTATTCTTTTAAAGTATACTATGTGAATGCTTATTTATTTCACTCATCTTCGATCAGAAAAACCCAATGCTCTCTCTGAATAAAAAAAAACCCCGAATTATTCAGGAATAATTTTATTGCAATACATAATACACAATTAAAGAACATTTGGCACCTAATATTGCCACATACTGTACACACCATGAATAAGTAATGGAGATACAAATTGTCATTATTATGCATTTGTCAAAAGTGTTTCATAGAAGTGATGGGATCAGTCAAAGTGAAGGGTCCTTTTATTTGCACATCAATCCAATCCCCCCCTTCCACTCTCACTGCATAGGTTGTTTGAGATCAAACAGTCCAGTTCCACCTTTGACTACCTTCCCCGCCACCAGGCAGGCGGAGGGTGACACCAGCTCATCATGTGACCCTGAAAAAGGAGGAAAAACAGCCATGAGATAAAAAGAACTTAGATAAGGTGTTAGGGAATAATTTGCTTAGGTATTCAACCTTCGACACAGTTAATCATTTTCTCTTTTCACTGTCTCCTTTCCCATGGCATAGGTCTACGGCCTTAGGGTATTGCTGCTATCTCTCTTAAGGAGGGGCAGCTTGGGCGCATTGTTGTTGCCAGTCTATGACAGAGCACAAGCCGCCATGAGGTAGTTTACTGTTCAGGGACGAAGGTTCCCTGACGCACATTCTTTCCTATGGATGAGAGCTCTAGTTAGATTCAGGGTCCATATTGCTTTAGTCTCACTGATAAATAATGTTGATTATTACACTCCGAACTAGTTAAAACCTCGAACTACAGAAGAGTTCTTCAGAATTGGTTTGGCATCTCAACCGTGTGGTCAGATCGTGGCCCGTGACATGTCTTGTCAATTCTCCGGCCGTAACTCCAAATAAACCGTCAGTGTTTGCCACCATCAAAGCTCCAGCTCTCCTCGTGCCTCTCTTGCCCCTTTCACACCAACGCGTTTTCAGCGCCGGCTCGGTTGTCATGTCCGACTATCACAAGTAGAATCATAATGAAAAATACGCCGGTAAAATGTGCCTGGAGAAAACGGCTTAGCAAGTAGTCAGTTTAGCTTCGGTTGCTATGCTAGCATCACCCATGTTATACCAGAGAAACTTTCATAACAGCGTTGTGATGCCAAACAGCGTCAATTCAGACTGACACACATTCACTTAAGGGGAACTGGGGATATGTATCAGCTGCTTGTGTGACAGTCAGACAGTGAATACTTTAGAGCCGTGTGAGCTAACCCGGAGCTAACGGGAGAATAAACTCCTGTGGAAGAGCAGCCAGCACTGCAGCGGTCGGTAAATGCCGCTGAAACACATTAATAAACAATGAACCACGGCATTCTGGAGAAAAGTATAAGGTTGGAGAAGTCGTTATTTAATTTAATCTGGCTTCGTATGATTAAAAGCAACACGATCATCGACTCAACGCAGTCCCCCGTTGTTGTGAGCTCCGTTGGGGAGAAAATCAGCGATGTAAACGGTGACGTCATGACGCAGCAGCGGCAGCACCATCCCGGCTCTGAGTGGTGTGAACAAAGCGGGAGCTGAAAAGGGAAACCGGAGCTGAACCAGAAAAGCTCTAGCTCGGAGCTAGAAAGGGAAAAGCGCTGGTGTGAAAGCCGCATCTGAGTCCTGTTTCCAATTGCTTCAGAAGCTTCCCCTACATAAGGGAATCGGCAGCTCCAAAATAGCTCGCTGAATACATCAGTTAAAAGAAAATAGGTAGTATTTCCCAGAGGTGTGGACTCGAGTCACATGACTTGAGTCGCATATTTTTGGACTTGAGACTTGCTTGACTAACATTGATAAATAGGGATGCTCCGATCGCCAATTTTGGGGCCGATCGCCGGAATCAGTATTGGCCGATACCGATCGCCGATCCGATCGAGTGGGCGGGGCCTAAATGGAAGATTTAAACATCACTTTAAATCTTCCATTTAAAGTGATGTTTAAAACTCAGTTAATGGGTCTCATTCACTGAAGCTTCCACAAACAACAATCAACTTAATTATTACATTCAAAAGATGTACATTATTCAAGTTTACATTCACTTTGGATAATAACACGGGAGAAATGAGCGGAAGCGCTCTCCTTTCCTCTCTCCCTCTCTCTCTCCCCCTCTCTCCCCCTCTCTCTCTCTCTCTCCTGACAGCCTGTCAGTATCGTCTCATGCAGCTCGCTGATCCAGTAATGAGTGACCCGACAGTGAAGAATAAATATATTTATAACTAGTTTAGCTTGTTCCAGAGGTAGATAAAATAGCTAAGTGTGTTAGGTCTAACTCTTAGTGTGTGTTCTGCTCCGCTCACCGGTCCGTCACAGCGGGTGGAGCTGCAGGATTTCTGCTTCACACACACGTTGCATACCGCTATTTTACTGTCTTTTTCGGACACCTTAAAATAATGCCAGACCGGTGAAGCCATTTTGGCGAGCTTGTTTTGCCGCGCACAGAGAAAAGTGTCATGTATTTTACGTCATGCGATCGGCTCTCGCGATCGGCATGTTTAGAGAGCACCGATCGATCGGTAGAGAGTGAGTATCGGCAGATCTCGATCGGTGACCGATCGATCGGAGCATCCCTATTGATAAAAGACTTGACTTGACTTTGACTTGGTATTCATGACTTGAGACTTGACTTAAGCTTGAGACAGATGACTTGAAAGGACTTAACTTTTTAAAATTAAATATTTGCGTTTGTTTTTGTATTGAGATATTACGTTTAGTTTTTTCGAAACGTGATTGGGTGATTATAGCGCCATGCGCGCAAACCTGGCAACCCACTAGTAGGCAGGAGTGTCAGTTAACATGGCAGCGGCTAGCGTTACTCCACAAATAGTCAAGTTTGGATTCAAGGATTATGTTGTCGATGACGCTAATAAGAAGAGAACAGCGGTATGCAGGGTCTGCAGCATAAAGATTAGTGACACGACCACCACAACATCCAACTTCATTCGTCACTACAAAAAAACCCACAGAGAAAGGTGCGTGAATGTGTTGTGTTAGCTAGAAAGCTAACGTTAAGTTTAAGCTACGTTAGACTTGGTTTCAAATCGATTAAGCATTGCAAAGAGAAGACAAAACGGTAAATGAACACTAGAACCGCCAAGGGATTCATTTTGACTAACCCTGATACTGACGGGCTGTCAGGAGAGGGAGAGAGAGAGAGAGAGAGGGAAAGAGATGCCTCGTTTATTTCCCCTGTGTTATTATCAGAAGTTACTGCAAACTGTTGAATAATGTAGTTCATCTACTTTTAGTAGTTTGTTTAAATGTTTTAATTATGTTGTTTTTGTTTGTAGAAGTGCATCATTCCTTGATTTATTGTAAAATGAATCTGAACTTTTTGATCTGTTATGATGATAAACTGAAGCCATTTCAAAATGAACCCAATTAAGTGAGTTTTAAATCGTCCTACTTAGTTTATAAGGAAATTATGAAGAGGAACAAATTCAATGATTTGAAAATGATATCTATGTAGGTGCTGACGCTGTTGGCGGTTCTAGTGTTAACAGACATTTAAATTAAATATGTGTAATGGCAAATGCCATATACGATTTTCTTACCTGGAATTCTGCCTTTTTGAACAGACTTTTTGATTGAGTCCTAGCTATATTGTCTGCAGTTCTAGGGTTAATATGAATCTAATATGATTGTCATCGGTCTAAATTAGATTTCAAATGATTAACTGTGTATGTAATGAAGATCATAGTGTGGGTTGAATCCATTTTCATAACCACTGTCTTTTAACTGATTTAAATGCGGAAGCTGGGCTTATTCATCAGAATTTCGTATGACTTGACTTGACTTGACTTGACCTGAGCAATGACTTGACTTGACTTGCTTGACTCTCACCACAGTGACTTGGGACTTGCTTGATACTTGTAGGTCAAGACTTGAGACTTGCTCATGACTTGCACATGTAGGACTTACTCCCACCTCTGGTATTTCCTTTAATTATTATTTTTTATTTGCTCTACTCAATCTCAACAGGCACCATTTCTGCTCTAGGACTGTAACGTGGTTTATTCATGAACATATTTCCATCCTAGTCAACATAATTACCACTGGAACCAAGGAGTAGCTACATCACACTGAGCCAGTTTAGCTTGAAGAACTAGTTGCCATACCATGAAAGGACAATAAAAGCAGGTTAGGTTAGGGGTCAATGAGTTAGTGAAGGTTCTTCCCGTCAAACAGGAAACCTGAATGATGGAAATCCACTGAGGCACAAACTGACTAAAGAAAATATTTGCTTAGTCTCTCAGAGCTTTGTCTCCTGACATTGTTCAATAACTACCCTTTCTGATCTCCACACACACAGTCATTTCTTATCAGCTTAGCAGTGTCTTATCTCACCCTCAGGCATTCAACAGAAAACTAACAAATCAATCTATTGCTTGTGTCTCAATTTGGATACTACCCTTAGTATTCTGTAAGTCTTGCAATGTGAAAACTTGCACAGTATTTGACCGTTTAGCATTGTCTCAAACCACACTCGGCTGCTGTGCCCTGACAGGAAGTGACTTTCACTGCTGTTGCTAGCTAGTTAGTAAAGCTACATTCGTAGTGCATTTTGCCATTGAGACACACTCATGCACTCAAAACAGCAAATGTTAGTACCAAAGTACCCGGCATATGAATAGAAATCACTATTTGTATCAGCCGTTCCTCACCCAGCATGGTAGCCTGTTTGAGGAATTTGAAGCTGGTCTCGAAGGT